CCATTCGCTAAGCTACGGCTTATTGCGAAGTCCACTACAAACAACCTTTGTGACAATATCCAACTATTTCCTTTGTTCTACATCGGGAGAGGTTCGACGGTTCGTGATACCACAATCCATATTTGGAAGTCACACATAGTCTAGAGAGAACCCTGACGATGGCCAAAGCCCGGGCGAAAAGCTATTTTCACAATGCATGCATTTCCAGGATCACAGCATATCGGGACTGGTAAAGGTGGGTAGTTGTTTGTGTACGAATGAACAAGGGAGGTGCGTTATTCTTTGTAATGGTGTTCGGGGGATAATCATAGTGGTGTTGAAGAGCAAATAATGGCTAGGCAGTGGCGGTTACAGCCGCACCCACGGGATCAAGACAGGCGACTCGAGGAATAAGGCAATGTCGGCACTACGTGCGACGTCTCGAGCCGACCGTATCATATACTGGAGTATTTTTTGTCTTTTCTTGATTTATACGATCAACGATATCGTACCCGCGAACCCGCCGAACGATATTTGGCAACCGTCGAAAAGCGGGCGCCGTTTGTCATTCGACCTAGTAGCTACGAGAAGCACACTGGCAGTATAATTTCTTACCTATCTGAGCCTGAAAAGGTGTTGCGCTATCGAGTATCAAAGAACTTCGAGTACAAAAGAAAAAAGCAGTTTGCTAGAGAACTTTGAGAGAACCCAACCTCGCAGATAGTATTGAAATTTCAAATAAGCTTCGAGTCGGAACAGAAGAAAAAAAAAGAGCTTTTTTGATGACCATTGTTGAGTGCAAGTTTGTTTGTTTTCATCTTCGTCTTTGTGCAAGATGACACTGAGTTACTGACTGCCGAGACTTGTGAAGTGTGGATCAAAGAAAGAAAAGAACACGACGAAATTATTCCCCGTTCCCGCTCATCCGTCACACAACAGCCACTCATTTGACATTAGCTCGAGGTACCGAATCAGGATTTTCCCCTCCCCCCTTGTTTGCTGATGTGAGGCAGGTCAAGCGTGCATTAATTGCTGAATGATCGAAGTCTACCCGTGGGTCGGCCGGTGAGTCATCGTCAATAAAAAAGGAGCTGAAGCCTTTTTTTTTTCTCTTTAGCTATTGGAACTTTTAGTTGCCGAACCAACCAATTCGACCAATCGGTGTCGCTGAACGTTTCCTAACCAGAAATAGTTAATTACCACTTCAAGCAACTTTCCACCGCCAAGAAGCCCTGGCAGCCAATCAAGTATCTTAGCCCTGGTATACGTATGTAAGTTTTGTACCCCCGTTTTTGTAATTGCAACATGACCAACATCGTGAACGGATGCTTGCCTTCCAGGCGCGAATGACACGCGCGCTTGATGCGCTGGTCGTTCGCGCTGGATTATGGGGCTGCGCGAAACAGGCGAGAGGGTCAGCCTATTTACGACATGCTTGTCGGTATGTCTGCCTGTATTATTAGTAAGTCAATTCCTTCGATTTCAATGCGTTGGTGCTATGGGTGTCTAGGTCCCCAACCCCCGCGGCGTTTGCGGATACAAGCGCTGTCGTGCTCTTGTGCTGCCTATTAGGTAACTTAGGCAGGTAAGTACCTGGTCAGGTGTAGGTAGGTGCCTCTATGCATTACGAGACAATTATGTAGGCATAAAAGAGGTCATGTAATAAAGCACGAAGCTGATGAACTGGACGGTTACGCGAGGGGCGGGTTGCTACAGAGCACGGACGGCTTGATCAAATAATAGGCATCTAGGTTCTATCCTCGATCTTATCGGCGAGAGTACCATAGGTAGGTTAGGTACCTAAGATATTCACTACATACTTGTCAGTCATATAACTATTTGGAAGGCGAAGTGTACGTGGAGATATAAGTAAATGCTTACACACGTTAATATAAGAGTGTGTCGTCGGACCTAATATCAGTCTTGCAACCATGCATCGCATCAGTACTAGACTTTACATCACGTTAGAGGTAGTTCATATACGTATGTATAGGGCAAATAGTCTGCATATATGATATACACTAGTTCTCTTCTTCGGGCCTCATGATAGAACCCCCAACCTTCTCCCTGTCTCCAAACACTAGACGAGCAACACCATCGCGGAGCAGTCGGAAGTAAGTACAGGTGTGAGTGGGACCTATAACATCCCTCCCATCCCATCTAACCTTCCCGCGCCACCTGTCTCACCTGTAAGCATAGTTTATAGTTCATCCGTATGTCAAATCGAAGGGGAACTCTTGATGCTTGACATACGCGTTGTTGGGAACCGCGATACGTGTGCAGGGTCGACGAACCTATCTCGGGACGGGGTTAATAGGGTGTCCGAGACAGGTGCAAATCTTATAGCGAGGAAGGTATGATGTTACTTCGTGAGGAACTACGAAGCCTGGGTATGAATCTAGTAATGATGACTGGGACTTATGTAAGGGGGCCTTCTCTGCCTACCACATCTTAGGATAAGTCCTCCCCTAGGATGGGCCGCTTAATAACGTAAATACGTAGCCTACCACATTCATGCGGGTAAAGTATAAAGTTAAGAATAGATAGATATCTTAACGTTTCCATTTCATAATAGAATAATTTAATTTCTTGAGATGTCTGTCGTATATAGGTAAGGTTATGGAAATAAGTAGATCTTAGATAGGTAGGCACCCGCTACGGAGTTACCCAAGGCAAGGTTATGATATGCGTTAAGGGCGCCTTCCATCACTTCCTGGTCTGTGATTTCCTGGTCAAAGTGGTCATTGGCCTAGTGGTCAGAGGTATGACTGATGCAGAAAAAATCTCTCGGGGGGTCTTTTCGTAGATCTCGAGTTTGAACATATGTACAAGGTGGCAAAAGGACCAATTTGTTCTGGACAAAGTCGTAGGTTCGATTTGTAAGGTCAAGCTTTTCTTTTTCTCCTTTTTCTTTTCAAGTTACTTTCTCTCTTCATTTGGTTTATACTTCCTTCCTGACATTTCCTTTTCCGCGCATGACAGGAAACCTCTTAGCACTAGTGTTCTATTAACCTTAACTATCACTTATTCGAGTATAACACTATTAAATTTCAATCGATTTATATAACGCGGTAAGGAAAACTCGTGGTTCATCCCTCGTCTCCCCTATCATATTACTAAGTACAATAGTACCTATAGCAAATACTCGGTTCGACATGTGTTAAAACCAAATCCCGGAGATGTAAGATACAAGTGTCTAGATTTATGGTCTCGCTAAAATCTACCTAGGTGGTTAATATTTTGGTCAAGGGGGCCTTTTCTCCTAATAGTCCTTTGAATAGAGTATGCAGGAAAATATGCTAAAATTCAACGGATAAATATTGGTAACAATAGCATCAAGGGTACTATAGAAGGTTACAGAAGAATAAGTCGTATTAAACAAGCTAAGGGGCGTTTGGTCTTGAGAAGTTTAAGGTAAAGTGGGGATAGAAATATGAATTTTATCTAGCCTTTAATATCACTTAGTGGGCATGGTGATGATAGGGGTGATACTCATATCACTTATAAACGAACTACGTGGAGTTTTCTGATATAAAACAACGTTGGTTTCTGCCCGCTTGTTTACATAGCGTCTATTAGTAGAATTAAACTAATCTGGTCTATGAGATATCTAACCTATCGAACGAATAGTTTAAACAACTGCAGTACTTTATCTTCTATTTACACATAACGGTAATTTATGTATAACGACCACCAACTTAATATGGCAGAATTACCTAGCGCTACTAATTAAGAACGAATAAAGCTTCGGGTAATAATAGAAAACTGGGTTCCAAACGTGCTATCTTAAGTATTTATTCTATGACCTAAGAACTGGTCAAAATAGGATTTTAGCTCGAGTATATACCTTCATATTATTAACAAGCTAACCTACGAGGTAGTTATAATATATACGTAAGAGATAAATATCAACAGTAAAGCTAAGGTCTAATCCAAGGCCAATGTTCTTTGTGCGTTTCCAAGAAGTAGGTAGGTACCTACTTATACAATCTATATTTAAACTGGGTAGAGCCCAACAACCTAACTTCGCCGCTTTCAATGGTAACCGCCTCTGGCGGGGACGGACCTGTTTCCTCACGGCTAATTGGCCTAGCTCTAAATAGCCCTGAATTAGATTAAAAATTCCTCGGCATGGTGTACTCATAGGCACCTGGGCATGCTTTTTACCACTCACTGTCACCATGTACTTGTGGTAGTTCTCCCTTTCATCAAAGAGCGATGTACTATGACCTACTAAGGCTATCCTATTATGTATTAGCAACTGCTATGTAGTAGAATAGATATGTCATAGTGACTTATTTGCAGGGTATTAACTAACTCGATAACGTATTGATACTCCGAGAGGAAAAATCGGCAAGCATCTTCAGTAATCCCGAAGGTCAAAATCCCGATAAGTCCCCCTGATCCTGGCACAATACTTCTACATCAATGAAGATGTAAAATAGCGGGATACCTTTAAGGAAGAAAGCAAGAACACTAACCCACTCTCTCTGAGTTCTTACGGCAAAATAAGCTGTAAGAAGCGGACTTAAGGCTTCATTGGTGTGAATCTTTTTGTTGAGGATAGCAGCCTGGGAAATAAGGTATCTAAGCAGATCAATCGTGGACACACGTCTGGAACATTGGCCCCTTGAAGCATTGTGATAGACCGGACACAGAAGTTTTGGACGTGGAGTTACAATTGCCTCAGCATTTCCACCATCACCAAGGATGAGACCCGATCACAGTTCTAGTTTTGAATTTTGCTTCTTTGAAGACACCCTGAACTAGACCAGAGATGCAGCAAGTATAAAATACGAGTATTCTCGGCGAGGCGTTCTAACGCCACGTTTGTGTGACATTAGATAGGTACCTGATCTACCTGCATACAAGGTACGTGTCATCGGGCAGCAGGCTGATCCGAAGGCGGGGGATGTGAAATAGAATCTGTGTTAGAAACAGAATCTGGCATGAAACATACCAAAAAGACCAAATACCTTCCAACGACTCCAGTGCTAGCGATATCGATACCGACAAGGAAGATGACAATCGAGGAGAAAAACGTGGAGGAAGACAACGACAATGGAGAACCAAGAGGAGATTATAGATTTAGGCACAGGGCACATTTAATACAGAATACCATTTCAGCCGACCGAACCCACGATAGCGAGTTTCAACGCACAGCTCAGATATTGCAGGCCATACAACCCAACAGAGGGCTTAAAGACCAAAACATAAACCAAACCAAGGTTGCCGATTCCAAAACACCCAGACTCGATAATGAAAAAGCCAATGAGGATAAGCTCGGGGATTATCAGTTCCAATTGATGCTTCTCGAGCAACAGAACAAAGAAAGACTAAGGGTGGCTCTTATGGAGCAAGATGCACAAATCAATCACCAACAAACGACTGTTCAGAGCCCGGTACTTGAAGACCATTGGAATTCTAATATTCGGTCTACCAATCCAGAAGCAGCTTTTGTTCGGCATCCCGCGTTAAGCAATTGCTTCCGCTTAATATCAACAGTGTTAGATACGCCAGAGGAATGCACTGCAAATCTGCCGGCTTTGAGAGAAAACCTGAAGAGCCTGCAAGCATGTATATCAGACTTCCGCACAACCGGGGTGCTCCCATCGCCGGAGCCTAGATTTCAGATAGTATACCGCGTGACGGCTCCAAAGAGTTTTACGCGGATGTATCTTGATGAACCACAGTGGATAGAGGGCGAGAACGCAAAGGGTGAGGCTTTGGCGGGCAATCTTCCAGTACGAGACATACAGTCGTATCTTGAAAGGAACCCGGAGATTTGCTTCGTTGTATACAGAGACTTTTCTGTCCCCGTCTCGAGAAAAAAGGATGTCGATCATACTCTATCCGTACCAAAACAAAACTCGGAGATGATAGAGACAACCTCTACGGATCTGACTACGACTATTACGAAATTTATGTCGTACTATGATTTCGGTGCAGACGCCGTGGACGAAATAGGGAGGACAGATGTTCCAGATCACCATTCTACAGATGCTGATGGCTCGACCGAACTGTTAGCTCCATATCCCGCCTTTTACCACGCCTCAAGACGAGCCATGGATCCATTCCTCGAGCTACTAAAGTACTCAGAGAAGAAACAGTTCCAGTTATTACTTGATTATGTTATGTCTCATTTTGGAAATGAGTACAATGACGCCGAGGAAATAATTCGAAACGGTAGAATCACGAAACGATACTTTCAATACCTTTTCAAACCTGGTGACGTGATCGTGCAGAAAGAGACCAATGAAGCAAGGGGCCTCATATGCAGTTCTTGGGTTACTGAAGAACAAGTCAAAGACGGCAAAAGGAAGACGTCGGGAAAGGTATCGATGATACAATACACTATAAAAGCTCGCTACTGGACTTTTGATGGTGTATTTTCACGCAAGACGACCGATTTAAAATGGGAAATAGATGACAGCTATAATTCGAAGCTGGAAATCGATGGCCTGAGCATCTGCCCTTTAGCTTATGTGAACGAAAACCTAACAGCTAAGCTGCGACGCAGGGGAGAATGGATTTGGAAGTGTCGTACGAAGCAGCTGGTATCATATCATGAAGATGGAAATCGTCAGTTACACGACTCGGACGACGAAAGATACATGATCGACATGATGGTATATCGTGAGTTACATAAGCCAGACAAGAAACGCGATATTCCCCGGTGGACATCTTCAGACTACCCAGGGACAGATGACCTGAGTCACGAAGCGGTGAATCGAGACGACCCGCCTTCCGACGACTTCCTATACGTATTACCTTCGATTATCAAGGGCTTTAACCTTAAGAAGAAGAAATGGTTGGATCTAAAGGTCGATAATTTAGGCGAAGTAGTATGGAACGAGACGGCTTTTGAGAGGCTTGTTCTTGAAGAGAAGACTAAGAAGTTGATTCTGGCTCTCGTCAGCGATCAGATAGAATCTAAGAGGTCAACAGATCTCATAAGCGGCAAAGGGAATGGTTTGATCATGTTGCTCCATGGAGGTCCCGGCACAGGCAAGACTCTGACCGCCGAGAGTGTGGCCGAGATTGCCCGGAAGCCACTCTATCCTGTTACTTGTGGTGACATCGGAACGGAGCCGGAAGGTGTCGAGAATTATCTCGAGTCCGTTCTACATCTCGGAAAGACCTGGGGGTGTGTTGTCCTACTCGATGAAGCCGACGTATTTCTTGAACAGCGCAGTCTCCAGGACCTCCATCGAAATGCGCTAGTATCCGTGTTCCTCCGAGTACTCGAATATTATGAGGGGATATTGGTTTTGACGAGTAATAGAGTCGGTACCTTCGACGAAGCGTTCAAGTCGCGCATCCAATTGGCTATTCACTACAGCGATTTGACCTTTTATGAACGCTCTAAGATCTGGGAAAATTTTATCTCACGCTTGCAAGACTTTGAAGAAGAGGTTGGTACCCAGCACAATGACCACGAGCGAGCAGTTATTTCTATGACCGTTGAATGCATTTTGAGAACTTTACTAATTGTATCGTGGAATAGGAGATAGATGCTGCTGATCTAAAAGATCACATCAAGGACTTGGCCCAGTTTGAGATGAACGGAAGGGAGATCCGAAACGCCATCACGAATGCACGGCAGTATACCCGATGGGAACGAAAGCAGCAGCAAAATCCAGAGAATTGCAAGCTTGATTATGCAAAGATCAAGCTTATCATTGATACTGCTAGCAAGTTTGACGACTACATCAAAAAGCTGAACGGAGGATATAATTACATCGCGGTAGATGAGGGGCTAAGGCTTGAAGCTTGAAGAGGGAAATAATCCGTTAATTAGCTTCTAAGGGTATCTTCTAGGGCAAGTAAGTTATTGGCAGAGTGCAAGATGGCGAAAGGTATTATCACTAGAGTCTGGATCTAAACTGACATATGTATTTTCCTTGCCTTTGTTGGTTTCCTTTTCTCCTTACGAATACACTATGTCATGTTTCTTTTTTTATTCAGGAACTTCATAGGCTATAGATCATACACTCTCTTATCTCGGCCGCCAAGATGCCACATCACGTAAATGGGTACTATTTAAGTAAGGGTCGAAGACGCAGGGGAGGTTGCATTGGCAATGCAGCAACGATCTTCCCGTCTTATTTCCATATCTACCCTAGACAATCAGTCAGCACCAGCGCAGGGTAGAATAAAGAGATAACATACATAGGTTACGACCCGTCCAATATCGTCCAATATCGCTCAATATCGCGGTCTCGTGTGGGTTCTTAGACTCTTTATAATACCTTGTCTTCATTTTCTGACTATCGTATAATTTTGAACACTGAGGGATAGAGTGGCGGGGACTACCATCATAACTTCAATCCTTTCTCTTCAACGTGCACATATCTGTGTACCTAACTAATAATTATCATGGACTTGATGAGCACATCGGATGGGCCTTGTTGGCCTCTGGCGCATTTAAAAGGAGATACTGGATCGGGGAAGTCGGTCAATTTTATCTCGCCTATCACACCGTCGCCCGAAGTCAAAGAGTATGCGGTATTAGAGAACGAGCACGAGGAAGACGAAAGGAGAGTTCCTAGTCCCTTCCTAGCCCTTCCCATAGAGATCCGTCTCGAGATCTTTAAGCACCTGCTAGTTTTACCACCAGATGCTCCCCCTCCTTCGCAGAAGACATACTACCGGTACGGGCAACATCGGACGCCGCCGCTGCTACACCCGGCAATCCTGCGCGCAAACCGGCAGCTGCACGCCGAGGCACTGCCTCTCCTATATCGGCGCAACACTTTCCTAGCGCACAACACATTGCTAACAACGCTTCCCCGGCTACGCCGCGCCTACGACCCCGTGCTCTCAGCGCATCTCTCCGGCCTTATAACCCGTTTCTACGTGTGCGTGCGACTGGACGCGGAGCCAGGCTACGACCGCGCGCAGGCGGCGATGCAACTGAGTAACAAGGAGGAGGTTATTATCGATGCATGGCAAGCCGGTGTGTAACATGAACTCTCTCTCCGCTGTTCTTCCCCTTCGTTCGCTCGCCTCGGGAATTTGAACGTTTTATTTTTCTATTTGGAAGTCGTTGCTGAATTGCCTACTGGCTCTAACTCTTGTCTATATACATAGCATGGCGCGGCTCGGGCCCGGATGCGTTACGTCTGTTCGAAGACGTACGGGGTGTGCGTCGTGCAAGGGTTACTGGGAGCGTCGGCGGGTTCGAGGATTACGCGAGGTGGCTAGAGGGTGCGATGATGCGCGAGCCTGGGATTGAGATTGAGCCTTTCTCCTGGGATGCTGGTCGAGGGTCTGAAGGGATGAGCATATAGCTTATTGCAACTGTAAGAGGAGCAATCTAGTGTAAAGGGATGCTATCAAGATGGTTGCCTCGTTAGGTAGTCGGCCAACAACGCAACATTTTGTTCTGTTTAGCTGAGTTAGATAAGACCCAATCTGTTAGATGGTAGCTGGCTTTTGGTTCTGGTCGGAATGTTATTGGCTGTATTGTTGACAAATTATCTTGGCCTAGAACTGTATATCTCCCTTTCAGGAGTCTCCATGCAGACACTCCCGCATTATCACGGTAGGCGAGACTACATGACGTCTTCTCACGCAAGCTGTAGATTTGGAGTTGACCGAAATCATACAAGGCTCCTGTAGAGGGCTCTGTGATCAAAATGCTGTCTCCGAACGAATTTCGATGCAAATACCTAGGTACCTATTCCATCGTACTAGATTTGAGACATACGCTCAGTAAATACGAGCCTGGTTCAAGCGCGATGGAAAGAAGGACGGATGGATGGGAATACATATCCCTCGTAGATCTAAGCAAAATCTACTACAATAACCCCTTGTAAACTCGGGCAAATAGCAATCCGAGCTTCTTAAATGAGGTAATTTGAGGGGTCCGTGCTGCCAATTCCGGTCCATCTTTGATAAGAGAGCAGGACATCGTACTTACGTAGATAATCTAGATGATTTCAATGCTTCTTCTCATATTTCCTCTTAATCAATAGCTCTATGATGCGTGAAAAAGGGGAGCTTCTACCGCAGTCAATTACCGCGGCCTCGCGTCCTCATTCGAGATCGATTTGGGTGACGTTAGTTCAAGTCGTGGCCGCCTTGGTACTGCTAAGGAACACTTATGATGTATTCTTTTCTTCACGCACGAGGCATTCCACGTTGGATGAGTTAGCACATTGTCCGCAGGTCGAGCCTCTTTTCCCGCGACATGATAGTCCTGCGCTCTCTAAGTTGGAGGATTACATCACCTCGCCCATCTTTCTTAACGAAACGGTAGTTCGCCTGGCCGGGGCAATCAAGATTCCCACGCAGTCGTATGATGACCTTGGACCCGTTGGAGAAGATGGGCGATGGGAAGTCTTGTTTGATTTCGCTGCGTATCTAGAAAAAACATTTCCACTCATTCATAAGACCTTGACACTTCAAAAGGTTAACACTCATGGGCTATTATACACTTGGCAGGGATCGGATGAGACCTTGAAACCGACCGTCTTCATGGCCCATCAAGATGTCGTCCCCGTAGCTGAGTCGACTATTGACCAATGGACCCATCCTCCCTTTAGCGGCTATTTCGATGGCCATTTTATCTGGGGTCGGGGGTCTTCCGACTGTAAGAATAACCTCATCGGTATTATGGAGGCTGTCGAATTGCTCATAGATGCTGGCTTCAAGCCAAAGAGAACTTTAATCCTATCGTTCGGGTTTGACGAAGAGATTTCAGGGGGACAAGGAGCTGCGCATCTCGCCAAAGCATTGGTTTCCCATTATGGAGAAGATGGTGCTGCAGTCATTGTGGACGAGGGGGCTGGAACATCAACTGTTTGGGGTTCTGCATTTGCCCTTCCTGGCGTTGCCGAAAAGGGTGCCATAGATGTTGAAATTATCATTCGTATGCCCGGTGGCCACTCATCAATTCCTCCTGCGCATAACGGAATAGGAGTCATGGCAGAACTTATCACTATCATTGAAGGTTAGTAACCCATGTTTTTATTACATCGTGGAGATAGTCCCTAAAGTTCAACATTCTGATATAACGCCACTCTATTGGATCAAGATTCTAGGATAACACCTTGGAATAACTGCTAACCATGGATCACGATTTAGCTAACCCATACGAGCCACATTTACACCCTGATAACCCTTTCCTTAGCCTCCTGCAATGCGGTGCCGTTCATGGTGCAGAATTCCCTTCCAAGCTACAGAAGCTTCTTCCATCTCATGACTGGCGAACTAAGAAAGATAAGCTTGCTTTAGAGGCAGCGAAGGCGGGCGATATTGTTAAGTATCTGTTCACAACATCGGTAGCGCCCGATATCATCAGCGGAGGCGTCAAGAGCAATGCACTCCCCGAACGTATTCGAGTACTTGTCGACCACCGAGTCAATGTTGGCGAGCATTCATCTGATGTACAAAAGAAGCTAATAAGGTTAGCCGAACAAGTTGCTGATAAGCATAATCTCACGGTTCACGCCTTCAACGATGAGCCAGAAACGCCTCGATCTATTACTCTCAACTTAATGGCAAACACACTAGAACCTGCACCGGTAACGCCAACGTCTGTTGATGGGGTGACGCCATATTCGGTGCTCTCTGGAACTAGCAGAGCTCTTTACGGCGAGAACCTTCTTGTTTCGCCAGGAATTATGACAGGAAATACTGACACGAGATATTACTGGGACTTAACAAAGCATATCTTTCGGTATGGTCCTGGCTGGGATCCCGAGCAAGAAGGGCTCGATGGAGTGCACACGGTTGACGAGAAGCTTAGTATCTTTGCGCATATTAAAGGTGTTCAATGGTACAGCCTTTTTATTAGAAATATGGACGAAGCGGAATTAGCGTAAATCAAATCAACATACATTATAAGATCAGGTACATACCCTTCTAGTGTAATAAATATGTCGACCTCCGAAATAGCTTGGTAGTATCAGGTTTTCACATATTAAAATACGTTGGAACTTTCATACGGAATGTTTCAATTATGAAGTGGTGTCAAATTCAGCCAAGGCAAATCCCACATGGCGTAGTGGTTTAACGCCTGGATGTGTGTTGGTCCGTGCCTACGGGCCGCAACACAAGTGGGTTCGAATCCCACTGTGGTCAAACCAAAAATGGTCCGACTCAGGTTTTTCCTTGGGCATTGCCGGGCGCTGAGGGTGATTCCATCTCCGTTATAAGAAGGCGTGTTCGACGGTTTTTCCCCTGATTAAAGTCGGCTACCTGGCGCCGGCGCTAACCAGGTAGAGTAATGCTATAGGCAGGTAGGGGCTGGGGATAGGAAGTGGAGGATCTCTCATGTCATGCGAAACTCTAGCTCTGTCTCTTTAAGAGGTACTCTAGACGTCTAAAGCGCCATAGATGCGCCTTGCTGTAGTTACCTAGCTATAGCAAAACCAATAGACGTTAACGTTCTCATCATCATCATCAGCCAAGGCAAAACTATCTCTTTATCCTACCTCATATCAAGTCTTTGAATCTAGGATAACTGTAATGCAAAGACTTTGTAAACAATGCGTCCCTATTAGAGTCAATTCCATCTTCAAACAAGGTACATCCCCGTCATAAACCACACATCCTATCCTTAAATTTCAATCAATCATTCATTAAAGGTCCTGAGAACTAAGACAATCTCATTCTATCTCACCTGGGAGACGGTCATATGGACTGTTATGGGCGTGGTTCGTGCCCACGACTCAACCAATATTCTCTTCTCATAGCATCAGTCATCGTCCCTGATAAAACTGCCTGTACGACTTTAGCTTCGGGGTAGAGACCTACCTCTTTAAGGAGATCGTAAACGTCGTACCAAGAGGGATGTTCCCCTGCCGTTTCACAGTCAAGAATTATTTTGAAGAAATCTTCATGGCTAGCACTTGCAGCAAACTGGCAAAGACCTACCGCAATTCTTGCGTGGGTAACAACTTCAACTGGGTCGACTGTGCTAGCAGCCTGGCGGAACTCAATTGTTCTTTTATGTTCCCTCTCGAGCTGTAGAAAGCTGTACGCTCCTCTCCTCTGTCCGATATTCATTAGTCTTGCAATGGACCTTCTATCCGCTGATCTTAGTATTTCGGCAACGGCGGTCATCATCGGAATCGGCTTGTAAGTTCGGGGGTCCTGAATCTCCTCGAGGGTTGGCCCGTGATAACCCAAGACCCGTTCTACCGAATCTCGATTGATATTAAAGGTACTCACGGTTGGTCGGGGAGGGAATCGATGCTTTGTAAGGACTTGATTTTCTTGTGGAGGCTCAGCACGACCTACCCAACTTTGGAAAAAGTTCTGTGCGAGCTTCATGAAACCAGCATACGCTGATTGCTCCCTGACCTCCGTTAGTTCGTCTGCCCCGACCTCGGTTGGTTCGTCTGCCCTGACCTCTGTTGGTTCGTCTGGAGGAGTAGGCTGAGCTTGGATAGGGGGATTCTTGATCCCGACGGAAACATTAGAATAAAGGCGTAGGCTCGGACACCATATATTATCGCGCCTGTGTTCAGGGTGAGACTGAGCTAATATCAGATCTGCTGCATAGAGAAAAGCGGCAATCCGTCTAAGTGAATTTACAGAGAGCCATTCGTTTCCTTTACCTACGTGCACATGGAAGCCAGCTTCAGGAGCGGTGAATATCCAAAAGTTTGTCTGGAGGAACTCACACATTCTACGGACTTCCTCGAAGCCCTCGTCTGTAGCCCAGAGAGCTGGCGAAACAACTTCAGCACCGACCCATCCGAAATCCGGGCCGGTTTTATCTCTCAGCGCTTTAGGCAGCCTTTTTAGTGTAGGATCAAACGAAACATCCCAGCGGCGAAAGGGGTAGAGATGATGCCACTCCTGATCTCCGTAGTCCGGTACCCCTCCTCCCGACGGAGCGACTGTTGCTGCGGATGATGGGAATGCCTCGTCTATCATAAGAGCTAGAGCACTCACTATGTCACTTTCTCTCGCCCAGTTCCCCCTAACCACCAGGGGACCCCCAGTCTTTGACTCGGATCCCGGGGGCGCGGGTACCGTGCCGGTGAAACTCTCAGCGCGCCATGCTAAAAAGAATTCCATTTCTATACCGAAGCTTAGCTTCTCCTTTTTATTCGGTATTCCGGATGCCATTTTTCTATCTTATACAAGTCGTTCGATTGGTTCAACGTAACAATGGTTGTGTTAAGAGTCTTTCGCCTGTTGTCTTTGACGTTTTTGACACCATTATGCTAATCTCTTTTACTGCTATATTAAGTGGCGGCCTAACTTTATATATTTCACTCGAACACCTAGGTACCTAACATTATCATTGTTTCTATACGTAAGCATAGAAATAGAACAGAACGGAAACATAATACTATTTAAAAATAATCGCTGTGTTCAAACTAAACATTTGATTCGGTAAATCTACAAACTGTTAACCCGTTGTAATTCATTTCTTGAACACTGAGACCTGGAATATTTGGTCCTTGATCCATTGTACTTGAAGTAGCAGCATCAGCCCGCTCTACTGTGGTATTTCAACCGTACATTCAAAGCTACGTAGGGTACTCTGAATTTTACTAGATAAATACTGTGGCGCGTGATTTCTTCAAAATGATAGTATTACCACTAGTGCTATAGTATAGGTTGTACTTACCTACTAAATAGCCGGAAGCAATATAATCCCCAAGATAGTTTATTTAGTATATAGGGAAATTACGATTAAAATGTATTGTGTCCTGGGAGAATAGGAATAGATGAGGAATGATATTTATATTAAACCTAAACACAACAACTTAAACGGCCCAGACCGATTTATCATACCTCGTACCTGCTAGTAGTCGATATCCATTGCTCCCATTTACTCAAGGTTCCCCCTAACCACGTTCAAATAGCTTTAGGGGCTTTTCCACCTTGAGGAAAGGGTGGTGGAGGTGGAGGTAAGTGTTGTTTACCCCATGCTAGGCAATCGTCTCCGTGGGATTCGCGCCTCTCGGTTGTCAAATTTGGACACATTGGAGTTCTTGCGGAAGAGTTATCGCAAACGGTCTGCCAGACGTACTTTAACATTATAAGTTAGCGCTCATCCCCGAACCTACCCAGGTATAAGATAGGTATGCCCGAAGCCAGGGAACAGGAAAAGAAATCCATTACGTACAATAGGACGGTTGCCCAATGGACCTCTGCCACAGGTCATGCAATAGAACCACCAAGCTAATGCGTGACACATGGCTGGATAATATTCTCGAGAATGTGAATGATAGACTGTTAGAACTACGTTAAGTCGACTATCAAGGGGAAGTTTGATGGTTGGATATCTTTTTAGGTTTTCTGAGTGAATAAATGGGTGTTAAATATGGGGGAAGGAGATACATTTTAAGAGGACCCGGAAGGAGGGAATCATCAAACTTTGAACTAGACATCAAATTAAAGCACTCACATATAATGAATCACAATAATGCTGTTTGGTAGTGACATGGGTGTACAAGCTTGCCCGGATGCTGATTTTGTAGGTAATAGGTGACACATCAAAGAGAAAGTGTCCGATAATTGAATCTTTCATAGGTATTGCGTGGAACTGGGCCACAGGTGTAATAATAAAGTGACCAAGTGACGTAGGACGTAACATTACAGGCTATAAAGCTTACCAGGTTCACACAATGACTGAGGTGATTGGTATAGGCTTGTGTGTTGCCCTCATTATAAGCGACTTCTTTTTTGTGTCACTTCAAGCACTTTTAGTTTTTGCCCTCTTAATTAATACCGAGATAGCTTCGCTTACAGCCTAGGAAAACTCACAAATAAGAAGTAGTCAAGTGTTAGTTTCAAAACTTTACCACCTACACTTAGGTACTGTCAGGATTCTAGATGAGACATCTAGAACAAAGGAACTGTTCAGTATGTATAGACGAAGGATCTTCATAGATAGTTTAGAGTTCCTTGCGGAACAACGAAGTTGTTTCCATACTGTTTCGTTCCACCTCGTGATAGGTACTATGAGAGTAGTCACTTAATGAATTGCGTTCTAAAGCTATACGACAATATATTTAAGTTGTTTTCATAATCTAAATGATAGCGATTGTATACTTTAATCTATATTCTCGTGAGCACAGATGTATTTTGATATCTTTTGGTGTAGTCTCTGAAATAATGTTTCTTATTAGAATCGTCTTTTAACTTGTACTAAAAAGATGTAACTAGGTAATTTACAGAACACCAGAACTAGATATACTTTTGATTTTACTTGTAACTTAAAGATGCTACTACTGTTGGTAAGATGCGCCTAAAGTTTGGTGTAGATATGTTAGTTGTGAATAAGTATTAACTCGTTATAAAATCTACCACCGGATCTTTGGATTACTATGACGCTTCGTATAAATTACATTTAACTATATTGGTAGTTTGATCTTAGCCGTGTTCTTTTTCTTTCTATAAAAACTGTGAAACTTTACGGTTATTGACCATGGAATAGAATTAGTAATCCCAACCTTTTCGTTTAGGTGAGAGGGTTGACGATGTAGCTCATACTCTAAACACCCTTACACGTAAGAGAGACAGCGCTTTTCATGGCGTAAGAGGTGGCTACTAAAGTGCTTAACTAGATACATTATGAGAACAGGGGACCTCTACGATGCCAGAGTGTGCTGTAGGTTCAATACAGGAGATACTTGACTTAGGTACCTAGGTAGGAGGTAGGTATGAATATCTGGGTTGGAAATTGAAGAAATTAACTTCGTCTACCCAAATAATTAAGACTTAATTGGAAAGTGCGTGCCCAAGACATGTGTTCATACTGCACAATTAACAACCGGACCATCAACTGAGAGACGTCTAAAATCAGGTACCTCGGTACCTAAAGTAAGCGCCTATAAGCTACAGGGGGCCAGCGCGCTAAGGTGCTAAAACATGACATCTGCGCCTGCCACGTTGGTGAAGCCCCACTATCAGGCCGTTGTACCGCCCATCCATTCTTATCTTCCTCCACGATTGCCCCGCATCAATGTAGATACAATACCTTTGGGGATGTAACTTACCAACTTCATGTTTGAACTTTACATGTGCATGTTTCGATGCGAAAATAAAAGTTACCTAGGTACCTACGTCTTAGGGTTTCGGGGAAATTATTGCGTTACAAGACTCGTTTACTTACCTTATGTAACTTTCTTGACGTCGTACGCCTTTCGTCCTCAGCTCTTCCTTTAAACCTTCAAACCCAATCACCCTCAAGTCACCCTCAATCACTTTAGACACCCCAACAGCCCTAGGATCTACCTTAAGAGGTACCTTACACTTCAGCGACAAGACTTCAGTGACAAGGGAATAACTCGACGGAAATACAGAACATTGTGTCTTTTTTATTATTTCTGTTTAAATTACCGGAGCTTGTTTTCAATTTTAAATCGGGTTTCCTTGACTTCATCCTCGACATTTTCACAAACCCTACCTCCTACCTAAGATAGGTACATAACGTACCTTACTTTAGGTAGCGTCACAGCAGCTACTGCACAGCTTAACGCTTGTACCACCACCCACTAGGACTTATTCTTATCCACGTGCGCAATTAAAGCCGTGTGAGAATTGACATATTGTTGCGACTTCGCAACCAACTCATGTTCTCGACGGATATCATTCATCTTATCTTACCTAGGTACCTAACCTAGTACTTTACTTTGCCTCGTTACATACAAGTCAAGAACAGGAGAATAACCGAGGACAGTTATTTCCCGAACTCAAAATGGCAGGCGCAAATGAGGTCGAAGATGGAATTGAGGACAATTATGTGGACAATCATGTCGATGGTAAGAAATGTGAATCAGGTTTCGATTCTCAGCCCGACCACCCGCACGACATTGAAATGACAGATTCACCCATGATGTCGACGCCTGCACATAGCAGTATTCTCCCCCCGTCCCTAGCCGGCTCAGGGCCTCATACCCGTCCAGTGACACGATCTATGACCAAATCCCACCTCGCCGATTTAGTTGATGCTATCCCGTATACTACTACTTCACTCAAAGAGAGGCTTCAGAACTCGTCCAAGAAACGCATATCGAATCTGAATGTGTCTAAGCTTGAAGACTCGAGAGATGTTAGCTCTATTATGGATGACCAGATTGGCGACTCCGACGAAGTTAATGATGATGTGGCTGGAGTGGTGAGAAATCAGGCCCAGCCTCTTGAATCGTTGCCGCTAGAGAAAACATCCACATCACACCCTTTAACTGGCCAGCTCCGAATACTAACTCGTCGGTCTGCTCGCCTCAATAATGGAAGTATTGTGATACCAGAGGCCGCAAATCCAATCGTCGAACCTCAAGGTAAAGGGCGAAAGCGAAAGTCAGCCAAACGGCTTAAAACTAACCATGCTGCTGTTGGCGGACGCGTTCGACGCTCTCCACGCTTTTTGAAGCCGCTCACCAACTTTTCTAAGTATTCTGACCTTCCGAACGAACTCAAAATGATGATATGGGAGGCTGCCATAGAACCACGTCTAGTATATATCATGAACCGATATTCACTATCACATACCTCCGAAGCTCAATTTGAGGTTCAGAACGAGCAACCTACCTGGTTTAATGCATGCCGCCTGTCGCGATGGGTCGCGCGGCTCCATTACCTGAAGCTCTTTGCCATGTATATTCCAGCCGCAGGTTCTTTCAACACTAGAACAATCCAGGCTGTTTCTGCTGACGACATTTTAATATTTGAGCCCTGTCATGGTGGTTGCCGTGGATGCTATTGTGCTCGACACCAGTACGATCTACGTGACCGTTCTATGGTGCGATGCTTAGCCATACAAGCAGAATCGCCCAACTTACCTCCTACAACAGAGCCATGCTGGCAAACGATTACACGATCGTGGCATAATGTCGAGACGCTTTATTTAATGAGAATCGCTGTGAAGGGTATGGATAAGAGGAATAAGGCAATGATTCGGGTCAAGAAAAACGACCACGAAGCCGCTCTCCTGAAGCGTTTCGATGAGTGGAAGAAGGCTCCTGGTATCGACACTAGATTGACAAGGCTAGAGTTTGTCGTTATAGTAGAGAAGGAATCATCAACCTCTAATCCGCAGGACCGTTACAAGTCTATCGAAGACCGATTGACTGGCCAACCGGAAGACATAATCCTCGGTTAACCCTGCCTCTTTGAATCCATCCTCGTTACGGACTATTCATTTAGAGAATCTTCTTCTTTTCATAGGCATCATCTTCTGGATCTAGATGGCTATCAGGAAATGAAATTTATTTCGCCTTCCGATCGAAGACAGCAGAGACTGAGTGGATTTAAAAATGGGTAGCTCATATCTCATTACGCAACTCTACTACAACATATCGCAAGTCCCGCATGATTTCACAACTTGATCTCACGATATTTCCGTACTATCTTCCCCCAACACCATCGCATCAGGTATGTCATCAGGTATGTTGAATCTATTCCCGTCGCCACCTATCCGCTTTTGCTTGTTTTTGGCGCTCATATTCTTTATAACAAAGGTATCAGTTACTACAATAGTTCGGCCCCTTTCACTGGATATAGAACGATACATTATTCTAGCACTTGTTCATTACATGCTTTCTGATATCGCGATCGGCCATATTATTAACCGCCTAACATAACCGTCGTTTACCCCTGATCTTGATACTATCACCGGCCCCAACGACATTATACCCTACCATCAACTTGTTTAACGCAATGCGCAATGCTTTCTTGGCGGCGATAACTTATTCCAATCAAACTTAAATATTCTCACCTACCGCAACTAGCATCAGCACACAATCGGATCATCCGCTCGTATACATTGGGCTTATTATACACAAGTGAAAGTCCCGTGTTTAAAATTCGACTACCCCTAGTACCTACCCTACCCAATCGTACCAACCACCTGATCCTCTCCCTTCTCCGTCGACTGCCGATATTTTCCAACCTCCCCAAAAGCATACGAAGATCTATGACCATCATCAATACACCGACGAGGCTTTTAGCAAGATACGATAAAAGTATTCTATGATCCGAGGAACAGATCTGGGATTTCTTTTCTAGAATGTTGAAGCAGCCTGCCACCGAGAAGCACAATCCGGCTAGCACGTATCTTAGCAAACCTACCTTTCGATAACCTCGAGAAAATTCATCTACAGACATTCTGGGTGATCTACGGCACGGGCACGAATATGCATATTCGCTCATCTAATATAGCAAGTGTCGGCGAAGAAAGGGTGACCGGTAAAGCACTGGGATGTCCTTCATTCAATGGGGTCTCGGCGTCAGAACTATATTTTCGCCGTCGACTAGACGCCCTTACATATTTACATAGTCCCATCTTGTAAATATCACCACTAGCTAGAGCAGCATCAAACTTACTACGCTACTCAATTTCCAATTTAGTCCTAAATTATTCCTTGTAAATCAATGATCCAAATAATAAATGAAACATGATACTAACAAATAGGACCATTCATGATATTCCACACTGCATACTTGGTACCTAGCTCTAGACGAAGTCTTGCTTAACAAGACCAGTAGTGTATTAGAGTCGCACGCGTTCTGTGTGACGATATCTTAGGGACGGACATAGGTATATGTAGGTACCTAGCTGCATGATTCAGGAGTGACCCCTTTGATGACTAAGCTCTCACTACCTATGATGCGTACTATTACACATATTCTTTCTTACTTGTATTATCACTCACTTTAACCAAGTATCTTCATGATAGGTATCCATAATCTACTGAAGCATCTTGTAGACTTGGCCCATATTTTCGGTCTAAAGATTCATTTTTCTATTACGAACATTCTTTCTTCGCTACAAGTACTTCGTTAGAGTTGGTGAATATTTTGAACTTGTTCAATTGCTATTCATTGCTTCAATCTATTTTCTCAATATGCTTGTTGCAGAAGGATCTGCTCTGGATCCCATCTCTTCTAAGTTATTCCGGTAATCAAATAGCTCTTTATGAAGTTTCATTACGCCACTAGTTTTCTAGGTCGACCTTTCCATCGTAGTCATTGCTCTGCTGTCCAGCCTTCGAGTCCAATTCAGGAAAGTGGGACATTAACTCCCGAGGGTCAACGGAGACCCTTGATGTTTCCCTAGATTGCTTAGCAGCCTCCCTCTGCCTGTCGACTTCAACACAGTCGCGGATGAATAGGACAAAGTGTATTAAGCTGGCGGAAAGTATTGGTTAACCTGAAAAACGCATCGATGACAAGATCGGTGGCTCGCTGGAACTTACGATAGTAATGTGGCAAGGCAGCTGGCGGAGATGGACATCTTGATCCAGAAGTATCCACTGCTAACATATCCGGGGATGGGCTTATCCTGTTTGGCATTGTAGGCAAAGTCCTCTATACGCCAATTGTAGGAGACGACCGTGGCGTAGGTAAGAATCCCCGATAACGCCATACCGCAGAGCCCAAGGACGAGTTCGAAACCGAGAGAAATGGTAGGGCGGATGCCGGACTTCCTCTTCTGGGCACACATGACGATGTATTCTGCCATGTCGTATAAGATTGCTGCTAAAGCCTATGTAGTAAGGTAACTTCTTAGTATGTCGTGGTAGTCAATGGTGACTTGAGTCTTCTTGTTGGTTAGGCCTACCAGTGGTGTCCCGAGGACTTGTTCCCGTTGAAAGTCCAGAAGCTGATATTCCGAAAAGGGGTAGTGCAATGGCCGTGAATGCAATGCGTAGTACGAGTTTTGCAGTATTCCAGGACGACTGGTTCGGTGATGGTAATGTCCCTGGCTCTTCGTCCACCGGAGGATGATGGAAATCTGATTTGGCGAGTTCGCTATACATTTCGGAGTCTGGTCTAGTATAAATAGATGATGACATTTTGATAGCTGAATTATTTAAACGAGTGAATGATTGATAGATAGACTGGATAATAAGTAACTAGGTAGCTATATGTCCCTTTTAGATAACCTTTGGGTAGGTACCTAGGTAGATACACCTCAAAGGTCTTTATATCATCTACTACTATCCTTTCTAACCTAACATTACCTACTTTGCTGGTATCCATACGTCCGTAAGTAGCTAAATACGAGTTTCTCAGTGTTGAGATCTGCGGCTCGTGCTATAAAAGGACGTGAAGGTTTGTAACAGGTCTTCTCAAGATTCAAATTTTCTGCGATTTGAACGGGCTCTTTTTCGATGCGGCTGTACGCGGTTGGTAGGTAGATACCAGGGTTCTGTTACCCAGGAGCGTCTATCTGTACCTCGCTCGTTCTACTCTATTCTCATCCCGTTCGAACGAGTGTAAGTCAGCTCTTCGTATGAAAAGTCCCGTAAATTACCACCACTATAAGGATCTTACCGACTTGATATATATATCTAGAGGGATGGACGTATGTCGTTTAACTAACTAGTGATCTGCTCGGAATTTCTTTATAAGATATCCACCAACCCGTATTTCTTCGTAGGGTTAACCGATCTAGCTCGCGCCACCTGATGATAGTTAAACATCAACCACATCAGAATTACAATTGAAAATTCGCGTATGCTAGATGATGCAAATACAAACTAAAGTACCTGGTTTTACGTGACTTGTTGATTGCTTCAAATCCGAGCAATTATTTTACATCGTGATAATAGAGGCAACAAATATGCCACAATTCAAACTACATATTAGATAGAGGTTGATCATGGTCGCTTACTTTGAAAATGCCAATCAATGCTGTTTTTATAGTGGTTGCCTAAATTCCGTCATTTGACATGACCTTTTCGTAGCAGGTAGAGAGATAGACACGGATTGCTTTGCCGCTGGTGCAATGTTTGAAGTTACCTAAAGGATGAAGACATCCGGGGCAATTAATTGGTGTTGTTTGAACAACATTAACTTCCATGATAAGCACCTAAAGTAGGTGGCAGGTAGGTAAAAAAAAAGAAACAACCAAAAAACAATTTGAAGAACATCTTCAAGAGAAAGATTGAAACATAAAAGATAAAAATGAAAGAGAAAATTGCAAAAGATAATGTGCCCCCACACCGGATTGAACGATGGACCTCAGCATGGACTTGTAGAATATCTTCAGAAGAATTACAAGTGCTGCGCTCTACCACTGAGCTATAAGGGCTGGTGTACTGTACAAAAAAGTTTTCCAAATAGCTTTATAATTTAGAGTACGTAGTGGGGGCACTACAGAGCTAACTATATCACGTGAAAGCCAATTCATTAAATCGGGTACGCTGTCGCTGTCGACAGTAAGAAAATATTTTTGTCAAGAATGACGTAAGTGCAATAGTTTAGTTACTTTTGGAAGACTACAAAATTGATTGCTTAAAAGCATCCAGCCTTGCGATGCTTCAGGTAATTATGCGCCTGATGAATCCAAGATAGGTACTTAAGCATGATGATAATTTATATATCAGACTAGAAGTCTACAAATTAACGCAATTAAGCTATTATTAAAATCTCATATTTCTACCTACCTAGGTAGATCAGGGACTTAGGTGTAGTATAATATTGGAGGTCCTGTGAAGGGATGTACTTTTGCCATCGAATACCGAATGGTATCTAAGGCATTTGAGTATCAAACTTGCTTGTATCAGCTATAAGAAGACCAGGTCTTTGCTCAGACTATTTTAGAGCAATAGTTAAGTATACATTTCAGGATAGTTAGTCCTGAATATGCTGTGGTTTGGTCATCTAGTTGTCTGTGATTGTTTGACCTATTTCTCTTCCTATCTAATCCCGCATATGGTCCATCGAATTAGTTGGAATTGGATGAGGAATCGGATGAGCCCGTATCGCCGATCCGACTAGGCATTTCAGGTCTAGTGTTGTGAGGTCATGCCGCGTTGGACATTAAGCAGTATACGCTCTCTATCAGTACACGGTAAAAGACCTAAACAGATAGAGGATATTGTTAAGCATGGCACTTAGTATCATCATGTTATGTGGATTATCAACAATACCTTTGTCAAATAGGTAGGCCTATGAGTAAGATATACTCAATATTCAAAGTATTGAGCTTCGGCGCCTTCCGAAGTCGAAGTGGAGATGATTCCCACAACAGAACATTATTATTTGAATATTCGACGGCCACCTGCCCTTACCGCGAATCTTTCAGCTCCGTTTTGCGTTTGCTGGTTCCAAACCATCAAGCTCCCTAAAGAGCCACCGTTTTCAGTACCGGCCTTGCGGCGTCTATATGCTTCGCGAAGATGCTCGGGCCGTAAGGGGGCTTGCCGGCGGTGTTTTGATAACTCGTTCGCAGGCTTAAGATCGTCGTCAGATAAGTCGGTTTGCTTCTCGCCTAATTGTATCCATTCTTGTTGAACCTCACGCGCGGACTCGACGATATCTCCAAGATACATTTTACAGACTACCTGCATCATCTGATGAACATTGGTAGGGCATGACTGCGATGTGACGCTATTGATATGCTATATAAGGATGGGGACGGTTAGTTATACCATAATCAACTGGGGCAACCATTAGCATAGGGTATGACGACTTGCCCTCTTTACGTCTGAGGTCTTAAGAGTTTGGCGATGCCAGACCTCGTACCGGTCGAACTGCAGAGCATCCATTTGCGTCTTGAGAAGCGCATTTAGCTCCTTCTCTTCTTCGAGCTGCTCCTTAGTTCGAGCAGCAGACATGCTAGCCATATTCTCGGGTATCTCGAACTCCTCTTCTTTCCTGGAGTCTGGGTCGACGTCCTTCCCAGCATGATTACCGCTCGCATTACTAAGGATAGTAGGTGCGCGACCTCCTACAACGCTTGGAGACCCGTCTCGCATGGCTTCAGCGGCCGCTTCGCTTGCGCGCTCCGCTTTTGACTTTCTACCGCGTTTTTTCTTTGCGGGCGCGCCGCTAACTTGACTGCCACTAACGAGGCTCATGGTATCGACACTTGGAGATCGTCGGTAGGACGGAGAGAAGGCTCGTATTTGAGATTCGTCGGGCGGAAAGGATGTCTGTCGAAGAGGATGGGCTGAGCCTACGGAGGCTACGGACATGACAGATGCTTTGCGACGTTTGAGGGAGGGCGGTTGAGATGAGAGATCAGCAGTTGTGGAGCCACGCTTCTTCGATGGCAACTGCGCGCTAGAAGAGTATGGCGGAGAACCCGCAGGCGAGTAGGCGCGAGGAGGGGATGCCATATTGTCTTGTTTAGGTAGAGAGCCTAGTTTAGTGAAGTCCACTCGAAGTCTCCAGAGGGCGCGACGGATCTTCGCTTCCGAACTCTTAGGCAGGTAACGTAGTCAGGTTGAATGCGAAAGGAGCGAATGTTTTAGTTGAACAGCTTGATTGGGAATGCTGCGTAAAACGATGGATGGCTAATAGAAAACAATCAGAGAGTTGTTGTTGCTAAGGAACTTTTGATGAGTGATGCATGCTGAATGACGGAGGAGCTTGAGCCGTACAAACTCAAGCCACATGGGGCATGCAATCAGAGGCAAGCAGCAAGGGGCAGGCAATCGAAGAAGGTACAAACATCATTGTGGGTACCTAGGTACCTACCTAGGTACTACATTGTACCACCTACATAAGCCGAAGCTAACCCCATGAACATGACTTACCCTTACATACATACCTCTAAGACGATAACGCGATAACGGACAATTGAAGAGTCAATTTTCGATACTTGCAAATCCAGTCTACCTTAATAAAGTTCGCATTAGAGTGGGATTCAAAAGATTCCATCTCAGCTGCCATAAGCACCAAGGACTTCGCCTCCGCACATCATACATGTGCTTAACCTGATTGAGCTGATTGGAACTTACAGTCAGATTTTCCCGCTCCGTAAGCATCCTACATAACTTTCCTTACACTAAACCCAGAGACAGCCCCTCTTATAACGTCCTTGCGCCAGTTTAACGCCTCGGCCAGAGAAAGGCAGAATGGTATAGTTCGCTGACCCAAAGCTCAACGATTTAGAAATGGCAACCATAGATCCTTCTACCAGCTCCGTCACGGGAGTCTCCGATGTTGACGACTCCGTTCATGGCAGCGAAATACAAGACCACGACCAAAGTCGAGACGATAGGAGGGCCAACAAGAAGAAGAGGAGAAGAAGAGCGAAAGATGGAGGCATATCAGAGATGAATGGACCTTCAAAGTCGTTAAAGAGGAGGAACAGCATCAGCAAAGCAGCGCGGGATCCCATGGATGAGCCTCGTGGGAAGAAGCACAAGAAGGCTAAGACCGAGGGTATGGAAACCAGGTCGCCCAGTCCGGTTATTGACTTTGATGGCCTAAGCCGGCCAAGTACGTATTTGAGCAGCTTCAACGATCAACTTCCACCACTTACATAATTCAGGTCGGGGGACCCGAGAACGACTTGAGGAGAGTTCCGAGCAAGCAGCCGAGAGATTGGAGAAAATGCGAGGAGCCATTCGGACAATTCTAGAGTGCGTTGGCGAAGACCCAGACAGAGAGGGCGTTCTCGATACTCCGAAACGATATGCGAAAGCGATGCTTTTCTTCACAAAGGGATATCAGCAGAACGTCAGGGACATTGTGAACAATGCTATCTTCCACGAGAACCATAATGAGATGGTTATCGTGAAAGACATAGAAATATTCAGTCTCTGCGAACACCACTTGGTGCCCTTTACTGGGAAGGTCAGTTATCCCAATTCGCTATTTTACTTCATATTCTGATTTTCTATTAGATGCATATCGGATACATTCCGAACAAGAATGTTATCGGCATTTCTAAGCTACCGCGTATTGCCGAAATGTTCAGCCGCCGACTGCAAGTCCAGGAGAGATTAACGAGAGAAGTTGCCAATGCTATCATGGAGGTTCTGAAACCTCAGGGTGTGGCAGTTGTGATGGAGTCAAGCCATCTCTGGTACGCACCATTCCACTGCCTCCTATTCTCATTTCAAGCACTGACCACTATTATTTCTAGCATGGTCATGCGGGGTGTTGAAAAGACGACTACCAGCACAATCACTAGTTGCGTGCTCGGCTGTTTCGAAAGAAAAGAAAAGACTAGAAACGAGTTCCTAAGTCTTGTTGGGCTGAATAGGACATACAGATAGATTACAGGATAGAATTAGGTACCTACAGGCAGGTATGCATGTGCATTCGAGGCGTTTTGGGTTTGGAGCGTGGGATTTCAACATCAAGCTCATCCATGAACACGGTATGGGAAATGCATCTTAGAGCTCAATAGGCTCAACGCCTTTAAGGAAGGTACTGTGAGGCGTTCAGGGCTATGAAAACACTCTTCAACATTATCTTTGTGTATTATCAACTACACCATATATGCATTCATTGAGGCATTTAAATGCTAATAACCATAGGATCGAGATTAGTACTTCTATGTTCCATTTGTGATAATATGAGGTTTATACCAAAGTCTCAATATCATAGCAGATTAGGTATTTACTAGTAGGAGAAGAAAATGTTATTAGATAGAGCCTTCGTAAGCTCCTAAAGTCAAAAAGTTGACAATGTTGGCAATATATATACCTGTTAGTGATGGTTAATGTAATGCTTCCATTTCTACTCCACTATATTGTATTAGTGAATTGTGAAATGACTTCTATAATGATCTCATCCCATACCCTGTCTTACTCCGAATACTCGGTGATCTATCCAGTTCGGCCGAAAAGCTACAGGATCAAGCTCCTAATATATCAGATTCCTTGTGAACAGGGATACCACCGTATCGATAAAATATCACCTCTCTAGCCCTCTTGGTCGGAACCTTTGTCATACACTAGAATTTCTATATCCTCGCTTCTATTCGGCTATACATACGATATTAAATCAAGCACGTCAACACCGTTTACGTGATAAATACGTAGGTAGCTCGCTCTTTACCGCGGAATTGTTTCCGGTCGATACTCCATTAGAGCAGGCTACGTAGCGGTTAGAGTAGTGCTCAATTTATAAGCGCGGAGATAGGACCCTCGCCAAAAGCCGCAATGTTACCTTCATCTTGTCAACCGAACGAGCTAAGATCACACTTGGAATCTCTATTGTTAATCAAGTAACAAGTATGATTACGAGAAGTATCTACTGCCCTTCCACACTTACGTAACAACGGCTACCCTTAGAATCACGTATGGCTAGCTTTGATACCGTAATATCTTGCCCGCTACACCTATAGAGAGCCTGTGGGATGTGCGCATCGGCTTCGGACTGTATCGAATACCGATGTGATGGTAATGTATGATGCTCGTTGCGTCTTACGTGTCATACACCCTAAGCGATGTGGACCTGTAGCTATATATACCCCTCAATACTATATCAAATATATTCAGTATCTTAGGTAGTAATTTACACATACCCAATTCCAAGATATTCATACCTTAGTTGGGAGATAGATATCACTAAAACCGAATTTGTTCGACAAGATGAGTAGCATTACCAAAGTTGCAATCGCAGGGGTAAGAATTCACCCGAATGTCCCATCTGGCATGAGAGAGAACCAGTAGCTGATAATTTAATATAACACAGGCTACCGGCAACGTAGGCCCAGCAGTACTAAAACAGCTCCTCGAAGACGGTTTTGAAGTCACCGTACTTGCCCGCAAAGGAGCCACGAAAAAATTCCCGTCCTCAGTGACTGTTGCTGAAATCGATTATGAGTCTCCCGAGTCACTTGAGAAGGCGCTCAGTGGCCAAGACGCGGTTGTGTCAACCGTTGGCTTCGAGGGGTTGCCATACCAAATCCCTCTAATTCGAGCCGCAGTTAAAGTCGGCGTCAAGCGCTTTATCCCCTCGGAATATGGTGGAGATGCGGAGAACGAGAAGGCTCTTAGCTTACCTCCATTCCAAGCGAAGAAGGCTGTCACCGAAGTCCTGAAGAAGGAGGCAGCGGCTGGTTCTATAACATACACGCTGATATCCACCGGGCCTTTCTTGGATATGGGGCTCCAGTACGGCTTTCTCATCGACCCCAAGGGCAAGAACATTACACTTTGGAACGGCGGCGACAGGCCTTTTAGCATCACCACTGTCGCATCTACCGCCAAGGCCGTGTCGGAGGTGCTTAAGCACCCTGAGGAGACCAAGAACCGCAATGTTTATGTGCACAATGTACAAATTTCCTTGAAGAAGCTCCTCGAGCAAGCTAAGAAAGCAGTTGGATCGGACGGATGGAAGTCAGAAGTCAAGTCTACCGACGAGCACCTCAAGCAAGCCTACGCAGAGCTCGAGAAGGGTAATCACGATAGAATGGCTTTTATAGCTGCGGCGATATGGGGAGAAGGATACGGTAGCCACTTCGAGAAAGTAGATAACGATCTGCTCGGCGTGAAAGAATTCAGCGACGTAGAGCTCCAGGACTTCATAAAGGGCTTTGCAAATTAGGGTCATGTACAGTTTATCGACCTAGATACCTATGACTAATTCTTTATTCTCAAATAATATATTCCATGGTGAAGCTCTTCGTCTTAGCATATAAACATACATATTCAGCCGTAGGCAAGCACGTGGCATAGATAGGGGTTAATAAAGAGCCACCCTAGGTAGGATCATACTAGGTAAATGAAGTCTTAAAAACAAATCCGTATCCTCAGTGGCACTTGGAATAAACATTATAAATTATGTACGATCAGTTATGCACAGGTTTCAAAATCTACGTAAGTGTATGCAACTAGTTATATATTTTGTTAAAGTTATAAATTCGAACAATCGTACATAGACTAGGTAAATCGCCTCGTATAGATGATTAGCTAAATAACGTACCTAGGGTAGGTACCACAGTGATCCTATCCCATAGGATTGGATCTGTGACAGTAGCCTTGATCCTCATGAATCCCATGAGTAAGGGGTACCTGGATCTAGCTTTCTATAGTATGCATACTGCAGTTCCCGGGTCTAGTGACTACTCTGTCCGGGTAAGGAGGTGAACAGGTCGGAGTTGTGCTAGTGTGCACGACCCTAGGCGGGTCATAGGCGCAACCACAGCCTGCGTATTTGTAAACGTTCCTATAGCACATGATGGAAAGTTCTAGGAAGTAAAATAAAAATATGAAGTATTGCTGGCTTTAGTTGAAGATAGTTATTAGTTTCGACAGTGATCGATGTAGGTGGATACTATGGTATAACCTTTCCATCATAGAGAGTAGTTAGTCTCATTTATAGAAGATATCCAGAAAACAATCGTGGACAATGTGATTATGAACTACTTAGACTTTTAAAGAGTCTTTATAACTCCTGAAAGAGATTGGATCCTTAACAATGCGGTATATACCTACATATCGGAAACTCTTATCAGGATTCTGGATGAAACATTTGGAACAAAGAATATTCTCGGTGTATAACTCCAAACGTCCATGATCAGGTTTGGAGTTCCTTGCGGAACTATGAAGTTGTTCCCATGCTTCTTGCTTTACCTCGTAATAAACGGCGCCTGGGCGGTGAATCATACGAAAGCATGTAGGGACTTCAGACTTAGGATAAGGATATACTCCAACAAATTCAAGTGCTATATTTTATATGCAAGGTATCCAAGGCCTTTATTGGGAAGGGGCCAAAGCAGTTCTTACGGTGATTGAGAATATTTTTCGTTTTCACATATCTATCACTACATCAAGCACACTTCCGGTATCTAACCTGGCCTCGGGATCTATCTCGCACTGTCGTATACCTAAAGGAGAACTGAAGCGCGATTTTGAAGCAAAGTCAATTTAGTGATATATTGATGGTTGTTCCTAGACTGTCTCTTTATTCAGATGTATCCAATGCTGCCCTGAGCTTTTCTTCATCCCTAGGCACACATAGTACACGATATGGCTTGGGAACCATGATTAAATCTTTTGGATTAACCATATCGATGCTAGGATCGCATTGTATATCACCTGAGGCCACAAAGCGAAAGCTACTCAATAGCCTCATAAAGATGATATACACCTCGCGGGTAGCAAGGATATGCGCTGCGCACATACGGTATCCTAGGCCGAATGTAAATAAAGGGGCTTCGGGTTTCTCTAACCATCGTTCAGGCACAAAACTGTCGGGGTCAGACCATAGTTCGGGATCTATAGCCACATATTGTGTAAGTTGAAGTAGCTAAATAATGAAGTTATGGGATCTGGAGTGGTGGTGGTTCTCTTACCATGATTACAGGCCCATGCATTCATGTACACAGTGCTCCCAGATGGTATTACGATGCCATTGTATTCAACATCTCTGATGGATGCTCTTGGGAGCGCTAGAGGGATGACAGAGAAGTATCGAAGAGCTTCTTTTACCAGTGCTAGTACATAAGCACATTTTTGATCGTCGGCAGCATCACACAATGGCTCATTAGACCCCTGGAACTGCTGAATCTCGGTATAGGCCTTATCTTGGATCTCCGGATGTAGCGCGAAGTAAGCAATCGACCATTGCACAGTAGTTGACACAGTCTCGAAACCTCCTCCCAGCACAGACAAGCTGAAAGCAACTAATTCGGTGTCACTGAGCTGAACCTCCTTATACTTAATTACGCTCGCCTGGATGCATGGTTTGTTAGTGCCTTTTGATACTTTCTCCGCAAGATCCTTGTTCAGTATAGAAAGGTACCGGTCTCGGCGCTGGCGCAATTGTCGAGCATTGGCAGAATTCTGGTTTAAGGGGTTAAGGCGTAGCAAAGGAATGTGATCTTGAGTATTGCCGACAGTGGATCTGGTCTTGTTGAGTCCCTCTTCGACGGATACTATCTCTTTAAATAATTCATCTTCAATAGAAGTAATCCGAACGCCCCAGTTGATTGTCGTCATCAGCGAGAGGCTCACTCGTTGAACCAAGGGAAGTGGATCAACCGCAAGCTTCCCGGCTTTTCCATAGTTGAGGAGATCTCGAATGAACGTCTTTGTCTCTAGATCAAGGTACGGGACATATGTCTTGATAGCGGGACGGTTCAAGGCTACCGCCGCGGCCTTCTTCTTTCGCTTTAAGCTATCATCGTAGGGCGATGTGCCAATTGTGAAGCCAGCAGTACTGGAAGCTACCTATAGGGGCAGAACGCATCAACGAAAGCTGCACACGGAAGCTTGATTGCGTGTACAACATACCTTATGAAATGTATAACTTATCGGCCGAGAACTTAAAGCTTGAGAATTAGATATGAACAATTCCTTCGCCGTAGCAGCACTATTAACAACAACGACGCTAGTATTTCCTAGTTGGACCTGATAGACATCGCCATACTCTTTGGCCCATTCCTGATACTTTAATGCCGCATTAGACCATATGTCGATTAAATTCCCAAAAATCGGGAGACCTCTCGGGCCTTTTAATCCAGAGATTCGCGACTGACTGCGTAGGATTTCATTTCCAACAACGTAAAGCAGTACTGCGAGAAGACTCCCAATGGCAAGGGAGCTCAACGTATGCTCGACCAATGCCTTTTGGGAAAGGATGATGAGCGATTCCATGGTAGCATGGATAGTGATACTTGAAAATGGTGAGAATTTACATTAAAGCTGTTACGAGGAAATATTACATACGATCTCTGTTCTCCACTCACTCGGCACATTGTAACGTAGATCCTTACAACCCCGGATCCCAAAAGCATCAACCCCTCCCAAATCCCAACATGCATTGCAACTTGCCACGTGCGTAGGTGGTTTTCTTTCAGGACTTATAGCCGGGATTGCCGACGGCTACTACCGGACGACTTCACGTCCACCGCCTTATTCAAATAGGAGCTATTTGTTAGGTAATCATTACCTCCTATGCAGTTTTCTGTTATTATAGTTAAACCAATATTCTATTATAACATTTGGATGTCTGACCTATAACAGGTAGGTCTTTATGCCTCGTTCTCCACTGGTGTTGAATATTGATGAAGTAAAAATGACTGCGAGATTTAACTGGCAATTATTTAATTGGCCCTCAAGCGGAACTTCCATTTAGGATACTCCGTTGGATTCGCAATGAGTTCTTGCATGTTCTTGATAAAAGGACGATCGGGTCCTACAAACAGTAGGCCATTTTCGATGCACAGAGCAGCATATTTGATTGCCATTTTAGCATCACCAATCCCAATATATTCGATTGCCGCTCGATAATAGGCTTCATTTAACCGGCCTAAGATCCCCTCTTGTTCGTATAGCGATACTAAAAGTTCCGCCTTTTTGGAAGATCCTTTTGATGATGCCGAGTGGTCATCCAACTCTTTCCATAGAGCATGTATTTGAGAAACTCTACGATCCGATTCAGCTATCGCCGTCGCATTGGCACTGCACCTCTGACATGAACACCGGAAACCCCATTCTTTTTGTAACTTCTCTTGCCTCGTAGAGTGCGATTGAAGAGGGCTAAATCTTTTTAGTAAGTAGATCTCTTCTATCATGGCTTCTAACTCACTCATAATAGGCTATCGTGAGCTCCTCACCCTCCATAACATCTCGCACAGCTAATACTTTATGATGAAAATCTCTGTGATCGAAATAGTAGGCGCACGTGGGCCGACAGTCATGATTGAGTCGCGATACTGCCAGTTCATATATTAGTTGCTGATGAAGAGATCATGGACCCACAGAGCCAGAAACATGATGCCTAGGTAGGTAGTTGTATAAACAAACCTTCAGTGAATAGAGAATAAAACGGGTTGATCCCATCGTGGTAACCCGTTCGGAATGAATTTGTTTGGAGAATTTTATAAAGTTTATCGCCATAGTCACTTGTACTGCTATGCGTCGACAACTTGAGTAAACTTTCTCTGTGTTGAGAAGGGAGATTTTCAACAGCGCGAACAAGGAGTTCTGATACAGCCTTCTTTCCTAGAGTATTGATTGCTTTTTCGTTTACCATTATAGCGGGTGTTCGTGCCATTATGAGCTCTCCTGCTCGTATCGCCCTTGTTGCTACCAGTCCGATATCTTTACCTGGTATTTCCACTTCGCGGTAGGGGATGGCCAACTTTGATTTTGAATCAATTTCCGCGTGCTCCTCCGTGATGAAAGCCGGCCGTGTTGAAATAGTTGAAATACTCTTTGAGGTAGTGATCACCGAGACACCTTCACCCCGGTTGAACACTTCGTTAGTGAAGACGCAGAACTTATCAGCTCTAGCGCCGCGACAAAGACCGCCCGATTTCCAGGCCTTTAGTGGCGATGATGGTTCACCTAGCAGGCTGCCATGCCCGGCAGGAAAACCCTCAGAAGATATACATATCTCAGTGTCAAATATGAATAGTGGATTAGGTACCGCGCATGTCTGCGACTCGAGACGGGGCTGCACTATATTAGCAAGAGCAGTCGTGAATTGAAAGAGAAGCAAAAATTGGCGCATAGTCTTCTGGAACGACATAACTCAGGTTTAACTATATCTCATGTAAGTGAGAATGAATTATCCAAATTTTGAGGAATTAAGTTGAAGATATCTTTCCTGAGACTCCTTGGCGGAGCCAAGCCTCCGAGTCTAAGGGGATTCCGGGTCGAAAACATAAGGCCATCGAAAATGGAGACTCCACAACGGCTACTATGGGCACTGCTATATAGGTCGACAGGTACCCTGTAAGAGATAGAAAGTATCCACCTGTAAAAACCCGGTATTTTGAAATACCATGTTGTTACCTTCGCTTACCGGATAGAAAAGTCATGTGTTTAAATTGAGACAAATGAAAATCTTTCGTAGTAATAGTAAATATATCATGCCAGGTTTTATAACTCATACTGTCACATATGAAGTCAAGATACATCTAGGACATTCAAGATGCACGGACCACTTTATATCCACCGAGACTATCCCCTATCTTTTGTTCCCCCTTTAAACCCCTTTACGTTGAAGCTGGCTTTTAAATAAAAGGTCTTCAATTGAGCTGTGGAACATCCGCTACAAGTGACAGAATCTAGAAAATCTGCGAACGTATGGACGCGATCAAGATTTGGATATTAGGTTATTGCTTACATGAATAAAATCATTAACCCTTCGTAAAAAGGGGTATACGTACCTAAGGTAGTCTCATAATACCTACCTAAATGACAAATACTGGATGTGCTTTGAAAGCGATAAAACAGCCATGTGATGAGTCGAAGTCGAGTATAAATACACACAGTATTGAGATAGTAGACGACATGCGGGTATAGTGGATTGGTTTTGGAAAACAATGAATAGGTACCTAGTATAGACATTGTCTGCTATGATCAAGGCACGGGACTATGACTTGTTACCAACGTAAAATGTAAAATTCTTAAATAAAGGTTTCTTTATGGTCAATGATAAATTAGCATAGTTTAATTTAGTAATAACTGCACGCAGATTCAAATGCTTAGAACAAAATCAATCCTTTAATCGAGGAATCTTGTTTTACTCCAGTGCCGTTTGAACTCTTTAGCTTATCTATCAATCAGGCTTCTACCTGGTTTCATCGTTTTCTCGAGTTAATCTTGATCTGCTTACCATATAGAGAATATATTATTTGTTAGACATACTATATCAAATTTGGTCTATTAAAAGCCATCTGTCTTGCTAGTATGCTACGATGTAGTATTGATGCGACCGGGGTCAAATAGGTTACATGTAGGTACAGATGGCGCTTGTACTAAGTCGAGTCCCATGAGCCAATTACAGATTCTGTCTGCGACACACTGCGGGGTTTGACATCCGACTCGTTGAAGTTTATCTATCGGGAAAGAGAAAAGGGCAGGCAATAATAACTGAGACACTCAATCGGGTGGGGAGTCCGATCATTCCTTTAAGTTTACGACACACACTTTAAAAACGTGAATCAGATAGTGACTACGCGCTGCAACCCTATTTCTCATACCTAGTCCCTTACCTAGTCCCCTACCTTGTCAGTGTTCACAGCATGAGCCAAGTACATATTGGCCATACCCCCTCGACGGGCGAGCCATCATCTCATCCACTGTCTAATCTCTGGAAGTAAGTATGCTAATAACGACTTGTCGCTTTGGTTCACTATGTTTTTCACGGCCTTGGTTATGTTGACGTGTATAGCGTCGATAGATGCGAAGCCTCTAGCTAAGATATCTGTTAATAGCACAGGTTCCTTGGGACCTCTCACTTTTAAAAGCGACGGGACGTTCCAGATATCCATATTTGAAGATTTACATTTTGGCGAAAGTATGACCCCGTCTAAAATGACCTAATTGCCTATGGAATAAAAGCTAAACTATTCGAATTAGACGCCTGGGACCAATGGGGACCCCAACAGGATATCAACTCTGTCAAGGTCATCAACAAGATCCTTGAAGCAGAGTCGCCTGGACTTGTTGTTTTGAATGGCGACCTGATTACTGGCGAAAACGGATTTCTGGAGAACAGTACGGTTTATGTCGACCAGATCGTGGGCCCTCTTGTAGATCGAGGTCTTACCTGGGCGTCAACGTACGGCAATCATGACTATGACTATAACATATCCGGCAGTACCATTCTCTCCCGCGAAAAGCGGTGGAGCAATAGTCGGACGACACAGATGGTTTTCGATGAAGAAGCGGGGACGTCAAATTACTATCTCCCAGTTTATGACAGCGATTGCAGCGATGAAAATAGCGCCCCCGAGCTGATACTTTGGTTTTTTGACAGCAGGGGAGGGTTCCGATATCAGCAGAAGGACGGGTCTGGAAACCGGGTTGGCCAGCCAGATTGGGTCGACTTCAGCGTCGTGAACTGGTTTCTCCAGACGAATAATAAACTTGTTAAGAAGTACAGCAAGACTATCCCGTCGTTGGCGTTTGTCCATATCCCAACTTACGCATCGTACGTCCTGCAGAAAGAAGGTATCAATCCGCATGCCGAGCCAGGGATAAACGACGACTATCCGCTGGCTCCCCAGGCCCAAGGATGGTGTGCAGACGGTCGGAACGATGGTACTTGCGACTACGGCGGCCAAGATATTCCGTTTATGCAGGCCATCTCGGCTGTTCCAGGGTTAATGGCTGTCTTCTCAGGGCATGATCATGGAAATACGTGGTGTTATAAATGGGATAGCCTACTCCCTAACATGACGGTTTCGCCTCGCAATGACGTTAACTTGTGTTTCAGTCAGCATTCAGGGTACGGTGGTTACGGTAACTGGGAAAGGGGGGCTCGCCAGGTTCTCGCAACGAAGTCGAAACTAGCAAAATTTGAGGTTGATACATGGATCCGTCTCGAGTCTGGAAATGTTGTGGGTAGCATCTCGTTGAATTCTACGTATGGAGAGGATTTATATCCGGCGACTAATAATTCGAAGACCTACTGTCCTACTTGTGATTACGGCTCGTAGGAGGAGTAGGGATAAATTTATCGTAATGATAATGTGATAATACGGGTATAGAATAACTACTATAATTAACATAAATGTATAATCTTTTAGAAAATATCTATATTATGGTATGATATCTGAATTACAACTAGTTGCCTAATGTAATTCAAACAAAGACATAGGGGTGTCTGTCCACAATGTCAGTTAATTGGAGCTTGTGCGAGCATCATCTGCATTTGGTATAGCCTATATAGCCAAGATTGAATCATTACCTATGCTGAGGGGAGCGTGCATAGGATATGATTTAACTTCTGTGGTTCTTTTATTTATAGGACCTTTTCTCCTTCGACTTTTCTTATCTCCCCAACCCCACCTATTCATTTGCTTACATTGTGGTTTTGTTAACGGTGCATACCTCCAGAATACATTATCTAGCATCATCTAATCATTAGACGCCCCCGCCCCCTATAATCAGTCAGCTACCATGGAGAAGTATGCGACGTACCCAAGCCTGCGGGGAAAGACTGTCTTGATAACTGGAGGGGCCGAAGGCATCGGAGCAGCATCGGTCGAGCTTTTCTGTCGGCAAGGCTCCAATGTCGTCTTTTTGGATTACTCGGACGTTTCAGCAAAGAAACTGCTTGAGAAGATCAAGGAAATTCCTGGCGCTACCCAGCCCACGTTCCTCCACTGCGATGTGACCGACTTGGCTCGCCTCAAGGAATGCGCGGAGAAGGCGCTCGCCGACCACGGCACGGTGGATGTTCTTCTAAACAACGCCGCTCGTGCCGGCGCCCAGACGAGAGTCCCGACCACTCAGGTAACGCCTGAGTCGTGGGATCACGACGTCAATGTAAATCTTCGTCATCAGTTCTTTCTAACGCAGGCGGTGGTGCCGGCGATGCAGAAGAAGGCATCAGGCAGTATCATCAATATGGGATCCATCACGTGGCGCATTCCAGCCGTCGGGCTTCCTCTCTACACGATGTGCAAAGCGGCAGTGGTTGGTATGACGAGAACGCACAGCAGGGAGTTTGGTCAGTACGGCATCAGGGTGAACAGCGTTGTTCCCGGCGCCATTGCGACGCAGAGGCAGATCGATGAGGTCTTAACGGATGAGTACCGCGCCGAAGTGATGGCCGCGCAAAGTTTGAAGAGAGATCTCATGCCTGATGAGGTAGCGAGACTGATACTCTTTCTTGCTGCAGATGATTCCAGCGCTATCACTGGGAGTAGCTACGTGATTGATGGAGGGTGGGTCAGCGACGTTTAAAGAACTTTTAGGGAATTGGACTCATAAGGAAATTATATACTAGAATCAGAGTGCTTAGGTATATTACTATATTACTTGACTCGTTCTTCCTTTATCAGCTAGTTTAACATATTCATATATTTCAGGATACATATCTACTTGTCGATGGGATAGGGCTTACGCTTTCTTTTTTATACAGACTGCCCATGTTCCCTTTGTTTTTGCAGACACTATAGGCCTAACATATATTCTTCCTCGGTACATCTTTCACATTTACATGTGAACCCCCAATTCGACAACAGCTTCTGCCTCTCATCCAATTTCAGCCTCGAGAGATTGTCATAGGAGACAGTTACCTCTTCACCCGCGGGGATATCACATTCCGTTACCATCTCTAGATGATAAGGTGGATCACCTCTATATCTCCAGGTAGCATTTGGTCTGCAGGAGTGGTTAGAACGGGCGAAAGTACTATACACCGCGGCTCCGTTATCAGGGGTCCCGCTGGCATTGATCCAAAATATCGAGTAGGCTTTTATAAGTGCCATTACCGCCTCAGTTCGATTGAATCCCGGTTCATAACTTCCGCTACTTCGCATGTAATTCTTTAGCCACTTGTCAAAATGATTGTATAGATCCTTATGCTGCTCGTACTGTTCAGGGTTCCAAGCGTGGCTATCCAATCGACTACGATTTGACTCACTGGCTGAGGCGAACGCATCACAAAAGACATTGACCTTTTGTTCGTCAGACCTGGACCGAATACTCGGTGGTCCATAAATGGTCGCCGTTTCACTGCTGATGATGGTATTTGCTGGGATATTTGCCTTAGCAAAGAGGCCAAACCCCCTACCCTCGCTGGGCCTGACATCTATGCTGTTTAGCATTTTGAACTCCCTTGCGGCCATTTCTAATTTATAGTATTAAATTAGATAACTGTACGTTATTTTTGGTTGTTTTAAGGTATTATAATTGTTAGGAGACTAATGATAGGCAACTTCCTCGATGGTATTACGTAGAGAATCGCTGTAGAACCTCACGTATATAATGTATGTATTGATAAAAACAATGTATTATCATTGCTACCGAACATGGTTATTGATAACTTATAGAAAGAAATCAGAGCAGTTGTAGACGATTGTTATGACTTAGATATGAGCGAAAAAAGACCGTGAAATTTTGTTTCAAGTGACGATTCTACCCGCACAAAGAAATTGTCCTGGATTTAAATATTTTGTTCGGGTACCAATGCTTATGCACCTTTACCGCTAACTATTGAGTGAGTGTGGTAGAACCACAGGTCATATTACTTCGCTGCAATACAGCATGGTTCGATGATAGGTATAGGTACACCTAGGTACCTAGGTAATCTTTCCCAATTACCCTACTAGAGTCTATATAGGATCCATGCTAATGCGTCTTCTCAAATAGGGATAACCCCTTTTCATTCCCAGTATAAATGTGATAATTATTACAGTAAGACGTAAGGCTCACCACACATTGCCTTTTGTCTGCTTCCCTCGTGTTTCTTCCAACTTCACGACATTGATATTCCTCCAGACAAGAACGCAGATAACACAGATAGGGATGAATGCTGAACCAGCAATAACCATTTTCTTCTGCACGTCGCCGAAAGCCTCGATGATTGCATGGCGGATAGGACTACCCACTGGATAAGATTTCTGTACGGCAATATTGCCAAAAATCTTGGAGACTAGGCCCTTACTATCCTCTGGTAAGAATTCATGTAGCTTTTGGGGGAGAACATTGTTCCACAGTGCACCAGCGATAGCGAGGCCAATAGCAGCGCCAATAGATCCGAAAAGGCCAAATATAGCCATAGCTACGGCAATTTCTTGATGCGTAACCGAGGCCATAATCGCAAGCTGTGCCGTAAGAACCCAGATTCCGCTTGCGACGCCGTTGAAGATTTGACACATCACGAGATACCCAACGTAAGTCTCCGGTGTGCGGAAGTGGACTAATAGCACGGTACCTAGGACGCAAAATGGAATTCCAGCGATTGCAGTCCATTTGTAGTCGCCAGTGTGCCGTATGAGACTAGGTTGGTCACATGAGGTTAGAATGAATCTTGTTAACATTGGTCTTTTTATGGGGTTAGGACTTACAGGCCAACAAACGGGCCAATGAAGGACGACGTGAGCGAGAAAGAATTCAGTACGTAACCTGAGATCGTGATACTCTCATCGTGTACAACCTGCAAGTATGATCCGTAGTAGCTGTCCCAACAGCTAAGCCCCTATGTCAGTAATACTGCTAAGAAACCTAAGATATTGGACTGATACTTACTAGACGGAGAGGAACATGACGCCGTAAAGCGTACAGGCACCGAGAATGGTTCTATCTTTGAGGAACTTGAAGGGAAAGTACGCAACAGGTGCGAAGAATCTTTCCCAGACCACGAAGGCAGCTAACGAGACAGCACCAAGAATTTTCATTGCTATGATATATCCAGTCCTCCATCCACGGGGTGCATAACCGACTATGCTAAAAGGTAAGAGAAGTAAAGACCACCCAGCAATAGTCAGAAGCATTCCGATTACTAATTATGTTAGCGTTCACTATATCTCTATCGGAAGCAATATTTGTATCCTTACCATCAAATTCGATGAAATAATGTTTAAGGGATCCCCAAAATGTTCGGGTCTTGACCCTTTCAGGATAGACACCTAACTTAACGGCCTTGCGTTTGCTAAGGATGAAGATAATAGAAACTGGAAGACAGAATACTACCAAAATGATAGAGAATGCGCCGAAAGCCCATCGGAAGTCGACATAAGTGTAGAACAGGTCGGCAATCTTGGGGCCAGCAAACGTAGTAGCGATCGTAGGGGTTGCATTGATACCGTACATGATTATCCGGTTCTTGAGAGTCGTAGTATCGGCGAGGATGATATCGATGATATACTGCATACCCAGATGGCCGACCCAATAGAGTGTATGAGCAGCGGCATACATTTCGACGTTCACGCACGTTGCTTTCATGATCATGCCGATAACGACAAGAACCACCATAACAATAAAACCCTCGCATCGACCCCAAATATCGATAACTTTTGCGATGGTCAATTTACATACTCCGCCAATGATAGTGGCGACTATTCCGGTTGTCGCTAGCAATCCGTGCTTATTGAAGGCGGAGGTGACGAAAGGTACGAGGTTGGATTGGACAGACTGCAATAGCATATCGACGAAGGTCACCATATAGAGCCTGCCCAGTTGCGATATATGTTAGCATCGATGTATTTTATTGGTGGTGTCGTAAATTACAATAATGAAAACTCACAGGATATACATAACGACAAGCAAGTCTTTTGACCAGACCGTAGTAATGGCCTCGACTTGCTTTACGCCATCTTGCTTATGGCCGGAGCTCGCATCGGACTCGATTCCAGGGACATCTTTGACTTCCTTAACATCATCGTCGCCCGATGTTTTCTTTTCGATATCCTGTTCCTGAGCAACAGGTACAGTTTGGACTTGGGGAGCTGCCATCACAGGGGAAACTGTTGCACAAGTTATAATGCACTCCTCGATATATGTGAATAGGATGTAGGCGTGATAATCGGTGTAACGGAGCTGGTATCGTAAAGCGCTTTATATCTATCCATCTCTACATTCTGTAGGATCTCTAATTCACGCGTCTGTCCAGCTAATTACGTGTTTGTTATCCAGGATATCCCCCGTTTTCTTCTCTAGCCCCAAGTAATCAGTCGATGGGTTGTAGTGTAGAGTGGGATTTAATTCCTGAAAGGGATAAGATATGTTAAAGATCTTTATGTACGGCTCGTCGAGAAATCTTGGCGTCTACCAATGGCCTTGCTGGATCTTACTTGGAATTAAGCTAGGTGTAAACCTGGGCTTGGGGATAGCTGTAGGTGGTTATCTGATCCGTCCCGAGTTTTATCAGATCCGCAATGCCAAGTCCGACAGTCGGCATAAGATCAACAAGCGTGAAGGAAGATTTTTTAAATTCTTAGGCTTAGTCCCTGGCAGAGATGAGCTTTGGAGGCTTTCACAGAGCTACACGTTTAAGGAACCCTACGCATGAGATGTTTGAAAGGTGATAGAGTATAGGCGACGGCTGAGATCGTAGACGCCTCACCTTTTTACGATGTCGGAAAGTAGCCAACCTACCTTAGGTAATTTATGAGGAGTGACTTTCTCATATCAAGCGATATACTGGCTCTGCTCCGGTACTCCAATCGTCCCTCACGCCATTGCCGTGTCATGGGTAGATAGTTTACACGCTGACTGGACGTTAAATAATTTATTATAATCACTATCATTTTGAGGAGTTGTTAGATTGATCACAACTTAAAGACGACTGTGATGGTATAATTGTCATTATTTACTATATATTCGACAACCCAGCCTTTGCTATACTATCGCACATCAAGTTCACTGTAACTACGAGGGGGATTGATAGGTCAGAGCCCGGACCGTTGCCAGACCGGTCAGCAAAACCTTGGCCTGCAGAACTACATTGGGAGGTAATATCCGAATTTCGCGTTCTGCGAGCACTGAGATCTCACGGATAGGCATGTTTAAATCAAGAAACGCAATTCACCACATTGAGCTTCAATTTGCTAACCAGAAATCTCTCACTAGTGAATGTGCGGTACGAGGATTTAGAAGTTCGAGTACGAGGATGGTCTTTCTATGGTAGGTACACCATGTAAAAGCCTATTCTTATAATGAGACTTAAGGGGAATACCCTCGCTCTTCCCGGATGGGAGGATACACATACCGCCGAGGGAAGTATTATTCAACGGATACGCGGTTCACGCTCGTCTTGAGCTTAGCACGAGAAACCCTGGAAAATGTATGTATGAGCGTGACTCTTGGCGTTGTCTCGATCTCATTGCTTGGCGCCCCTTCCGTGATGATGACTAGGCTACAAACCCGCACAGTAGTCGGCTTACCCAGACGTAGGTAGACAGTTAGATAAGGCGATAGGGTTCTTTATATGATTTTAGGGTAGTTAGTATCAAACTTCTTAGCAGCGAGGTTTATGGTGCCCAAGGCAGTGAAGGGGCTAGACCTCCTTGTTGTGGACCGTAGGATTTCCAACCAATCAAAAGTTTCATATTCGATCCTTCTAAGAGCGCCACAGCTCACAAAGCAGCCCCTGCAGGGAATTGATATCAGAATAATGCCAAGCGAAACCGGAGAGCACTTTGAAACCTGGGCATCCAAAGATCTCTCATCAACACCCTCTTGAATCCTTTAAGATTAATATGCCCATTCTCTTGAGCCCCAAACACGTGCTTTCGCCTCGATTCGGAGCTGATAACTAGGCTGCTAGTAATGTTTACCTTCAATACACAGTTTTTGCTTTCGAGCAGAATTTCAAGCGCACGAACCTGCTCTTCTAAAATAAAATAGGACACTGTCAAAAGAGAGTGTTGCTTTTTCCCTAGAGGGGCTAATTAATATATAGATGATTTATTTCCCGTATTTAACTTTATAATGCGAGGCATATGGGAGAGTAAACAATGGGAAGCCATAGAGGAGAGCAGAAAAGACTGTATTACGTCTGGATAAGCTTATATCTCGAGACCTTACCCATGGGTCTGAATCACCACTTTTATTCCCCATGTGTCTCTGCATGGGGCCGGAAAACTGGACATCCGAAGTCAACTTCAGATGACAAGGGCGTTCGGCACGACGTTTGCCATTTTGACGTACAGACCGAATACCGCCAAGACGTCACACTTACCCTTTGCTAGTAAGGCAAATATCGAATTCGCATACTAGATCCTCCCATGGGTAACCTTCACAACAACGCCCCTTAGGATCTAAACCAAGGTTCTACCAGAGATGTCACCTCATGTAGCCCCTAGCTTAGGATTAGATGCCCCTATGCAGCATCATTCTTGGGTATCTTCTGAATGCAACCGTTGCCCAGGTTGAGGATAGGCAAACTAGGGTATAAGTCTTGGTATTCTACATCTCTCATCTTCTCCCACGAAGATCAAGGACCATGCTCTTCCGTTCATTCTCTCTCATCTCAACCTAAACTTCTCTCTTGTGTGCTTACACTTCGCTTCTCTTTTCGCGGTCGATCCGTTCCTTTTTCTCTTACGCCTTGTCTATCTTCGACATTCGTTCGTTTCGTTTTAACGGCTGAGCCAGTTTAATTTTATAGTAGTTGAGATTTATGTACTCTGGGAGTTCTTCTAATCATATTACTTGTTGTTGGATCCACCTATCTACCTAGTTATAATCACTCCTTCATATTCACAAAGCTATGCATTTCTCTAACAGCTATATACCAACACTGTTGGCCCTCGTCTCTGTAGCAACTGCTACAGGAGGAGCGGCTCCAGCTGAGATTGTTACGGAGACGATTCACGAGACAGTTCATGTGGTAAGTAACCTTGGAAACTGCTTTCTATACCCTAATGGATTCTCACCGAATACGATCTTTTTATTGAGATAAACATTAGGTACCTACATAGGCTAACACTAAACCTTCAGACATTACCACCAGAAACAATAAAAGAGACGATACATATGACTCTGCCTCCCGAGACAGTAAAGGAGACTGTAAAGGAGACCGTAAAAGAGACCATGCATGTAACTCTACCGCCGGAAACAGTGAAGGAAACTATTCATGTTACCCTACCTCCAGAAACGGTGAAGGAGACCGTTCATGTTACTCAACCGCCAGAGACGATAAAGGAGACGGTACACGTCACCCTGCCTCCACAGACCGTGAAGGAAACCGTACACATTACTCTACCACCGCAAACAGTGAAGGAAACAATACACGTCCCGGTGACAGAAGTTGTTCATGTTACGAAGACCGAGGTCCAAAAGGAATCGATTACACTACCTCCACAGACAGTAAAGGAAACGGTTCATGTCACTATCCCTGTCACGAAGGTAGAAGAGAAGCTCCTCACGAATACAGAATTGAAGACGGAACTGAAGACGGAAACCAAGCACGAAATAAAGACCGAAGTACAAACCGCAATTCAAACGAAACTCGAGACCAAGGTTGAGACCGTCCACATTACGCTTCCTCCCCAGACAGTGAAGGAGACGGTGCATATCAGCATTCCTGTCACTAAGGTGGAAACTGTAAAGGAAACCGTACACATCAATATTCCGGTGACCACGATACAGACTGTGAAGGAAACTGTGCACGTGAGCGTTCCCGTAACGCAGGTGCAAACTGTGAAGGAGACAGTACATGTTACTATCCCCGTCACGAAAGTCGAGACGTTGCAGGAGACCGTCGTTGTGAGCGTACCCGTGACGAAGGTGGAAACTCTCAAGGAGAGCATCCCTGTTACGCAAAAGGAGACAGTGAAAGAGACACTGCATGTTAGTATTCCGGTAACCAAGGTGGAAACCGAAACTGCCAAGGAGACGGTACACGTGAGCATTCCGGTCACAGTGAAGGAGTCAGTAGCCATTAGTGTTCCCGTGACGGTGAAAGAGAGCGTTGCTGTTACGGTCCCCATCACCGAGGTCAAATCGATCCATGAGACTGTAGCTATCACGAAGACCGAAGTATCGCATCAGCTCGAGACGGTTGCGCTTACCAAGACAGAGGTCTTGAGCCATATACAGACACAGGTGCTCACAGAGACGGTCCATGTCTCTCTACCGCCGCAGACGGTCAAGGAGACTGTTCATGTCATCCAAGCTGTGACCGAAACTGTTCACGTGACCCTTTCGGCATACACTCAGACGGTACACGAGACGGTACATGAGACGGTCCACGTTACTCTGCCGCCGCATGTGATGACAGTGTCCGAAGTTATCCACGTCACTGTTACAGAAATAGCAGAGGCCTGCCATCAAACGGAAGTAATCGTTCACGAAACCACTCCTCCGGTAGTCCACGAGACTATCGTAGTCCCGCCTATGGTCCATATAACGTCCGCGGCTCCCTCTATGGTTCACACGACATCTATGGCCATGTATCATGTTAACGCCACGTCGGTTGCTCCTCCCATGGTCCACGAGACCATTGTAATTTCTCAAGCAACGGGCCATATGGCACCGTCTAGCCCGAGTGTAGTAGCAGTCCCGCCGCCCGCATCGTCTCTATCATTAGGATACATGATGCCCCACAATGCCCGGCGATGGCAGGCGTGAGCTCCCCGGTTCATTGCTTAATACACTACAATAGGGGCGTGAATATTGATGGGTTCAACGGGGTGTGATTTTGGTATACGGGTTGCTTGCGGGTCTTAGAAGAGTTTGGCAAATGTAGGATTTTCATAATGCTCAAGTCCGGTCTACTTTTCTCTACGTTTCGATCTCTTTAGCCCATGCTTGGATGGATTTTACGCAAATAGGACAAAAACAACAAGGTACATTTTGATATTTGAAACTGCATATTTAACTAGAAATACCCAGTAGATCTTCCTGCAGAGCTCGGGCTGCTGTTAATACTTATGGTCTATCTATCCTCTTGTAAAACTCCTTGAAACCGGGTTGGTAGCCTTATTCTGTCGACCATTAGGTACTATACCAATCCCCCAAAAGCATAGCTAGCAATACCTAGTCCCTATTAGCTAGGTACGTATGTTTAACGCTTTAGATAGGTAAAATCGAAGTAATAAGATTGGCGCGAGATGGGATAGAGTACGTGATTGACCGTCTCTACTACGATGTTTTAATGCAAAATAGGCAGTAAATCTAGAGGTTCTAGGTGATTATATCACTAGAATGGTCATTACTGGGTCCAACGTGAAGCCGATACCTCCCGTGTTCAAGACTTGGACGAAATGCTACGGATCTGGATTTTCTGGCCCCTATTTATTGATTAACTACCTAACCTAAGAGGTAGATAATACGGTATGTTGCTCAAAAGCTCATGTTCTCCTGCCTACCAATAGATGAATGGTGCTGCAATTGTTCAATACGATCGTGGAAACTCAGACCAAAATAGTGTACAAGCAAAGTAAAGCACAATAGCTTCCATCACAACAATCTCGTAGGGCATTGGGCATCCTAGAATTCGAACCCCCTACCCCAAAGAGTGGGCAACTGACCCTACTCATATTCAACCTTTCCGCGTGTCTTGATTTCCAATCGATCCTTCATAGACATCTAGTAGGTATCCCTGCCCTCGGGGCTCCTTATGCAGGTCGCTTGCCATCGTCGACAGGACATCCACCATTCTTCAGGCAATGGCTGCTGATTCGTAGGTCTTTGCAGTGTGCGCATCGTCTTGGAGTGTTGGTGTCGGCCTGGCGCGAGCTTTCGCCGCCATCATCTTCCTTGGCCGCTTGGTTGCCTAGGTCTGCGTAGTACTGTCGAAGGCGACGGCGGTGTAGCTCGTACTGGGCTCGTCCAGCTTTTCCTTCGCGGCGGAACTCGGCAACCTTTTCGACCAGCTCGCGAATGAGAAGGAGGTCCAGTTCCTTCTGCTGTTCAGTCACCAGTTGGGCAGACATCTTGTTGATGAGTAGATTCGGTCTTTGATGAGGGTGCAAGTAAAGTAGTATCAAGGAATTGTAGGTAGAGGTGGCGAGAACGAGAGTTGCGTTTTGGCTTGTTTGAGAGTAGAAGTGTATATGATGGGATTTGCTGTGGGCTTTTCTCTCGGAGTACGAGTAAGAGTAGGTGTTCTCGTCACGAGTTATGCTAATTGCAGATCAGTCTTGACAGTTACACAATTCCTGTGGAAGGGCTGAGACTCACCAGCGCAGCCTAGCCTTAGGTTAGACAGATTTCAATCCAACCCTGACGGTCGAATCCAACTGCTTCGTCTACTTCCAAGTTCCCCAGTTCTCAGTTGCAATGTGTGCATATGTATTAAAGTAAGTATTTAGTGGTCTTATTATTTTGAGCCAGCTTTGCGTAATGAAATAGTTGCTAGGTCACTGGTATTGATAATGGGTACATCGTCATGGCGAACAAATCGTCAGGGGGAGTGAATCGCCATGACGATTTGTGACTGAGCCTCTTACCTCGAGTACTTAATTAGAGGAACAAACAGAAGCTAATTTATAAGTCCAAAATTGACCCACAAGACTACTCTCAGATAAAGCTGCTCATTTATACCGTCCTGTCCTCCATCACGGCCTTAGACATCCATAGGGAATCTAGGGGTAATTATCCAAACTTGCAAGTGGCAATCGATGTTCAGAGCTGTTCCAGGATATGAAGCGTGAGTACTACCTTTGATCATATAGCCCATTGCACCCCTTATTCATAATGGAAGTTAACGAAGAAGGGATCATGAAAAGAAAATGGTCATTGAGCATATGAAAAGGGGGTGAACTTTGAAACGACTAACTATAATATCTTTAACCTTGAAGAAGCTAATTCTTGTCCTAGGTTCGATCAGTTATTATTTCCTTTGAAATCGTATCATTCACCATAAGGCAGAGAGCCTTTACCGGACATATTCGGGGTAGTATGGCTACCTACTTCTAGACTACAATTAGCAGTCATAAACCACTCAGCACAATTATTACCTTGAAGATTAGGTGGTTATTCTAACCGTTACGTAGTGATGGGTTTAAGAACCAGGTTGGGACATCTTTTTTCACTCCTTTAAAATAGTAGCAGAAAGTGTTGCCATCTTTCTATTGATGGATAGTCTCGATTATGACAACAAGATAATCTAAAATTAGGTATTCATACAATATTTGCCTCGTGATGGAAGTTTCATTTGCTTAACTGTGTGAACGGTGTGAACGATCTCAAAGAGAAGAGTTAATGTAATAACAAGCATTTTAAGATGTTACGCCACGCCGTATAGTCGTTCTAAGAGTAGCTAGATACTACGAAGGGGCTCACTTTGAGACCATCTTACAACATCTCGAAAAGAAAGTGATGAGTATGACGATCGTAGCCTAGGCTGATTATTCTAATGGGCAAGAAAGCTATGTTTCTTTCCCACTGCAAAGCCGCATCGTGACAGGTGCCCATCCCGTACCCCCAATCACCCTGATAGTCGTGGTCTTGCCCTAATACATGTACCATTGTACTTGTTCACTTTTTCACGATACAATTTCACTGGCTGAGCCAAGTTGATGCGGGAACCACCACCCTCTAGGTCCATCATCTGCTCACTTGGCAAGGACAGAGGGTCACAACTAACAACAATCTGAACTCGCACTCTTCAGGCGTATTCTCTTCTAGCAAATCCCATTAGATGCGTAAATGGGGCAGCGAATCTCAAAACCAGTCACTTCGCACCAGGCCAACTTTCCTCACGAGGAAAAGTTGCGAAAACAACCACTGTATCACCTCATTCGACCTAGTCCTGTCAAAAAAGGCAAGATGAACCTCTCCATAGCAGAAGTCATCCATAAAGATGACGGAACTAAAGGCAAAGCTACCCTCGGAATGGAGGGTGATGGAGAGCTGCAGTACGAGTGGCTTCTAGCTAAGCTAGCAAAGGAACAGCCTCCCCCCGAGACGACCGCAGCCAATTCGTCGAGCGGCGGATTGTACCAACGCGAGTATGCCATGTACTTGGAGATTTTCAAGGCGAACATCGCGAAGAAGGGTATCAACGTCATACAAGTAGAGAATGTCTTCCAAACACCCATCTGGTCCGGCGGCAACATCCTCTTCCTCGACTACAATTCCAGTTCATCCTCCTCCGCACTATCCACGCACGATACTACGCACGATACTACGCAAGATGCTGCGCAAGATACCCCCGAAGATAGTGAGCTCGATGTGTACCAAGGTTTCAATACTGAAAAGTATTTCTTCGAGCTCAACTTCTACTACTACCGCTACAAGGACTGGTTCCGCTGCATGGTAGACTCGTTCTGGGGCCCGCAAGTTGCGTCGGTCTTCCAGATAATCTACACCAATCGCCCCTTCATCCAGATTGCCTTCAAGCGGGATTGGAACTTCGCAGATGAGCGAGAGCAGTACTACGAAAACGTGATGATGTTCTTGCACGTCATGGCCCGCCTGCGCCCATTGGAGGGACTCGGCCCCCTTACGGACATCTTCGGCTTCAGCCTCGTTACCTTCTCTGCCAAGGTCATCACCCAATTTGAGACGGTTGAACGTCTCGGAATCAACAGACCGGAGGGTGAGGGAAACCAGCCCATGAAGTTCGTCGTCCGCCATCGTTTCGAGGCTTGGCGAAGCGTGGTCGTCACCATTAAGGATTGAAGAAGTAAGATCCCCTGCGACTCGGAATGATACTAGTCTGGTTGAATTAGGGAGGAGGGTATTGCTTGGCTGGATAGGGGAAATACTTTGAGAGCATCGCGAAATGGTAGCAAAAAGGGGACCTGTGTATTCATGTGCACTAGCAATGAGCTTAGCTTGAGTGATTTTACTCAGATAATTAGGTACGTTTGCATTACCCCCAGGAGAGGGATCATGATAGGAATGAATCATTATTTTTCCCAATTCACCTAGCCGTAGTCTTCTCTCAAATTGACCTAATAGCAAGTCTTTGGCCTACCGATCCAAGAACATAACAGTAAGCTCAGCTTCCTCCGCCAAATACCTTTTCCGAAAGTATACTATAAACCCGTCTCGGTCCGCACACAAGCTGAATCAGACACCAGAGCTTCAGCATTTTGATGATACTGAGTATAAAAGTTATATAAGTCGAATCCGAGTAGGAAGCTTGTCTTTGACGCTTCCGATGCCGTTACCGACACGGTAAATATGTTCTCCCTCCACAGAATCCGGTGGTGCCGCACGTCTCCTAGCATACGTCAGAAAACAGGCATTCTATAAGCGACACGTCACAACATCGATGGTGATATAAGGAAAACGTACTGTAGAGTGTTCCAACCTTCCCAATCAAACTTAAAATCTAGTTCGCGCATGGTTAGGGCTAGCACAAGCTTCATCTCAACCATAACTAGCTCCTCGCCGATGCACCTCGTATTCCCCAGCTCAAAGGGGCGCCACGCGTTCTTGACCGGATGCAGCGGATGACCTTCGGCAACGAGGAAGCGCTCGGGTAGGAACTCCATAACTCGCGGCCACAAGTCAGAACGCAGATGTACGGCGGTCGGGCTTGTCCAGATGACGGAGTCTTCGGTGGGATAAGTGGTCCCCTCGCATACAAAGTTAAAACCCCGACTTCCTCGGCGGTGCGTCGATCCTAATGGGTGAAGGCGAAGAGACTCCTTGATAGCCGCCGTCGTGTATCGCAGGCTGTTGAGCTTGTGGGGTTCTAGCGAAAGTACCTGCGCCGCGAGCTTCGCGTCGGAGCCAAGGACTTCGTCATGCTCTTCCCGGACCCGTTTCAGAACTTCGGGGGACTTATTAATCTCGTACAAGACCCAGCATCTAAAGAAGATGTTAGGAGAAGGCTCCAAAGACTTTAAGTTGTTGTTCTGGACTTTTAAAGCAAATACACTTACAGCGCTTGAGCTGGGATATAACCGTGTTGATGAAATCTGGACTTGGCTGTCGATTTTCATTCCCGTATTCGTTCTTATACTCTTTGACAGCGAGGTCGATTACAGTCTTCTCGCTGCTAGCATCTGGCTGCAAGCGCGACTTTATCTGAGGCAGCAGACTATCGCGTAATATTTTGGAGTTTAAGGTAACGTCTTGGCGGTATGACGGTGTCCACCGCTCGAGCTTGGACCAGATGGTTGGTCCTTTGACGTAGCTGATCAATTTTCTTAGTGCCATAAGAATCGGTGTTGGACCCCGAGTCTGTTCCCCTATATCCAGATCGCTACTCGCTGCCACGTTAACAGCAGATTTCGGTAGCTTAACCACGAAAATTTGCTTACAGAGAAACCCGCATGATGATATCGAATGTTAGCGCCACTGTTCTATCGTAAAGGTTGATTAAATTCCCAAACGCCCCATCTTTGCCCGCTTGCTCCTTTAATTGCCGAATGAAGATGTCGACCTCTTCGATCAGGATAGGGGCTTGCGATAAAATATTCTTTGGTGAGAACCCAGGGTTCAATCTAGAACGCCAAATACGGTGTGTTGGCATGTCCATCGATATCAAGTCCTTACCGCCAGTCACCGGGAATAGAGCCCACGAAAACATAGAATGCCTTGGTTGAGCCGTCTGCTGGGTAAGTTGGAAACAGGTCTCCGGACTCGTAACATATACGAATGGCTGAGAGGTAAGAGGCCAGAGGTCCAAGTAGATGACTGGGGGACACTTCTTTTGAAGAGGGAAGTACTTGGGCCAGTTCATGGTGAGTTTCCTATGGACGTATGTGTCATGAGCATCTTTCGGTAGGCCTTCCCTTAAACTCTTCATCAACGGAATATGGCCATACAGAAAGGAGTGTGGCTCTGGGACGGGCTACTTCTTCCATTAGTACGATATTAAATTCTGAGCAGCTGATAGAGGTAACGTACCAGGCCATGGGCTTGCATGGCGCGGAATCTGAGCCTCAATGAAATGCCTCGGTATAGGATTTTAGCCAGCCATAAAGCAGCGATAAGAGCGGCTGACAAGGCTATAAGGCTCATAGTGTTAGACGACAAATGAAGCTGCATGGCTGTGATGATAGCAACGTGAGGAAGAGGAGCTAAACCAGGAAGGTTCCTTTACTAGAGCTGAATTACCATACTACGTGAAGCTAATGTGTAAGTTTATTTTATGTGCATTCAGAACATAGTGTATATTTTATGCGTGTGTATTTTTACACCTAGGTACTTTAATATATCCAGTTAAAAGGATGATACTCCTTATTAGATTTGTACCTTGTGTGACTTCACCTTGCGTAAATTTGCTTTGTATAACTTTGGGATCCCAGCCTAAACGGGTACCTATACGTACCCGGATGTATATATCTCGATAGATGCCTTAGTAACTGTAGGTATAGCCATAACATCACCCTTCTCTTGTCTCTGTCTTTTTCTTTGTTCTGGTATGCCTCGGCAAATTATGCCCGGTACTGAATCTAGTCAGCGTGTTCGATGAGTCAGTTAATAGCCTGACCTGACTCGGGCCTGACCTGACCTAGCTTAGGTAAATAGCTTTTTCGGGATATCTATACAGTTTAGGTATAAAATTTTTTTATTTGCTTAATAGGCAGATAAGTTGAGGCTTTTCAGGCCCACTTTAGTATATATTTATAGGATATAATTGGTTGATTTGGGGCAAATTGCCTAATAATATTTATATAATCGGCAACGTTTTATATTAAGGTAAATATAGGGTTGTTTTTAGCACCTTTTACAATTGACGTAATAATAAGCTATTAAGATAATTTTATTTATAAACAAGTGTACGTACACCGATACTATAAGGTAATGAGGTTATTTATAATCGTGTTTTTTAAGGTCACGATAACCTTTTAGTGTTTTGATTAAAAAAAAGCGTTAAAAGTGGAGTTAAGTGGGTATATATTTTAGATTACCCCGAATCTGGCCAATTGGATAGCGCGGAATTTGATTACCTAAATTTTTGCCTGTATCGATAAGAGAGGTGCCTCTAGGTGCCTTAGGCCAAGTCTACAATACGGCTAGATAAGCCTTATTTTTAAATATATTTGACCTAATTCGGATAAGGTCAAGTTTTTACAGTTATCTGACCTGACCTGGCTCATCGAACACGCTGAATCTAGTATCCAAATCGTTTTAATCATAGCCCTGTTCGGGCAATACTCCCTTACGCGAAGTACCTATACGTACCTACAAGTTAAACGATGTAAGGGATTGTAGATATTGCTCGGTGATTTTGACAGCGGACAGTGCGAATTCTTTTGCCAGCTAACGCATCTAAGAATGGAGTTCTGATCTTAGTATGACAAATGCTTCACACATTTATCGTCTCAGCAACTACAACACAAGATAATACTATGTTGATAAGTGTTTACCCGTCTCAACTAGGTGAAGACAGTCATTATAACAGTTAATAATTACTAGAGCGAGGAGAAATCTTTAAGCAGCATTCCCTATATGGAGAATATTATCGAAGTGACGGAACGGAACATCTAAATCGCCCAACAGGTTACAGAACTTCAAAGACGCTATGGAATGGTTGGATCTGCCCTGAGTTTAATCTGCCACGTAATGAATTAAATAATATCTAATCAGCTCAATCTTTCGTCTTACCATTCGTTGAAGTTCGCCAACGATAGGTTTTCCACTTAGTCTTCTATATCTCATAGAGAAGGAGAAAATGCAAGAAACTATTTTCTTTTTACAATGTCGCTGTAAGTACCTCCTATTAAGTATTAAGTATTACCCCCAAATCGATAGAATCATGTTTAGAAAACAACCCCTTTCGTAGTTCGACTCTTACACACTTTTATTTTTCCTAAGGGGCTCTTAAGGATCTTGACGAAGTGCCTTAAGGTACCTCCATAAGGCGGGCTATGCATTTGTTGGCCTTTGATTTCAAATCTATTAAAGCCTCTGTTAGCCGCTAATGTACCGTCTCCTGCACTCCTCACTGTGAAGTTCTATGGTAAAACGTAACCCTTGAGAAGAACGAGATTTCAGCCACTGACAAACTGATCAGTGGGTGTACAACCATTTTGAAAATTACGAATGTCCACTTAGGAGACAAGACACAACCTATCTAGTGATAAGAAGACTTTATACAGAGGACGGTTTAGAATTGATCGACTATTTAGACCGCTTTAAGCTTGGTTTAACCTAGATGCCTGAACTAAATAGTCCACTTAGATATTTAGTTTGATTACCTGACGTGACCTAAATTACAATGGTGATCTACTGGTGCTAATTCGTATAGAAATTGGATACTGGCAGAGTATCTCTATTAGTAACCTGGTTCGACGAACGTGAACGTCGAATCGATACAAAACTATCGAAGTAACGGGTCTCCGATTTGTAAATCTCAAATCAAATCCCGAGTCTGAACGGGACAAAGCAGTTGAATACCACACGCAAGGGAGTCCGAGGCGCCCGAGCATCGGATCATTACAAATCAAACACCTGTGTCAAGGCCATAAAAGGCAATACCCTGGCACTTCGACAGTTTTTTTTTTTTTTTTTTCATTTGGTTCTTGGAGAAGAAATGCTTGCTGGAACGAATGGTCGAGGGACGGCTGTCAAGTACAGTACGAGGCAGCTTGGCGAGAACGTGTATATAAATCATGTTTCTCCCTTTACTCATGGAGGGGTTAAATCAGTCAACCAAGTCACTCATACTGCACAGACACAGTTATTTCCAGCAATTCCCAAGATTCTAAGCCGATATTTTTAGTCTGCTAAGCCCATCTCGACTGTTATCATGGCCCCTAATATCCTAATCGGCACCGGCAGCTGGGACCACAATTTTGGAATCGACCAAGTCCGCGACCAGATGGCGCAGCTGGATAAGCTGAATTGTCGCGAGATAGACTCAGGCGCTCTCTACCCGTTTACTAATCCGGGAATGGCGGAGACTTTCCTCGGTGAGATCGGATACGAAGGCATTATTCTCGATACCAAGGCCATGTGGTTCGATGGGGGCAACAATACCCTTACGGTCAACGCGGTCCGGAAGTCCATGGCCGAAAGTCTAGCACGCCTTAAAGCCGAGAAGGCATGTTTGCCATGCTCGTTATGATTCTGATGCTAGAAAGTTCTGACTTGACTACCTCTAGGTTAACATATTCTACGCTCACGGTCCAGATCACGCTACTCCGCTGAAGGAACAAGCCGCTGCGTTCGACGCCGTATATCGGGAGGGCAAATGCGCGAAGACGGGCATCTGCAACTTCTCCCCCGAATCTTTCGCAGAATACCTCGACATCTGTGAGGAGATGGGCTACGTGAAGCCAAGCGCCTTCCAGGGCCAGTACAACCTCCTATGTCGCGGTTACGAGACGACTTTGTTCCCTCTTCTTCGCAAGCATGGTATTTCCTTCGTGGCATACTCCCCCTTAGCCGGGGGCATGCTAACAGGAAAGGTCACCCTGTCGAGCAACAACCCTGACGCGCTCCGAGGGACTCGCTTTGAAGTCTCTAAAGATAATCTCATGGGAATGGCAGGCAGGAACTGGTATGACAAGCCGGTTTTCCACGATGCGATCCGCAAGCTCGATGTTCTTTGTAAAACTCACGGAGTCGACATGACTGATGCTAGCATGCGGTGGGTATTACACCACTCGATCTTGGACGGAGAGAAGGGCGATGGTGTTATTATCGGTCCTCGAAGCCGGCACCAGTTGGATAGCTACGCTGCCGCTATTAAGGGAGGGCCACTGCCGCAAGGTCTCGTTGAGGGCATGAACGATCTTTGGGAAAATGTAGCAGATGATGCCGCACCAATCCTTGTCTATTAGCCAATGTTGTTGGGGTTCCAGAGGAGACATCCAGAACAAAGGATGCTTTCAGTATGTAGTCACTGGCCCCATAGTCCAAGGTTGGCGTTTCTTGCAGAACATTGAAGCTGTTTCTATACTTTTTATGTTCACATTGCTTCGTGATAAATGTGATAGGCAATGATTGAATAATATTTCGTCAATAACTACCTACATAGGTACTGCGGAAGCTATTACAGAGAGGAGGATAGTTAAAGTTATTTCTCCGTTACATCTTGACTGGAAGATATTTACTCAATCAACGTCCTTTAGCCACGTTAGTAGACAACCCAATGAACTCTACCGTCAGCCGAACTCCCTCGGGTATGAGCTTAACACCAGCGGCTAAGTTTTACTAGATATTTAGATTTAAAATTCGGTTCTAGGCTTAGCCCTTGACGTTTATCTAGACTTTTTCTAGTGTCCTGGGACTACGGATTTGCACTACGACATAGTCTTCGGGGTTGCATCTGTTCAGGACAATTTGTCAGCGAGTACTGATCTGACGTCCAGATCGGAACTACTAACTGAGTGTCCAATGTAGGTATTTATAGCGTACCTAGGTGGTTAAGAATCAAGAATTGGATATTGGATATGGCTTGGCATTACTGATTTATTCGAAGACGAGGGGACTTGATAACCACTGCGACTACATGCCAAGATCTGAGAACCTAGGTAAAGATGCTTCTCCAATGGGCCTTAGTACGACGGGACCCTCCGTACGGGCTCGGGGGGATTATGTCGATCCACGGAATGACTGTCGGGAAGTTTTCGGAGACTTAAGAAGGACGGGTCTTCCAACACTATGGAGAGTATGAGCCGCGTACGAAAGGGGCGAAAAGGAGAAAGACAATGTCAAATCTAGAAACTTCATGGCTAAATACAAAGGGTTGATTTCAATTTCCACAAATTCAATGTCACGCTATAAGGTAGGTATGTTATAATATCATATTTCTTTTTCAGCTCTGAAGCATCTACCTTAGGTCGGTAAATTCATTTTTTCCTAGCACCTGCTCCTCTAACCATGAAAACTAGAGGCAGGACGACACTGAACTAGCCAACTATCGTCTCTACTAAGAAGAAAAACATGAGCCATGGATGGGCCGGAGGGACTCTTCAACGGTGACAATAGACCTACCACTAAGAGCAAATACAGGATGCACTAACCATCGCCGCACTGAGACCAAAAAATAAAAAGCATGATCTCGCCCAGGTTCGAACTGGGGACCTTCTGTGTCCACAACTAATAACGTTGTTAGACAGATGCCCTATAGAGTGGATATTAGTTTCTTATTTTTTCCCTCTCCTTTGTGTAGATCCACTTAGGAGGTAGTTAAGCGGAGGGGTTGACTTACATGACCAACTAGACCACGAGACCTGGTGAGAAGATCTGCTAATATTTCTGATATTATCTCCAGATATTTGACGGTGGTACTTATCATTAATAGACGGAGACTTCCTGTATTGCTAATATAAATCGGTTTAGTTTAGAGGCTTTATTTATATCGTATTACGTAATGTCGTCACTACACCAGTCGAATACGTCGAATATAGGTAGTTTTACCGTACGATCCGTACGGTTCTTCCAATCTCGCCTCGTTCCACTGCTTCTAGTCTCAGCAGTACGAGTTCCCATACCCTCTCAGAGAGACTCTCGACATCAAGATCCGCGTCCACGATTTGAATATCCTCTTCCTCCTGCCTGAACTCGCCCTCCTCGCCGTTACCATCTCCACCTCTACTTGTTCCATTCCCGAGCCTCTCCGCGTCACCTCTTCTCGGAACCTTACTGTTTCCGCTGTTTCCCACAGCGCTACCGAGATCTCCCATACTAAGGCCCCAGAACAGATCTCTGACGCGCCGCTGCATCTCACCTTTCTCGTAGACTTCACCACCCCAACCGCCACGTTCGCGCGCGACTTCTTCCTCCAGATCTAGGAAAAGGACCATGTCTGGTCTAGGCAAGCCGACCTCGGGCGCCTTGGCCCAGGATAGTGATAGGCTCTTGATATTTTTAGCAGCGCTGTATACAATACCGCTATGGTAAAAGCGGTCGCAGATTATAGTATGACCAGCCTCCAACTCTGCCTTGATTTTCTTGCTATAAGAAAGGGGAGTTAGATACAAGATACACCATACCAAGTAATAGAATAGTGTGAGAATTTAGCGTGAGAAAAGGAAACTTACACAGCTTCCCATCGATTAGCACTAAACAACAGGTGAATAACGTGATCTTCAATCTCCGTCTCGCCCTTAAGATACGAGTCGATCATCTTACCGATAGGCGTTGTCCTATCTATATCGGCACCATTAGCAACGAATACAATACTTCACGTCAGCAGCATAACAAAGTATCCCACTTACCAGGAAATCGCATAAACCGCACCTCCCGTCCGCTCTCAATACACCTCTGCTGCAGTAATTTTGCCTGCGTCGTCTTCCCCGCACGGTCCATTCCCTCGAACACAACGAAAGCGCCGCGCACTGGTTTCGACGGCGGTGCTACTACCTTCTCGATGCCATCCATGTCGTCCCCTATAGAATGCTTAACGGCATCTTTGTCTTCAATACTATCATCCCCCGCAGCTTCTACAGGCTCAACCTCGGCGGCGGACGGAGCCGGGGCCGGGATCTGTGCTTGCGAAGGATTCTGAGGAGATATTTGAGGCGGCGCTAACACGGGCGGAGCGCCTGTCGCCACGGTTATCGAGTCCCCGTCCTCATTCGCGTTCACTGGCTTGAACTTCTCCGTCAGGGGCGAAGTAGTCTGAGCACCCGCTGTTGCAGGTCTTGAGGAAGGGGGTGACCGCGGCGCTGCTGGGGGCGTTGCAGGTTGAGTAACCTCCCGCGTAGGTGAAGACTGTAACGCCACGGCCGATGACGCTATCGTCGCGGCTGTCGCGAGGTCATTTATTGAAGCCATTGGCCCACTCAATGGATAGCTTGGTAAGTGAGACGCGCAACGCTAATGAAGCTAGTTTCAAGACACGACGAACTTGATACCAGTTAGTGGTTGATAAGTAAGAATTAGAGAATTAATTGTATTCGCGTATGTAATTGTATGAACTTGTATGAGCAGTGTGTTTTATCCGAATAATAATTGGATGTCAGGTATACTCAGATTTATCGAAACGGGTTGACGACTAAGGCCTCTTTAAAGCGCTAATGCATGATGATATGATGTCGAATGACATGAAGAGGATTGTGGCCAAAATGCTACTAAAATACGAAATACAGCGACTAAAATGCAATGCAGCGGGTTACCGCGATTCTAGCCTGAGCGCGTCTGAGTGGAGCCACTTTATGGTTACATAATTCTTGGACCGTTCGCTGTTCCCTTAAGGCGTTTGGAGACGACACTAGTGAAGGATGTCGCACAGAATGCACCTACAAAATGCACCTGGTTATACTGCTTAAGCGCGCAGCTAACACAAATAGCCCGACCGAGTAGACGGGTATGAAGCGAAATACATCAATCCCCTGGGCCTTCTAACACGGCTTTCGTACGAGAAAAATAACACCTAAGTCGCGAATACGAGCTCATGCCAGTGCTCTTCACCGCATTCACATAGTATTTCCAGACAGCAGACAGCAGACAGCGTTGCAGAGCGTGTATTGATAGGCGCCCCATTGCAAAAGTAGACTCTGAAAAAAAACACAAGCCGTATGTACAAGAATTCGTACAAAAAAAACAGTGAAAAGCAGAGTACCAACCGGCCCAGTCCGCACCTTGCCATAGAACCCAGCCGTAGCCCATAACCTTTGAAGAAATGCCCCGTGACGCCATTGCTACCTCCCGTAGGCTACATAATCTAGGTATTAGGGGACTGGAAAAAACCCATCAGTCCAAAACAACTCCGAAACACGTACATCCATAATCCGTAATATTATCATCCATTCTTCATTAGCACTCTGTCGCCTCCACTATGGTTGCCTCTGCTTCATCCTTCGCGCTTCCGCTTTCCCATACCTCGAAGCTCTCGCCTGTTCCTTCCATCGGCTCGAGCACAGCGGCGCCAGGGGCGGGCTCATCTGCTTTCCCCATCAACCGGTCTACTGAATGTGCGCCGTCTTCAGCGCTAAGTTGAGGGGCATCTGATTCGCCTGAGTTAAGCGCGGGGGTGACGTCAGGCCTGTACCGTGTCTGCTGTTGGGGTTCGCCAACTTCTTCGTCATCACCCGGTATGATGACGATGGTATTCTCATCGCATCCCTCCGAGTAGTACTCGCGAACATTCATCTCGCCGAGAGGATTCCTTTCTTTCTCAAACACCATCTCGTCCTCTGCAGCATGTCTAGCAGCCCGCGGTCGCGAGGTCTGAGAGACGTCATCTGCCGGAGGTACATTTTCCTTACCCTCGGCACGTTCTCGTTGACGCCGGGTCTCGCTTTCTTCGTCCGAGCTGATGTCTAGTACACATGTGCTGTGCTGTAGTAGGTTGGTCATTTCCTGCTCCGGAGTGTCTTCGTGGATATCGAAGAACCACGATTGCTTGATATCTCCCTCCTCTAGGCTGTCGAGGCCAAGGGAACTAGATGAAGACTTTGCCGCAGAATGGGCTTTGCGGCCGGCGTAGCTGGGGATTGTACCCTTGAGAGCTGCATCTAGTGAGAACGGTGCGGAAGATGCGCTCGAGGAACTAAAGCTGGGCGGGTTCACTCGAGAGAACGCCTTTGTGCGCTGGCGAGAAGAGAGAATACCGGACCTCTTGCCACGGGTTGGAGATCGACCAGCGGGAGCCGAAAGGGGTGTGGATCTAGCCGAGCTGATGTTCAGTTTCGAAACAGGCGACTTGGGGTTGAGTAAGGACCGTGCGCGCGGAGCGGCTGCCTTAGGCGGACTGAGAATAGAGACATCGTTGGCGCTAGCCGATTTCGTGAGAATTAATGACGGCTTGACGAAAGAATCCTTAGGGGCAAAGACGTTATCCGAGCCTTTTGATCTCTTAGAGTAGAGCACCGGGTCCACGTTCTCGAAATCGTCCGTATCTAAGCTGTCTGATGCTTTTCGCTTCGGAGACGACGCGTTTGAGAGAGCTATGAACGAAGTTTAGTATGCAATCCTTCAAAAATTCAAAATGCATTGCAAGGGTTCTTGGTTCATATTTAAAAACAGTTTCGTGAGCAAGATGGTGTTGATTTGCATTGGACAAAAAAGACAAGACACGATACAATTGGAAGTATTCAAGGTTCTGTGGATATCACAAATCTCCCCCTGGACTTACCATTCTGTCTGTTCTTTAGGCTTGTCAATGTCTGCAAGCGCGCTCCGTCAAGAGGCGCAAAGGGTTGACGAGTTATGGTAGCCATTGTTGTAAGCTGTGACGTGGACTTGAATGGTGAAGGGGTTGAAGGGATCCAGATGTCCAATCGAACCACAAAATGTCGGTCCTAAAATCGATTCAATCCAAGTCAACCAAGATTGGCACTACGGAGATTGATCGCAATTACCAATAAGTTGTAATAACAACTAAAGGCAAGGTTCACGACAATGATTGATACCCAAAACAAGGGAAAAAGTCGACTGCCACGATTGTTTGTTTATTATTTTGTCGTGAACAATTGATATCGTCAAACTCGGCGCAGCAGCAAACCAAACTTTGTTGTACCGGTATGGGAGGGGGGAGGTAGAAGGAAAAGTGGGCGAGGGACTGCGTAGGTGGGAATTGACAAGTCTTATTGCATCTCAGACGGCGTCCGGGGACAAGGTAGCTTGGGGTGTAGGTCGCGACGGGGGAGGCCAGAAATGGAGAACGATGGACGCGGAGATCGATGTCTTGGATAATGCAGCTTAAAATTATTAAAACCAAGCTGGAGTGAGGAAGCGCCGTCTGCTAGTCGAAAGGAGGAAAGTGAATAACGGGATCAGAGGACGCTGAATGGACGGAGAAGGATGGGATGGCTGCAGGTGTGCGTAGGAAGATATGCAAGGAAATTAAGATATGGGGGAGAGAGGGAAGAAGTGATTGATGATTGATGCTGGCACTGAAATGTTTCAGGCAAGCTTGATAGGTTTGGTAGGTTTGGTAGGCTGCATCGGCTGTAGGATGTGAGTTAGGTAGGGTGAGTAATAGAATAGGGTGAATAGGGTCAAGTAGGGTGAGTAGGTAGGTACCTAAGGGCAAGTTTTTTTTCCCCTTCTTCGTGTTTGAACGCGTGGTGTTGGTGTAAATGGGAGAAATGGGGAAACATATCCAATCAGAAGAAAGGGGGGGGCAGCTCTAAGGGGTTTTAGGTACCATATTACATGCAGGTTTTGAGGTGGATCGGTGCAAGGGCTGAACTTGATTTAACTGGATCGGGGCCAATTAATGCAGGGAATTCGAAGTGATGTCTCTCATTCTCTTATGCGAATCCCTAAGCTTCAATCTCTGATTTGTTAGATTCACTCGAGACCGTCTCACCTAGAACACTACCTTACCCTACATATCCTACCTATCCCTACCTATCCTACCTATCATACCTACCACTACCCGGAAGTGATTTGAATCTGCAACTGTGCGACTAAAAAGAACCAATAGTCGCGTTTAAATTCTAGCCAAGATTGGTTTCTAAAAGGAGGGTTAACCGAACGAGCCACAAGAAGCACCAAGAGATCGCGCCTTGTTGTGGGACTTGAAATGTTCCCACGCGCAAACCCGATGCAGGGGTCCGCGCTTTTCGCGTCCATAAAGCACTGGGCTTTCCCCTCCGCTCCATCTTCCATCGTCAATCGTCATCGCGCCGGGCGGGAATGTCAGGAACCATTTGCCAGTAAGTACCTAATTCTAAGACAAGGCGTTTGTCCTTAACGCACTTCGCCAGGACAGAACCGCAGGCCAGAAAAAGTCTTGTCCCAATTCCCCAACGACGTCGCTCGGGGCGCTCATCCGGTTGAGTGTCAGCGACTTACGTGCATAAATTATGTCGACTACTATTGAATGCCGAGTAAATCAAGTAGATGGGTGAACAAGCGTTATCCAACCCAATTATCCATTGTAAATGTCGATCAACTATAGGGCTAGTGACAAGTTCTAGACTGAGGTCAAGTTAGACTTTGACAGGAGTATGATGATCTATCTATCTCACTGGAGGCAATCCTCTTTGGGGAAATGCCGCTGTCTGACATGCTTGCTTTTCTTGATGCCGCCACCACGAACAAGATAGATAACCAATAGAGCATATACGCATGGCATCGATTGTAGTGCATTGAGAACCAAAAGACGACAGGTCGCATATAGCATGGCCGTCCTTTAACCTATCAGAGGACGGGGCTCTGTAGTGGATGATATCAGCCCTGGAGAATGCCTTGTGGGTTTTGGGCTAAGTCCATTCCTCCCCTTCAGCCAGTCATTCAAGGGTATTTGACCGAACTTGGTCGTCCCTCGGACCCAGAGAGGTCCGCAACGAGGTCACAAGGACGCGCCTGTGGACTGTTAAAAATGGCAGCCATGTCTCCGCAATTGGTTGATCTACACTTAAGGGGAGCCCTTGAGTCGGTTTTTCCATTCGCCGTAGGGAGCTTATTAAGTTGGTAGCTCCCTCCCTCCTCTCACACGGAGGGACCGTCAGATGGGGCAAGCTATCCTCAGTTGACGAGAGAGAACCCGAGTCCTCTCCTGACCATAGCCTTAGGTCGGGCTTCTACGATATTCACGTCCAACCCATCTAGCCACTCGGCAGTAACCATTCTAAGTGCCTCTAATAAGGCGCGGACATTCCGGAACTTGCTCTATATCAAACACGCGGGTCTAGAAGTTGGCCTAGAGTCGCGTCCCATTGCGGCCATAGAATGGCAACTAAGAGGTTCTTCCCTTGTCGTCGTGGGGGTGTAACCCAGAAAGGAAGCCGAGTTAAAGGGTCGATATTGTCCTGGTTCTGATCAATAAGGAACGAGAGCAACTTAGGCTAGGCCTCTTAAGAGTAACATAATGTGTAGATTGTCTATTTATATCTTAGGAAATGTAATTATTAGCCCATCCATACTAAGTTTCAATAGGTACTAACACCCACAGCCTGGAGGCAGAACAGCCCTAAATCCTTATTGTATGTACCACTCTATCGGTAACTACTAAGCTATGACATGACTGCCGAGACTATTTAGCCTTTCGAGGAAGGCACTATATAACTGCTTTCTAAACGAATCTACCTCGATATAAGTTTTGCCTACACAAGTCTTCGGTTCGGTTTTACTTGGCCTAGAAGAATAGACTTACAAAGCCGGTGCTAAATTTCGTTTAGACATACGATGTAGATAACAATAATCATTCCAACTTTACCTAATAGTTCGCTGATGTAGGTAGTATGTGTTTGTCAACATATAGTTTGTATCTCTCAGACCCACCCCTACCTAGCCCTATAAAGTGGTGTATAGAAAGAAAATTTTCAAGTCACCACTGTTTGTATACCGCCACTGTGTGACATTTGTGCCTAATTATTATTGAACTTGTATCACACGCAGCAACGGTTGTCCCAAGTCAGGAGGTAAGTGACCAGCAAAAGATTTGTAGCACTTCATAATAACCACAACTAGAAATATGGGATAAGAAAATCATAAACCAATCCCTTTCTACCACATGTCATGCTGAACGGGAAAAAGCGCCGTACAGTTTGCAGCAACTATTGGCTGTTGGTTTAGAGTGGTGAGCAATTCGTTTTTCTTAGTCCTTTCCCGACCCTTGGAGATATCTCATTAGCACAATCGTATATCAACTGTACGCCAAGGACAGTACGATCTCATATAATTAGACATGGAATAGTTCAACTACCAATAACTCTCCAGAATCATTCCGATCTGACATCGGGGCCGAGAACAAGATGGAATCTATGGTATCCTGTGACCGATGAGTTATACTAATCAGCCCGTATTAGGTATGCCGCAGCACCCGAGCATGAGAACGAGATCGATCCGTTCCGTAAGCCTTTCCAGGGCGTACGAGGGGGCTTGGATCTCAGAAGTTGGAGCAGATCATGTTCAGCTGCTCCTCAGGCTGCCTGATAAGAAATTATCGATTTAGTAGTCATAGATATTCCGGATCTAGTTCGATTCTAGCTACCGACTCTTGTGATAAATTGCCTGACATACGATGCTCCTGCAGCCATCTCAAGACCTAGTTGAGCTCACTATAGTCCAAGAATTCCTCCACTGCCATGGTTTTGTTACTACCGTCGAGCACAGAGGACATGGTAATGTTATCAACGTAGACAAACTACAAGGTTCAATAAGTATGACAGGAGTTGTAGTCTCTCTGTTACGCGAGCATTGACCGCTTGAGGAACTCTGGTCGGGCTCCTGTTGATCCACCAATTAGCATCGGAGCCGCAATATGCTTTAATCCCACTCGCACCGGTTTAGGCAGCGTATCAAAGACGATATAACCGCTTTTGTGCTTATGTTGGAAATATTCATGCTGCTATTACTTGTTAAAGGTGTCTTTTTGTGGGTTGTCAGACTAAGCTTTGCAATAAACCTAATGACAATACCTATGTTAAGGGTTTCTAGGCAAGATAATATAATTGTAAAGCGGGAAGTAACGTTAGGTAGCCTAACTCTATCGTGGATACGCGTACGTCACTGATCTTAGATATAGAAGCCTGGCAAGAAGGCATTTAGGAGGCGGTATCTAGAATATTCTAATCATTTAAGTCTAAGAATTGCGGCTCACTTTGACATATCCTTAATCGTATGCATACGTACCTAGGTAGGGATCCGCCGTACCGCTAATTAAACCCTTTCTCGACAACATCTAGGGATATGAACCGGTGAGACATGAGTTGGTTCCGAGAGGATGTATCTGATTTAATAGCCTCAAGGTTTTACTCAAAAGACATGGCTGAGACAAAAAGGCCCTTCGTAGTAAGGTGCATATTGTACCTCTCTCTAGCTTCTAAATGAATTACGCATGACTGCTGCTCATAACCAGCCCCTTAGATATGTTGCAATTCGGCGGAATAACAAGATAGCCTTTGTAAAACCAAGTCTGGGTATATAGGAAAGCAGCCAACCCCTTCAATTCAGTTTATGCTTTTTAAAAATAATAAGACATGATGATTTTAGTTTTTGTTTCATTAATACTCCAATGTCTCAAGATAGTAACGAACTAAATTGTTTTATTCAATTATATTCGGAAGTACATTGCTTCGTGCAGTGGATATTGGTATCTCTAATATTTTACAATATACATTAGTAATATTTTATGTCGTGAATGTTCCTGGTATCTTCATCTCAATGGCCGAGTCTGCTTCTGAATCCCTCGACGGCGGCAAAGGACGGGAAAAGTTCGATGGTTTACGTTCCAATGTCGGCCGCTTAGCATCGTCGTGCGCTGTTTGCGCACTTCTCGACACCACAGCCGGCTCTGGTGGTTTGATTACGTCTTGGTCCTTATCGGTAGCAGCTCTCATAGCAGGTGAGTAGTTGGGGTTCTTGATGACCCTAATTGCTTGTCGGATAGCAACTTCTGGCTGTGAGGCGTATCTAACTGTTGATAATCGGGAGCGATTTGCACTGCTTGCGATACTAGTGCTCGGTGTTACATGATGCCCTTTACTAGTCTCGCGGGAACTTTTCGACAGCGAGCGTGAATGGGATGAACGATCGGGCGTGGAAGAGTAAGCAGAGCGATTCGCGCTGGAAGTATCTATAGATGTCTTGGTTGTTCTTGGTACTTCGGCCTGTTTAGCAACGTCGTTCCATTCGGTTCGCCATGCGCCAGGATGGTATACTGGCTGAGGAGGAGTTTTTGAAAGTTTTGTTGGAACCTTCAGCACGCGTGGAGCCGACGATAAAGGCATGTTACCTAAGCCCGTTCGGGCGGTATAAGTTGTCCTAATGGGAGAATTTGCCATAAGCTCAAGCTCCGCCCTATCGTTAGGTATGTCTTCAGTCCTTATAGTGAGTGGGCTTGCAATTTTTCTAGCAGTTCTGATCGCATTAGAATTGCCGAGTTGGAAGATCTCTTCTGAAGGCACTGTGGCTATAGAAGCACTATTGCTCTCCTTTCTCTGTAACGAAGCCCTGCGAGAAACACTGAGATCCGTTAGATCACTAAAACACTGGCTGACACGACCGTTCAAAAATGAGTCTTTGGATACACCCTTTGTTGCGAAAGGGGTTGGATTGCTTTCAATGCTGGCCGATATAATAAAAGACGACGGTCTGCATTTCGTATTAGCTATATCATTAGAGAATCTATGAGTGAGCCCTTACATTGCTATGATACATATTACCAAGTTTAAGTAAGGTGCTGTTCTAGCAAGACCGTCTGAAGGGACTGGCTTTGCGACCATGACGGCCGTTGCGACTAAAGCAGCTATCCATATGGCAATAGCAAGCCTTGCAATAACAAGTGCGCTGGCATGAAGATAATGTCCGTAGATTTGGGGCGGTCCGGGTCCTATTCTCTTGTAATTCTTCCTGGCCCCTCTGATATGAAGGCATATATATAGTAGAGCTATCGCGGACGCGAATAATACCAGGTCTCGCGATATACATGTAAATTTAACCTCGGTCGGCTGCAACATAAGTACTATCGCAAGGGAAAGCCCTCCCGCAGACGAGATGAAGAGGAATATAAGAGCGGCGAGAACAAATGAAGGCCGCTTTTTCTGTTTCTGGTCCTGGTTATACTGCTCAAGAGACTTGTAGATTAATTCTGCATGGTTGTCGCTGAAAGAGGAAGCTTGCTCTTCATCTTTGTTCTTGAGCGCCATGGGATTGTCGTTTAGATATCAATAGGGCCAGCCGACTATTATATTCTAAGGTTGAATGGTAATGAGTGATGAAGAGGCAAGATACCCAACCGTATTTGAATATCATAACTTCTACAGAAGAAAAATCATAACAAACGAGAAACAACCTAAATGCATAGATATAATATAATATATTCATGTGAAGAAAATCCAAGAGGCAGGAAAAGACTGCGAATGGCTAATCCAGGCCATGTTGTGGAATGAAGAAAAACCCAAGTACGCTTGCAGTGGCGGCGGTGATGGTGAAGAATGAAGCATGTTGGCCTTGATCTTTTTTTTGAGCTTAACTATAGAAACACTTATATAGGTATACACTTACCTACCTTATGTAGCTAGGAAACCACATGTACCTACCCCTAGCTGTCCCAGCTTGTCATTAGTACTTGCCTTTAAACATGTTTGGAGTTGAAGAATCACGGATTAGGTAGGTCGCGTCCATAAAGGGGAAGTGCAACGTCGTAAACTCTATGTCGGGCGGGACTGTTACGGAAGTCTAAAAGTTGCAATTGTGATGGGCTGATGGTACATTCCAGGTGCAGGCTTATTGGCCGGGTTCTAGAAGCGTCGTGCCAAAACCGCGTTAAGAAAATTAAATAAGCAGCGCTAAAAGCCCCTGCCCCTGTAAAACAAGGGGGTCAGCTAGACCGGTAAAACGGTTGCATTGAGCCTCAAGAAACGGTGGCTTATGCAACACTTCCAGTCTCAAATTCCACCAGTAACTCGACACTGCGCCTTAATTAATTATCCGAGGTCGAAGAATCCTAGGGACTTGGTGGCTATATGGGGGAAGAGATAAGTACATATGAAGTATTGTAAGTTTATTCTCATTGGTCGGTTGACTGCTCTGGAATGTTAAAGCTCTTGTGGTGTAGGTACATAAATATAATATCATAAATCACAGGATCCTTAAACGCCTAAAGTAATGCTTCATTTCATACCCAAGAAATGACCACCGTTTTGTTTACTCCAAGCATCGAGGTTTCGAAACGACCCGATAAACTATCCCACAACTGAATCATCAGCTACCGCTATTGCTAACTCCGTGTAATACCCAAGCACAAATAAACTCGTCCAGTAACGAGCTAACGCAGCATATATGATAGATCCGGTAGGTTTTGTACAATACTCTTAATAACGTTCTCCTGGTCTCGCTTGTCTGTCTTGTTCTCAATCGGACCAAGCACAGCTTTCAAAGGGGCTCTAGGCTTTTTGACTTCATTCATACTCGCCTGAACGGTACTCCTGTCGTGGGAATCTAAACTAAGCCTTGACTTCGAAACTGGAGAATGCATCGAAGCTGGTGTTGATCCCAACGCCGGCGATTCGGAAATAGGGAAATCTGCGGGAGGCCACGTATCTTGTCTCGACGATTTTGGTGTCTGTGTGGAAACACCTTCGAGCGTAGAGAAATCTGCGTTACGCCATGGGTCTATTTTTGATGTTTTCACGGTCAAGGATGCCGGCTGATTAGGAATTTGTGCTGGAGGCGGGGTACTCTTGGGTATCGAAATAGAGGGTTTAGACATTGAACTGCTACTTTGGGCCATTGATACGCTCTCTGCGTCGATCGTAGGTGTGTTGGCAGCACTGCTAGCTGAAGTCAAGGGAGCGCTATTCGTGTTGCTCATTGACTGTATCATGAGAGTGGAGCCATGCTGAGATTCTACCCGAGGCGACGACACCATTTCGCCCCAGTCATCTTCTTCATTCTCCCCACTAGCCTCGCCTTGGCATAGCTGTACTGGTGCTTGAATCACTGTGTGAATTGTAGTCTCAGCCACAGCGGTCGCTGATATGGTCCGGTGTGTGGAGCTTACGTGGTCGCCACCGTCATCGTTGCTGGCGATTGAATGCGTAATAGGGGATGACTGAGTATCCGAGCTCCAGTTGAAACTGGGAATGGAAGCTGGTCGAGATTTGGGAGTCATATCGGGGGGTTTGATCGGACTTTTTATTGATATCATTTTAGGATGAGAACTCGCTGAATGCGCCGGCTGTTCCAAGCTGTGATTTACTGCCGGGAGTGAAGCATTTCGCAAGTGCGTGGTAGACACCTTGCGGGCAAATACTTTACCTAGGTCGACAGGGGCCGCAGAAGAACCCCAGTTAAAGACACTCGTCCGTATACCAGCCCCAAGTGTGACCCGTCCAGATATCGAATCCTCTTCCATCCATCTTCTAATGATTTTTATAACATCGCCGTGCAGACGGGATGTCGGCCATTCTACTCTATGGTAGTTATCATCATCTCCTGAGTCATGCTTACGCATTGACCCATAACGGGAGAGACGGTACCAAGTTTTACGCTCTGAAATTGTCGTGAAACTATCCCTAATGATTTGATCTGGCACATCGCTGCTCTCTCTTGCATTCCCATCCTCCTTTAAACCCTGGGCAAGGTCGGGGAAGAGCTTATCAACTAATTGAAAGTCAATATCAAACTGTATAGGGCCGAATTTGTCAATAAGCTGCTGAACCGGTACGGAGACAGTTGCTGCTGATGCGGTATTGTGCCCCAAGGGCTCACTGATGTGGTCCTCGGTAGAGGTGTCTTCGGACCGAGGTGTGGGCGTATATAATCTTTTGGGAGCAGCCAGTGGAGTGTTTGAATCGAAAGCTGGTTCGATATCCTCACTCCGCACGTCTTCAAAGTCGCCAAAATCAGTGTCTTCGCCTGTGCTTCTGATCTGACTTGGTGATCTCGACCTCCTTCGACTCTCTCCACTTGGTGGTTCAAGTCGTGTTGATGCAGATGGTTCTTCTGTAGGAATCGTTGCTAGACCATCATACATTCCCACAAGATCCTGGACCTTGCCTGAAGCCTTCCTAGAACTATTCTGAAGGCGTGACCTAGTATCTTCGTCTATAGACGTGATCGGAGAGTCCTGATGGTCCAACCCATTAGAGCTATTGAGCGAGATTGTAGATGGTGGTCTGGAGAGAGCATCCTGAATGTCGATTTTAGGCGCTGAATCAAATCCCGAATCTTGACGTTTTGGGATGTCTGACGACGGTGATGGTAGTTCCCATACTTGCAATCCACCAGCTGGAGTCTGTTCACCCTCCTCCTTCAATCTAGTATTATCCTCCCTTGTTTCTTGGATATCTGCGGTATCTTGCTTTGGTACTTCTAGCATGCAGGGGTTGTTCAACTCATGCTGAGAATCTACGCTGCTGATCCCTAGTGCGTTCACAGGCGTTGAAGAGTCGTCCTTCCTATCGTGTAGCGATAATTCGGTTGCCCATGGATCTGGCGAGTGATGACGGTATACGGAAGAAGTTCGAGATCGCGGGAGTGGTCTTAGCCCTGGAGATGTCGCGGCGCTGCTCGGTAATGCAACCGAACTCCTTTTCCCAAATTCGTCTGGCCTCGAACTTGGCTGGGAAATCAGCGAAGATGGCTCTGCCCATACTCCCCAATCTACCGCGTTTGCTGCAACATCGGTCTGCTCCGTACCGGTCCAATCTCCGAGTCCATCTTCAGTTGCCCATGGAGATTGGCTTTGGAAGTTCGATGCGCTACCAAAGAAAGCTCTTGGGGGTGGACTAAGTAGATTTTTCGGAGGTGATGGTGTCGGATGGTCATTCTTAGCTGTCGTTTCTGGTAGTGCCCAAGGCGAGCCCCAGGGATCGTCCATGATCGCTCAAGGCGATGGTCATTGTTGGCTGCGAATGCGGCGACTTTCGGTAACGAAGCCAAAGCTATACTTACAGCTTACATGCGGATGCAACAATGAAGCCGGAGAGCACAAACTGTGCAATGAGGCATGTTTTTGTCTACTCCACGTAAAAAGTTGGTTGCGAAATAAGTTGCCAAGATTATTCGTGCTGCGCTTACTCGAGCGTGATTGTCGACGCCTTCTCGACCACTAATAAGAAAATGCGAGACAGATTTAGGGGTCGGTTTTGCACATGAACGGGGATCAAGGGGGATTAATTACATATTCTTGGCTCGGAACAGCTGGGAATTGAAGGAATGTACGTACCTAAGATACCGATTAGCCACATTACTACCTACACTATAGCCACTGTGGCTTAACTAAGGTTAAAACATAGGTAATCTATTTTAAGCTATGTACCTATTTCGTCATTTCCAGTCGTGGTGGGGTTGATGGCGGGGCAGTGTGAAGTTGGTGTAGGTATGTATGGCTTTATGAAATTGTTACTTAACGTTTGTACCTCCTGCTGATAAATGCGATGCCGGCAGAGGCCAAATCTTCTAACTTTTAGGAGGTAGGTAGGTAGGTACATCCTTACATATTTGTATGAAGAAATGAATATGTAGAATGAAGCCCTTTCAACCACCTTAAAATGCTTTCTCATCTCTGGAACTTACCTTTAATTTGTTATTTAATGCTGCTTCTTTAGGTCTACCCATTCCTAGTTCTAGCAATGTCACTCGCAAAAGTTAAGCATATTCTCCTAGTATGTACATCTCGTATCAAAAACCCTCATGCTAAATGATACGCTCTAATGTATAAATTCACAGGTCCTCTCTGGCAAGGGAGGCGTAGGGAAATCGTCTGTGACCACCCAGCTTGCATTATCCCTTTCGCTCTCTGGGTATTCTGTCGGAGTCCTTGATGTCGATCTTACTGGGCCTTCGATGCCGCGCATGTTTAATATCGAAGATGCGAAAGTTACCCAAGCGCCGGGAGGTTGGCTTCCCGTGGCCGTGCATCCTGCGAACCCCGAGACCGGTATAGGCGAACTGAGATGCATGAGCCTTGGCTTCTTATTGCATGGAAGAGGCGACGCAGTTGTATGGCGAGGTCCCAAGAAAACCGCCATGGTCCGACAGTTCCTCTCAGATGTATTGTGGGGAGAACTTGATTTCCTACTCATCGATACACCCCCAGGGACGTCTGATGAGCATATATCACTTGCCGAAACACTGCTGAAAGATGCATCACCTGGTCAGGTCGCCGGTGCGGTAGTGGTGACTACACCCCAAGCAGTTGCTACGGCGGACGTCAGAAAGGAGTTAAATTTCTGCGCAAAGACAGGCATATCGGTCATTGGCGTTATTGAAAATATGGTCGGGTTCGTGTGCCCAAACTGCGCAGAATGCACAAACATTTTTGGAAAAGGAGGAGGCCAAATCATGGCAGACGACTTCAATGTGCGCTTTTTAGGAGGTGTCCCTATAGACCCTCAGTTTGTTATGTTAATCGAAACGGGACGACGACCACGATATCCTAAAGGCACCGTTATCGACGGGCAAGACTTCTCTGAGACACATCAAAATGGGCATACAGACACATCGGCTGCAGAGACGAGAGAATCCGGCCTACTTGCAGAGAAATACCTGGAGTGTTCCCTTGAGCCTATCTTCAAAAAGATCACGCAAGATATCGTCACAGCCATCGGATGATGTCGGACATATTGTTATCAGCCTAAGTTCTCTCATCTACCTAGAATCTTACATCGATATGACCAAAGGGAGCATACCTATATATTAAGATCTGATACATACCTAGGCCTGCAGAAGCCAACGGTCTGTTTTTTTTTGTGGTTGGGCAGCTATCGCTACAACTAAATTCTGCGGCTTCGACTATCGCAATCATATGCCACATGCTTGTGGAGAAGCAAGTTTCTGCGACGCTGTGATTAAATGCCGACCTATAACGATCTATATCTCGCAGGCCGGTCAGGGGCGTGACATCCATTTCATCATCATTGTTAGCGATAGGGCTATCTAGAAAAAGAATTTTTTTTATTCAAGTGACCTGCATTCTCCAAATCCCGCGGCTGTGGAAACTTTCCTCGGACTGTGACCATTTTGCTAAGAGTCATTTATGCAGAGTTACGATCCTAGTTCTTTTGTTCGTGTGTAACAAAATTTAAGTTAGCAACCAGGAAATAAATGGTTGTGGTGGCAATGCGCAATGCTACGTTCGCACTCATAGGCACGAAATAAAGACAGGAATCGATTTGACAATTCGATGCTTTTTCTTTTTTTCGCATCTTGATATTTGACAGATTTGCATGATAGGTAGTACAATCCATACATACCTACCTAACTGTAGGTACATACCCTAACTGTGCCTCTCCACTGGCCCTCCCTATGTACATCTCGTTAGATGGCCCCCATCCCGGTCCGTCCAGTAGGCGTTTAGTAGGCTACAAAAGTATCCTCACCGCACTGCAGTGGTTCTCCACTTTGGGCATGGTGGTGACCTCACACCTACCCAATCGTTGCAAAATCAGGTACATTATTTACCCTACAGCTGGTACCACATGTACACATGGCCGTCCTTGCCGCCCACAACGTTGAACTAACTTTTCGCTTCTGAACTTTGAAATTTTCTATTTTTCTAGAATCGGAGCTAAGAGGTACCTTGCACATGCCCTTAGCTGCAGTACATTTTCAAGGTACCTTAAAAATCTCTTTCACCGATAGATTCCAAAACCTAAGGTTCGCACTTAAACTTTCTCTTTACCCCCCCGAATTTGGATTTGTCGAGATAGACAATTCATCTGTCCTACTTAAAAACATAAACAATTCCTTTTTTTACTCCCTGATTGTTCTCAGCTCCTAATTGCTAAAAGCGTACTTCAAATACCGCCATCCGGTTCCCTCTATCGAAGAGGTAGAACCAAACATTTGGTTATAACTATCAAGTTGCTTTTTTGTTGCCTACGACTTGTCGACACTCGCGCTCGGATCGCCGCCGGCGTCACACGACACACGACACAATAAATTGGAGATATTCCGTTGCAGGACTTGGCGATAATAGTCAATGTCAAAGAAAATCGAGACTCTTCATACTTTAACAACGTAGTACTCGACGCCCATAGCCTGCCTCGAGAGAGAACACTACATTTCTGATATACGGCCTGGTTTTCCATGAGCCCAGCAGATTTACTCCGCTTCCTATCTAAGCCTGCAAAGTATGATTCCCTAATAATTCCAAGAGTAGATTCGTATGAGCTCTAGTTAATCGTCTGTCTCTCCTACAGACCCAGATAACACTAGCTTCGAAAGCATTCGACTAGAACTCGCCAACTTTATTTGTCGTCCGGTCTTCTATTTTTACGGTATTTGCAGATACCCTCGTCTGCTAGGTCCGATACTCCCCCACAGGTATCGGTTTCTGTCAGAACGAGGCTCTAGACAAGGCGTCACCATTCCTTGGTCAAAGGTCTTCTTTCTCCCCCTCCGAGCTCGACCACCCTAACGTCCTCTTCGTGAGACGTTAAGAAAATACTTGCCATTGTAGCTGGCTCCGCCAGCATTCACAGTTTCTCATTAACCTGTGGGCCTACTCTCTCAAACGAACACCGCAAGGTTCGTTTGGGCGGCAGTCAGTGCTCCGCGGTCGCTACAGTACCTCACCTGCAGCACACATCCCGATATCAGAACGACAAGCCGGCTCCTTTAAATCGTCTCGGCTGCTCGCCTCTAGGGTACCTGTACGGATATGATCAATCTCGAGATCCCCACCAACTATACATTTTCGCCATCTGAGGGCACGCCCCATTTGACAATCAATCACGATGTTGCTGCAGATATAGACTCTACCAATGCCTTTGAAGGTAAGATGTTTCGGATGCGTTAGTAGATGAATGCTAATAGTGTTTAGGCCCGGAAAAATTGCTCGAGGTTTGGTTTGCCCCTAACCCGAAATCTCTCCCACCTGGAGTCAAGGAGAATGGGTTGAAGTCGGTCGCTAGCGAGATCTGGGTTGGAATGCTCGACATGGTTAATTGCAAGATCCTCTCGGTTCTTGAAGCGGAGCACATGGACGCCTATCTGCTCTCCGAGTCCAGCATGTTCGTGTTTCCCCACAAACTTATTCTTAAGACGTGCGGAACCACCACTCTTCTTCTTGGCCTCCACAGGCTCCTTCGAATCGCTGCTGAACATGCTGGATTCCCTTTCCATAATGCTACCTCAATGAGCGACATCCATGCTGCCGCTACGCCTTATCGAGTATTCTATTCGCGAAAGAACTTCCTATTCCCTCACAAGCAACAGGGACCCCATCGCAGCTGGAAGCAGGAAGTTAAGTATCTCGATGACATGTTTGAGGGAGGAAGCGCTTATATGGTTGGGAAAATGAATGGTGATCATTGGTACTTATATATCACCTCGCCATCGATGAGCTTGACGCCACCTCGTACGCCGGACGGTGAAAAGGTAGCTGCGAGTCCTACCAGCACGTTCAGGATTCCCACTGGCCTGACTTCCGCCTTCAATGGTGGCTTGGAGGGCAACGACGAAACACTCGAGATTTTGATGACGGACCTTGATCCAGAGAACGCGAAGAAATTCTACCTAGAGCACGCGAGTGCGGTCGCGAGCACTAGGCTCTCTGAACAGGTTCAGGAAGCACGACAGATGGCTATTGACAGCTTTGGAGACCTATCTGGCAGTACCGCTACGCTTAAGACTACAAGCACGACCGAGAGCGTGTTCGACGACACGGTCGACGTGTTCAGCAACGGAAGCGACTCTGATCTGCATGATACACATACCCCGCTCTCTGAGCAAGCGGACGCTGAGTGCCTGACCACAGAAGGCCATGCGCTTGGGACAGTGGTTTCGGACGCTTGTGGCCTTTCGGACGTATATCCCACTTCTAAATATCCGGACGCCCGTATCGATGCCTATCTCTTTACCCCGTGCGGTTTCTCAGCCAATGGCATTATCCCAGCCCCTCAGAATCAGGAAATTGATGAGAATGCTAAGTCCACTCATTATTTCACTGTGCATGTGACACCCGAGCCTATCTGCTCATTTGCTTCTTTCGAAACGAATGTTCCAGGTGGTCAGAACGGACGTGAAACCTCGGAGATTGTTGACCATGTGGTTCGTATCTTCAAGCCTGGACGATTCAGCGTCACCCTTTTCGAGGCCAAGGCGGTCCATATGTACGACAGTGATGAAATCCCAACCGGGATCGGTCGTAGCAAGCGCATGGAGAAGATCCCAGGATACAGGCGCATCGACCGTATCGTCCACGATTTTGACGATTACGAACTTATCTTCCGATATTATGAGCGAGAAGATTGGGTTGGTGGAAGCGGACCCCGCGTCGGGGAGGACCTCTGAGGGCCAATTGGACTGTTGGTAACCCCTATGTCCGATCTTTTTCATTCTTGATTCGTTTCGCTTTTACATTGGGTTATTGGAACTTGGGGAAAGTTAGCAGGCATGGTTTCGAAGTAAATTGAACAGTAATAATCACCTTGGATGGACGATTTCAGCATTTTGCTTCGACGTAGGGTCTTCTCGTCAACCTGTTTCGGGGCTACACTAAGTCTAGACCTGGTACACTCATTTTTCACTGATAAATCAAGGCCTTAAATTGCCAGTCTCTCGTCAAATTATGTCATGTGATTGATAATTTACCGATGATAACAAATTGGGATATGAACGGGATACAATAACTTCAACAACTTATCAGGCGGTCATTTTTGAAGGGATATTACATCCTGCATGACGGGCGCCGAAACGTACCTTGCTTGTGCTGAACCGATTAATCAACATATTCAGGGGAACCTAGGATAAGAGACTGCAAACACTCTTTTAGCCCGTATTTTATTAACACTAGCAGTATCTTGTCAAGAAACATATTTTCTTATTAAATTTACCTACGTGAAGTTCATGTAATTAGCAATCTAACATATTCCCCTTAAAGAATCATTGTACGTTAAGGCTACGTTCATCTTCCTCTCAAAGACAAGACGAGACTTTGTCTCCTATCACTTGTATCTAAACTAGGGTCTTATAATACCATGTTAGATTCCTAAGGTAGGAACTGTGAAATATCCACATAATATTTATCGAATGCTATATTTTTGTAGTGGTATGCACGAGACAGAGGTAGGTTGTGCATTGCGAGGTTTAGCGGCGCTCGCCCTACTTTTGCCTTAGTGTTGTGAGGAAGCTTCCGAACTATAGAGATTGTTGTACCATCAGCTATCTACATTAGTTGGAAACACCCTTTTATACATTAAACTATCCTTTATGAAGACTACTATCGCTCTACCCTTGCTAGAGACAATACCCCCTTCAGTCTTGGACGCAGTTCTTATACGATAGCCGTCTAGTGATATATTAAGCTTGTATCTCTGCTTTAATCTAAACTTTATCAAGGCTTACAAGGGCTGTTCCTATAATATTTTTATCAGCTTATTTACGGCTCGTAGATGCGGTGTCTACAAGGGTGTAAGCGTGCCTAAATAGCTTACATACGGCACTTGTTGCGCGGGCATCCTGTAGGGTTATGAGGGCTAATGGATTTACATAGTTCTACTTCCTGAAGACCATCGCGTGGGAAATCCTTAGGGAGTTTTATCGGCTAGGGCGTATTCGAAGTGGAATTGTATCTTATATGACTAACTTCGTCCAATAGTCCTGACTCCACGGTTAAGCGATGTGCCATCTGAGATATTTCGATAATAAAGCGGCAACATAGCGGCAACATAGAGGCAATATAGCGGCGTTACGTGATCAAATAGTACCGTCGATTATTATTTATATTAACAACTCGCTTTCAAAATAAATAGTCTAGGTTTCCTTTACAATATAGGTAAAGAGGAAAGTCAGAGATATAATGTAGTATATAAGCCCAACTTATAAAATAGCATTCTGTTCACATACACCAAATTCATTATCAGTAATCTTATATTTATATTTAATTACTCGATATAGATCATATACATTAATCTGTTAAAACATCTATAACAGGTCTATCTTAAAGCTGATGAAATAACGGAGTATAACGAGTTTCTAATGTACAAAAGTGAGGTGAGTGTAGAAAACCAAGCTTGGGCTACCAGTGTAAAATGCTAGGTTAGTTAACTGCGACCGATCGCGTCCTTGTAAAATCCAATGCGCCGTTTTCGTATAGCCCGTTACCACTCTAAAATAGTTGAATGCATTTTTTTTTTCTTACTTGCCTTTCTAGAAGGCTAGAACACCTGATGTAAGATAAAGAAATCTAAGGGGCGAAAAATCAAAACCAAGTGATGCCGATCCGAGTATGCCGCTCTTCCCAAAGCACGGGTTGTATTGTACAGTCTAATGTCGATCCCGACATAGTAAATCTTAGGGAGTTGGTTGTGTTAAGACCTGCTTAACCCTCCGATGGTTTCGTTGGAATTTTTGTGCGATATACTCTCAACTAGGTAGTCAGTTGCTTGGTAGAGGACGGTGGTGTACAGTGCTGCGAAACTGTGGTCCTCGTCTTGTAGATTGTAATTGTGGAAGCCCTTCGCTTCGAGAAAGTCAGACACAAGCTTTTCCCCGTTGTACGCCCAGTAATCTCGAAATTGGCAAACTGCAGACTCTATGGCGCCCGAAGGATAAGTTACGGCTGGCAAGTCTGCTCCGGGGAAAACGATTGTCCAGATATATAGCCATTGCAGCTCTTCAGGGTTCCGAGCGTCAGTAGGTTGAACCAGCTGTTGAACCTGCTGTATGGTTATGCCTTCAGGTGTCGGCGACTCCCGTGGGCCACACTTTCGGTGTCGAATATGACTATCGCAACGAGTCACCGTGGGGAAAGTTTTCCCGCACATTGGGCAATAAGGCGGTAGCCTATGAGTGTTCCAAAGGTGCTGTTTGACACCTGTAATACCTCGGAGGCTCAATCTCGTGAAACATGACATGTGCTTTACTGGATCCCATCGGTAGAATGGACATGCAAACTGACGTTTCAAGGGGAATTGGGCGTCTCCCAGGATGGAGCCTTGAAAGTTACCGGCTCTCTGCTCCACGCCTAAGTTCCTCTGGGGGAACGTCTCAGACCGACTCTCTAGAACCGATTAGCTTATAATTCCTTCGTGCAGATCATTGCTATACCAACTCTCAAGATAGAACTCATTTAGGGCGGATAGCTTAAGCTCATCAACTACTCGTGCCAATGGGTGGTCGAATTCCAGAACCAGGGGCTCTTGTACAGTAGATTCAAAAATGTCGACGTCGTTTTCGTCAAGGTTATAGCTCTCCGGCACGGGGTCCAGTTGGGAGATGTCGTAGAGGTGACTGTTGTAGTAATGATCCATACTCAATGCGTGGGTGCTTTCAAATATATAGTTTTCTACATGTGTCTAAGCTTGATGAGTAGATACAAGAAAAACGACTGACTTTCTAGAAGGAGTATTTAAGTATTTATTAAGAGATTAATTGAATATCCTAGATATTTATAAATATACTCATTTAGGGCTGAATCATACCGAGAAATTTCAGCCTTACCTATGTCTTCAATGGTGCTTGCTACTAAGTGCTATAGCGGCTAAGTCAAATTTTGCATATGACTAGAGGACTATTAGTATCGATGTTAGAGTAATGTAAGAATGTTCTATTGCCCCCAATCTGCCTTCAGCTTGTGTTGGGTTGAAACTTCCGGCATCACCGTCACTCAAAAAAAAATCTGCATACGCTTGCGTAGGGCTGTAGATAAACTCTGGTAATGACGTCTTATGTTTGGAACGTAAGGTTATGTATGGCTTGCATACCTACCTAGGTATGTATACTTAAATTTAGAGGGATTGGTGAATTGCGTTAGATATTTCTGTTGCTGTATGCATTGTAAACTACATGTATTTATTGGAATGTCAAATTGCATTCTGACTTCCTAAAGGGTTATTACAGATAATTGACGCCTTAAACTCGCGGGAGTCCAGATATTAATAAATCACGTTCATCCAATAAATGATTCCGATTGATATGTAATATGAATATTTATTATCTTTTTTTCGGCAGGACCCGTCGTAAGTATACACGTCCGATAATGAACTAATAGAAGCGATTAAAGTTGAACCGCAATAAGAATCACCCCTAATATCGATACCAAAACTAAAAAGTGAAAGGGAGCCATGGTAGGTTTCAAATCACGCTTTAGGTTACAAGATTCCTTAGCTTTCAGCAATCCCCCTATGGTGGACCATTAGTGCAACTGTGCCAAAATCAAGAAAATTGGTTGCACTATGCCTAACAAGGTAATATAATAAGTAACGCTAAGTGCATAATACGTTATATACAAAATAAAATAAGGTTTATTATTATAAACATTATCCGTAATATATATTCGGGTTATTTTTCCCATTAATTTTTAACATTAACCAATTAAATTAAAAGATTTTATTATTAATTTAATTTTTAATTGTTTTATACATATAATACATTTAAATAATTTTACGAAAATAACATTTTAAACGTTACATTTAATATTATTTTATAACTTTAATTAACGCGAAAATAATAATTTAAATTACATTTAAATCGGCTTTTTAATTATTATGTTATAATAAAATCAAATAACGTTTATTTAAAAAAACAAACACGTAATATTTTTTAAAAATACGTAATATTTTTTAAAAATATATAATACCTTTTAAAAACACCTCGATAAAATTATTTTAAATAAACTTTAAATATTTTAATAATAATATAATAATATTTAATATATATCGTATAAACATATATTTTAATTTATTATTTTTACATTAATTAAAGTTATAAAATAATATTAATCGTAACGTTTAAATTATTATTTTTATAAAGTTATTTAAATATATTATATATATATATATATATAAAACAATTAAAAAGGCTAAAGTAAAAGTTAAATCTAATTAGCTAATCTTTTAAATTGTATATACAAGGCAAATAATCGAGCCTACACTATACCCCTTAACGTTATTATTACCTTATTAGACATAATGCCACCAATTTTCTTGATTTTGGCACAGTTGCACTAATGGTCCACCATACCCCCCCCCCTCCCACAACTACCCCACAATATCGTCATTTCAAAACGCTAACCCCGCATATTCAGCGCTAATTGTCCGGTACCTTAGGTACATAATCACTACCCGGCCAGGAGGTAGGCTGCCAACCGGGGTTGGTTAATAAGTTGTAAGGGCTGACACCTCCATTTTCGTCTATAGGGGGTAATTGGTTCTCAGGAGAGTTATACACAGAATCTTGCGGGGCTATGATTGATTGAGGGAGCGTCAATGATAAGTTCGGATGGACATTCGGATTGATAGGCGACTGAGGAAGAACGTCTCTCGGAACGTATTCATTGCCTTGACTGTGGTTGATAGAGCCTCCCATCCGATGCGTGAAGTAAGGGGGAATACCGGCGAGCATGTTACATATGTGCCCGTAGGCCTCCTGTTGCATAGCTGGAGCTGGAGGAACCAGCGAGAGTAACGTTGCAACATGGATATTGGGCTGGTTTTGGTATTCTTCGATGAGATATGATGTGATAGTGACACCGTCATCGAGATATGGAGATATAGGCTGCGGAATTCCTGGGAAGATGCAGTCCCAAATTTCAAACCACTTCGCTGCGTCGTCGCGAGTGCTGGATCCGCTAGCTGCTTCTCTCATCCTATCAACAGCATCAACTGTCATCCCAGGAGGAGTATTAAAGACTCGAGTGTCACAGTTGTTTTCATTGAGATGCCGATCACGGTCAACGTTGTTGGTTTGCCCCTTGAATATGTGCCCACACCGGGGACAATGAATTTCCTGCAGATGTTGTCGAAGTAAATGCTGCCGCACATCGCCGACCCGGTGGAGATGATAACCGAGACATTGGAAATATGCCGAATTGTCACGGAGAAAGTAGGGACACGCATACCGCCGCTTACGCTCACCCCGGCTCGAGGCAGATGCGATGGAACGACGCTTTTGGGGTTGCCGCTCCGGATGATCCCCGCCGCCCCTTTTATTGCGTTGTTTCCTGGGGTTTCCGCTGGAACCTGGAGGCGGGTATGAATGGTCCTGTGAAGTTCCACAGGGACCATTATTGGCCCCACGGCCGTCTCCTTCGCCTTGATCTAATAGAGGACCGTCCCAGAGATATGGTTGCGAAACATGAGTAACGAGGAATGCATCCAACCATGGATCTTCAAATCCAAAATATTGAGCAAGAGTTTGTAATACTTCCTCGATACTTGAATCCAAACAGGCGGGTTTGCCCCAGGTTTCAAGCTTTGGCGCTACTGCAAGATCCCGAATGCAAGTGGACCGCTTAACTTCCTTGTTGCACGTCTCTATCAAATGGTACTTCATTCTCTCTTTAAGCGCAAGTGCCTAACATAAACACATATTAGTTAGTATAAGTATAACTTATAACTTAGGTACCTGTTATATAAACTGTCAACTGCCGCATCTAAAGTCTTACATACCTCGCCTCGATCTCCCAAGTTTATAAACCGCCCGTCTGTCGGGTCCACGATGCATGGCCCCGTTTCACATTGCAATTTGCTTCTTTTTTCCATCTCCATTGTCGTCGACCTTACTTCGGACTGTCCGGTAAAGCAAGTGCCCGTATGTCGTGAAGCTTACAGTAGAAGTTCGGTGAAACTCCGCCGGGCTGAAAACTCAATTGAAAATGATAAAATAGAGAACAAAAGTTTTCCAATCGAGCGTCCGTCTTACGAACCGTCCTTTTTTAACAATTGAGTCCGCGCATAAGTGTGCATCGCCTCCGTCCTCGACAGCAATGTGCGCTACGCTTCCGCGTATGCCGGTGTTTTCTGATCCCTATTCTCATCAGTGATTTGCAGGTCTAGTAGGGCAACTTTGCTTCTACTACACAACTGTTCGTCTCCCAAGGCATTCTCCTGGGCTGTCTACTAGGTGTTGAGGTTGAGTTCTTCTATATTTAAATATATCAGAGCCATGACATGAAGCTACGCGTCTGTGCAAGTGAGCCTAGTTATGGCACTAGAGTGCGTTCATATGCAAGAGACCGCACCAAGCCCGCCTCATATTTCGGTCAACAACTAATCGTAGGCCTATGGAAACCCAGCATAAACATAAAGGATAAAAACTAAGAAGATTAAACTCATCTTCTCGGCCCTGAAGCTAGTCGTACTTACCATAGGTACGTAATCCTAAGGGCACACAAAGTGGGTAAGACAGCCCCTGAATCGCCCGTATAAGCCTGCGTTCGAATTCAGGGAACCCTTTACTTACAGTTGTGTATCATCAACCTAGATCGTCAGTGATGTGACTAATAATTGAATCTTACGATAAATTTTGAAGTCATGAGATGTCAATACGCTTCCGTGTGAAAAGTAGAAATGCAATGTGGACGAGCCCCTATGTCACATCCGCCACGGCAGTGCGCTTAAACAAACGTGTTGATGAATTTGTTATGTTCTATTTTGGTCTTCACCGAGGTTAAGGTGTATTAAAAACTATCTGTAATCAAACACTTATTTAGCTACATGGCTCAATGCTACAGTACAAATCATTACAAGCCAATGTCCAAAGAGCCCAAAGAGCCCAATTACGGCCCGAAGGCTTGCCATTGTCACGTATATCAAGTAGCTTATCTATAAACGCGGGGTTAGAATAGAAAGTTACTATGAAATGAAACCAGTACTAAGAACTATCTCAGGGAGACCTCTTAATATGACTATACGTAAAAGGAAGAGAATGTAGATAGGGAGGCGGGCCGGGCCGTAAGCTTTAAGATGCAGGTCGCTCTTATCCATGCAGTTCGACCTAAAATAGAAACCTATAAATCGCCTTCAATCTACATAGGAGGCCTCGCTTTTGCATTAAATCAAGAATGAAGTTGAATACTTAGAAGTAAATACCACGGGTAGCTTATTAAGCGAAAGCGCCATCGGTAATGCCAAATAAGAAAGAGAAAAGTGCTACTTTAGGCATTAAGCGTCAATCCATACATTGCATATCACCGCCTACCCGATCAATCTTCGGTGAATGGAGCGTAGATACAATGATCAAATGTTCATGCCAGTTGCCCCCTCACGCCCCCGGCGTTAAGGGAGGTGGCGTCCAGTAGAGCGCTCTCGGAGTTCCCTTAGTTTTTCAAGGTATGTAATATCCTAAGCCTTTGAAGCAGGCTGCATATATGCTCGCATACGCCATTACTCTCGCCCAATCAACCCTGGAGGTGTTGATTACCAATGTACGGTAGAGCAATACCTGCAAGGATCATGCGATCTAATAGTTAGGAGGATACGAGGTAGACGAGAGCCTTGCGATGGAAGTAGAAATAAAATAAAATACCATCTTATGATTAAAAGACTCACCGAATGTTCAGGGTTATTGTGCTTATTGACACTAAGGATTGTCGAACGTTTTTTTTTTCCTTTTTTCCCTTTTATTGCCATTATCCTTTCTTGCTTGTGGTAATTTTCAATGGCATTTCGAGATTATAGCATTAAAGCATAGAGGTAAAAACCATGCCTAAAGTAGCCTATGAATCCCCTGGAAAGATCAGGAGGCGAGGTAGAGCTTGGATATATCACCGAGGACCACTAGCCAAAATATCCCACCAAAAATGGCCATTAGAGACCGATGATGGAGGGCATAGTACATATGGCAATGGGAATTATCCAGATATAGACGCGATGAAAAGTGAGTACATCGAGACGCAAGAATTGAGTACTTAAGTCCTTCCTATTCTAGTCCATGTACTAATTCTACCATACCTAGTATATCAAATTCAGCAAGACGGGATATCAGAGTTTGATGTAACTAAAAGACAATTTTTATTCAAGCGAGTTCAAAGATACGCCAGTCGATGGCAGCGAGGTAATAACTTACTCCCTGCATATGATAGGCTCCTGTTAAATCTTGAAATAGGAGAGTTTGTTTACCATTATGTCCCTGAACTTGCACATAGGCGCTTCTCTTCGCCTTATCCAGAGGTCATCCTAGCTCATAACTTATCAGAGTACCATTGCCCTTTTCAGGGGAAGCTTGGCCTCCTTTATAATGGCTCGATCGGCTTAGACCATTTATCCAACTCTAAATCCAGAGCGGAAAGTCCGTGCTTTTCGCAACACAGACGTACGACAAATGAGACGGAAAAAACTGATAAGCCGCTCTATAGTATCGGGAAAGATTCACCTCCATTATCTCCCGCCGAAGGTCAAACCAACAGCATCCCGAAGCAAGAAGAACATAGCGCGGGCGAACTTCCAGAACTCGAAAATGTGGAGAACCCGAGCACTGGAAGATTATATAAAATCGAGAGAAACCACAAAGACCAGCATTTTACTACAGGCATTAGGAGACGAGGGGTATCACCAGCACAGCTTTCACGGCCGTTAGGCTCTGGAGAGGTTACATATGGGAAAATACCCCAGAACAACCAGAATATACAATCTAACAATGGCGGTGGGTGTCCAAGGAAGAGGTGGTTGGCATGTCCCTGGTATAAGAAAGACCCCTTGAAATACTCCAGTTGCGCAAAATACAAACTATTGCGCATCAAGGACGTGAAGCAACATACCTACAGGAGGCACATGAAACCTACCATCTACTGCTCTGTTTGCTTCCGAGTATTTTCAAGAGAGAAGGAGAGAGACAGGCACACGCAAAAGAACATTTGCACCCCCAGGAGCAAGCCAGAATTCGACGGACTATCAGAGCAGCAAAGAAAGGAGCTAAACCAAAGTGCCAACCGTGGGAGAAACGACACGGAGCGATGGTATTGCATGTGGGATACAATTTTCCCCGGCGAACGCCGACCTCTACTGCCGTACCTCGGAGTCGGTCGGCAGGAATTACTACCGCTGCTTCGGAGTTTTTGGAACCAGCGACACCAGGAGATCATAAGCAACGTCCTGCAGGGATCATCATCACAACGCAAGCTATTAGAACCCGAAATGGTCCAAAACGTCATGGATACCATCTTTGACAGATTCGAAGCTGAATCCCTAATCTGGGACTCCTACCCCAATGAGCCGTCGGGCGATGAATCGTCCGAGACTTCTGACCGTCGAGCACAATCTCCAGGGACCTCGAACGATATTACTATAGGAGTCTCGCCCCCTCAACAAGACATCACAGATTACGGGACGTTGTACGAGCCCTCGGGGCACCAGCCCGGTTTAGAGTCCAATTTTGCTTTGGAGCACACGAGCGAGAGTGATTTCGAGAAGGACTTCGATAATTGGTCTGGGATTGACTTATCTCAATGTGGCATAGAATATCCGTATTGAAACTCTTATTCTAGAATGCAGGCTCTTGGAAGTCCAGCGTCTTAAGCGGTGAAACATAATAGCTATCTCAAAAGTTTGGTTGATAAATCACTTACTAGTAATGAGTGTAAGCGGAGAAAGTTAGACTATAAAAATGATTTATTTCATTTATATTTACCTATGTATATACTCAACTCTTTCTCATCTCATACCTTGTACCTAATGATTTTACTATCCCCTTAACTAGCATAAGACAGCACCCCCCCCTTAGTGATCGGTGGAGTCAACGCGATTCATTAACATAAAAGGAAAAGAAAAAGAACTTGCGATATGCCTCTATAATAAATATAATTGGCCGATCTAATACCGTAGAACCGGTTTATCTTCCCTAGCCAATCTTAATATATTAACACTGAAAATAGTGGAGATGCTATCTTATACCAGTTAAGGGGATAAGTTGCATGAACCTGTGCCTAGACATACAACGAGGACTCCAACGCAAAGTCGCCAGCGAAGAAGTAAAATATACAATGAATCCCGCTGACCGAAAATAAATTATAGAGCTGCTGTATAAAGCTACCCAACACAAGAGTTGACGTCGTTAAGCGAAACACGTGCCCTTCCCCCCTTTTCATATAATCCTTGTCTAGAGGATTCCAATCTAGCATGTAACCACCAGGATGCTGCTGTATCACATAGATCTATTATCAAGCACACTACACCATTGGCAATTCTTGCTAAATATCATGTTAATATATCAAATGCCTATATCCATACTCTAGGTCCACGCCATCCCTAGGACGGAGTTACCGGCTATTAAGTGCTTGGACTACCCTATGTACCTCATATCGGCACGAGCCCCCTACTTTAAGAACTTCTGTATCGTCGGTGGATTATCACAAGTGCGTACCAAGTTAATCTAATACGAAACATCCAATATGAAATAATAATCACGCATCTATTATCAAGTATGCAATAATCGATTAGTTACCTACCTAGGTAACCTGTTAATCCTATCCCTACCAGATAATTCCTGGGTACCGATGATGAAAACACGATGAACAAAAAATTTAATTACCTAGGTAAGAGGTACTTATACTCTATCAGTCCCCTTTAGGATTCGACTCGCATCGCGATTTCGGGCCTAATTCCGCCGAAATCGAATGCTCAGGCTGGGAAGCTGATAGCCTCCGCGCGAAAAAAACAACAACTCATTCCTCGTAGTCGTAAAAGTCGTCAAATTTTCCTACTTGCTAAGTCCTACAACGCCAAAAACAAAAAATGCACCGGTCCCTTCTCTGGATATCATTTTATGCAATCTCCGACGTCTATAGTATTTCCCGAAGTTTCTGCTTCTGCTCTGGTGTTAAGCTGGTAGGGAATTTCACATTATACTTAACGATGAAATTACCCCGCTCGCCTGGCTTCTTCGAGATGGGCATGCCGAGCCCAGGGTAGGTATCTGATGTGCCTGGACCTGTAGGGCCGCTTTTCTCAATAACGAGTTGTTTTCCGTCGATTGTCGTTACCGTCCGTTTCCAGCCGGTTAATGCTTCCTTCAGGTCCAAATCAATTGTGTGGATCAGATCGTCGCCATCACGAACAAAGAGAGGGTGATTTTTCTATCAATTAGGTTAGTTTATGTCTAATTGTTCGTTTATACCTGTGTGATAGGCTTACCTCTTCGACAATGAAGTGCAGATCCTGCTTTCCACCCTCCTCTTGGTCGCCGACGCCCTTGAACTTGATCTTGCTGCCCTTCTTTAGGCCGGGCTTGATAGGAACTTCGAGGACTTGGTCGGTAGTTGTCCTCTTACCCGTTTCATCGAAGGTCTTCCGCTTGATCTTCATCTTCTTGGTGGTGCCGTTGTATAACTCTTCTAGAGACATTGGCAAGGCACGCTCGACAGTTGTGACGTCAGGCGCCGGTTCTCTCGGTCCGCCACTCGAGAAGGGATCACCGCTGGCAAAGTTATTGCGCATGCGTGTTCTCCCGGCTGAGGATCGAGGCATACCGCCTCCACCAAAGAACGAGCTCATATCGGGTTCGTCATCGTCTTTGCCTAGACCCCCTCCGCTACCGCGCATAAATTCGGCAAATATACTTTCGGGTGCACTGAAGTTGAAGCGGCTGCCCCCGCCAGTATTGGTGCTAAAGCGGAATGTCCGAGCGCCTCCTCCCGGCATACCACCACTAAAGTCGAAGCCTTGGAAGCCACCAGGCATGCCACCTTGGGCTCCCGCGAAAGGGTTCTCCCCGGGCGGCGGGGCAGCACCGCCGCGTAATAGAAACTCAAGGCCGAATTGGTCATATGTCTTACGTTTTTCGGGGTCGGAGAGGATCTCGTAGGCTTGCGAGCACTCTTTGAACTTTTCAGCGGCGGTGGGGTTATCTTTATTCTTGTCGGGATGCCACTTTAAGGCTGCCTTTCTGGGCGAGGGTTAGTATCTAGTGTTTGCTATCTAGTATTTTGCGGATTTGGTGGAATGAACGAAAGAAAACGGATAGAAGAAGGGTGTAGTAGGGATGGAGTGGGGTAGACTTACCGATAACCTTTCTTGATTTCATCTTGAGTGGCATCCGGTTTGACGCCAAGCTGATCGTATAATGTTGTCTCTTTCACCATGTTGCTCGATATGTAGGAAAGTCTTGTTTTTTAACAGGTGAAGGAAATGAAGTGAGGTAGGTTGTTATTCAAACGAGGTTCCGTTGTTGAGCAGGTAAGTAATTGATAATTGAGAATCTCGTGATCAATCTAAATAGGAATCGAGGTCGACTGATTTGTTTAGAGTCGATGAATTGGTGTAAAGAAAACGTTGGTAATTGCGAATATTTTAGAAAGAAAGGAAATAAGACAAGAAGTGTGTCAGTATGTCAATTTCTTTTGCCTTGCTGCAAGCTGGACAGCTTCATGTACTATAGCGCTGGTTTTCTTTGTGGTGGGTTGGTTGGTGGAAGATTCGGGAATTGGCGATGAGAAGGTGAATGAGTGACGTTTTGAGCCGTGGATAAGTGGGGACGATAAGATGTTCCAAGTACTAAGTTACTTATATGCGTAGCAGCTGCAATGCAATAATTCAAGTATTGAATACTTAGAAGGGATCTCCAGTTGAACACAATCAGGTGACCATAAGCTCTAAAATCGTTTACGTCTCTATTAAGCTCTCGACAGTCCTGGAACCAATGAGAACAACCCACTAAAGTGATTTCCTATGTACCATGTACTTTGAATTTGAGTCCCTTTACATTAGGTATGTACACTACTCCTGGCTTACCTCTCTCTGGTTCTTCTGGTAACTCTCTTGCGGGACTGGGTAACATTGTATGAGTAGGTAGTATTATTGAATAAACTTACGATGGCAGCAATATATATTTTATATGGCCTGCTAACTACCCAATCTAATCATTCCGATACTTCACCACATTAGTGGAGTCCGCGGGGGTTTATGTGGGATAGATTCGGGACTAGGATGTCGGTAATAGCGATGCAAGCGAGAATAAATAGTGTAGAGCTTGATTTCCTGCATGAGAGCCACGCTTATCGTTCGATTCAAACCACCTCAGCAGCAGTAAACTGTTATTGACAATAATGAAAATGAATTTAAGATGAACAAGCAGCTAAGTGACCGCGGTAACAACTGATCTCTATACCTAAACAAATATATACATACGCTATCATACCTTTGTCCTCCCATTCCGGTTGAGCTTTTGTCGTCGTACTTTAGAAGATTTGGCTCATTCCAACGGGGGGCAGTTGTTGGAATATTCTACAATGTTCTAGAATTAATACTACAAGGATACATGTATTCAAGCCGGCACAGTCAATTGAGACTCAGCTATGCAGTAGTCGACACTATTAGCCTATTAGATCATCGCATCCTTTAATCATTCCGTCAACCACTCCTAATGGAAAAGTCAAAATATTTATAATTCCTTGCCCTATGCCTATTCATTATCCGGCCTTGGGTATCATGAAGTCAATGCGCTGTATACCATACACGCCAAACAAGACTTAATTTCAACAGCGTAGCTCAAACCCGTTTATTATTTCATAAACCATAAACCATTCATTGCCACATCCTGTCTCATCATAACTCCAATACCTATGCCCCACTCATAGACGTGAACCTCGTACGGATAACACCAAGCCACTGATGATACGACCATTATTCGTGATGTACATCCAGGTCAATGTCCATCATGTCGATTGGACCGCTCTGAGTTGCATGGCTGGGTCGGGTTAAGAATGGCCCGGGCCCTCCGGTGCGCTCTCGCATCTCAGGCGGCTTGGATGTGTCAGGGTCAAAAGTTTGCATCTCCTCCATGTTGCTGTGTTCCATGCTAGGTTGCATCTCTGAGAAGTGTTCCTGCTCATTTGTGGCCCAACCCCCTAACTCCGTCGGCTCATTTTCGTGAGTACGGCAATTTGCGAGTGACTCGACAATGCCACCGAGTTTCTTAGACTGGGGGCTACTGCTGGCAACTGGCTCGTAGTAAGTGCCTAGTGATGGATACGTCGGGAACTGATCCGGATTATCAAATATCAAATCAACATCATCGAGGTCATCGCGAGAACTGCCATGTGTTGCCACCGACGAACCAATGCTGTGTTTTCGTTTGCTCGACTTTGCGGCAGGGATATAAGATAAATTCTCGGCAGTGATTCCTGGCGGTTCTGGATTCTGTAATTGTTCCGGACTTTGCTCTTGGGCAAGCTCTTGTTGAAATGAGCGATTGTCGGCCCGTACGAACATCTATGGAGAGTATTAGTGCCCTTTCCATCAAAGCGAATACGTGACATACCCGTAGAGCATCCGACAAGGGAAGAGGCTTCACTTCCATAGCGGCTTCAGAAGCATAGATGAATATGGGATACTTAGACTCGGTCCCGGCCGCGTGGAGGACGTCTTCCAGGATTGCTTTCTGCGGAGTCTGTTAAGTACCTAAGAAGAATAGATATTTGACACTAACATACCTCGGTTTTGATTGGGTTTGTTTCGCCCGACGAATATCCTATTTTCCACCACTGATCCAAGGAAGCAGGTTCCCCATCGACCTCCATTGAATCGCTGTCTTGTCTGACACATACATATGCGAGTTCATTTGTAAGCGCAACACCGCGAAGGGTGTATTTATGAGTGGGGTTCCAGTATTCTGGATGATAGGCAGTGGTCGACCGGAAGACATATTCTTCATCGTCTACTTCGTGTTCTTGGCATGTCAATCGCTTCGAAATCACTCTCATGGAGTCGTAGTATGCCTTCTTTGCCTCTACAAGGTCTATAATTAGGTTAGAAAGATGCCACCTTTTCTAAGGGAAATAGAATAAACTTACTCGCCAGATCCGTCTTAAGCTCCTCAAGTTTCTCTCTACACCCATGAACGGCATTTTTCCATTTTTCCATTCTTTCTTCTTCTTCGGGCAGAAATGTGTAAGGCCCGCTCCATGTATGAATATCGTAAAGGTCTCCAAGGCCGAGTTCCAGCCCCTCCTGCATTCGACCATAATGATAACGCCATTGCGCGGCCCTAATCTGACTTTGCATCATCTTTTCGCTGTGTTTAATGATTCCATTTAGACAAGCGAAGAGGTCATGGGGACCATCGCCCAATCCGTTCACTTTCTGGCAGCGTTGACCGTGACATCTTACCAAGCTCGCCTCTAGCAGATCGTATAAGCGTAACTTCTTTTTTGCCAGGCGCATATAGGTCTGGAACTTGAGCCCAAGGTCCTTTCGATCTCTCATGTACCGGTCCACATAAAGCACGGCTGGTACCTCACAGGGCTTCACCAAACCGGTGCCATTAAGTCGTATTGTCATCACCTCGGCCGGCTTGGATAGTACGGCATAATTGGAATCCTCTGGGAAAGAATGGTCAAGTGCTAATGCGTGTGTCCAGAGCAAGTTATCCAATGCGTCGTAGAATGTGTTCACCCATTGGTACTGTTCATGGTCTAATGCCAAATCCAGAAATATAAACGGCGTATCTTGTTCTTCATCACCCCAACTGTCAGCATCGCCCTCTGGCGGGGGTTCTTCACTTTGTATAGGGGCACAAGACAGGACAGTGCCCATGGTAGTCATAGGTTCTAGGTCGCAGGCAGGATTGCTGGGGGCCTCCTCCTTAATAGCCTCGAAGAGTTTATCTTCAACGTCAGGCATCCAACTTCCAAAGCTAGGGTCAATTGCCTTAGTATCGATGAGACCGTCAACAGTCCCATAACTCCGTTCCGTCTTATCAAGGAAGGCCATTAGACGGTGGAGCTCCTCAGAAAACTCCGGGTGCGCCTCATCACCCCAGATCGACTCTCCTCTTGCCATCGCCGCGAGATGTTCATGCTTGAGAATTGGCTGACCTCTCCACCATTCTGAGTTGTGTCCATAGTTCTTAGCTGGATTTCCGCACTGGAGTAGAATGTTTCTGACAGCCGGGATCTTATGGTAAATCGATAAAATGAAACCGACCCTGTGATCCCTAGTCTGTCTAAGAAATGCAGGAGCTTCGGGATCACGCTTCCTATGGGACGGAGTAGGATCGCCTTTCACGGCATCGATAGTCGTTTTAGTATGAACCATAGCCCATTGTTCAGTATCATATTCCGGCCGGTTTGCAGGGCCAAAATATTTCAGGTTCGTTTCGTTGTCAATAATACCAGCTTCTTGGCGTTGAATTCCCGACTCAGCAGCAGATTCGGCCAAAGCCCGTTCTAAATTCGCATCTTCTTCGGCGGCGTTAGCTGGTGCACCTGGCAAGTATGGGTTAGCATTACTATCTGGTAGATATAAGACTGTCGTATAGCAATACCATAAGAGGATGTGTTATTAGCTCGTGAAGGGGGTCTAGTGGGAGCCGTATTGTTCTGATAGCTGGTAGGCGCAAGCTCATCTGGACCCTGGATATTGAAAGCTGCGACAGGAGTTTAGTAACGAACCTGGCTACGAGGCAAACGAATACCGCACATATCCCCGAACCAGTCGCCTCACCATGGCGATCCATGCTAAACTGTGATTCATCCCATCTGTACTACAGGGAACTTAGCGTAAGAGACTTGAGGTTGTATATATCGATGGGGCTGCGAGGGTAGGAAAAGGTAATGAAGTACCTTCTGACTGTCGGGATCTTCGAAATACTCTTCGGTCGCACGTTGGAGGTCGTTATTGTTTGCCTAAATAGAAAAGAACCATCAAGTCAGTATCGAGCTATAGAGCTGCCAATAATGCATATGAAATGGTGGGATGTAAGGTGATTGTAAGGTACCTTTAAGCGGGTAATGGCCTCGCTTCGGAGGAGATCTGTGATGTCACAAAACAGAGTAATAGCCTCCTCTGTCGGGTCGCCCGTTGTCGCCATCTTGAGGAAAGCACGATATGCTATAACTAGTGAAGCATAGAAAATTGCATGGAAATCTGAAGCTGTGGATGATGATGGTAGTAACGATAGTGGTGGGAAAGGAAAGAGTTTGAGGGACGTATGCGAATTCGTTGCTGCGCTCCCGCCAGGTTCAAAAAGAGCTTTTTTTTAATCCGGACATGTGCAGTACAGAGGGGAGGTACAGAGGGGAGCTATCGTAAGGCTTAGCTGATTACATTAAAGTTGCACTACGCAACTATGCACGCAATACCCTGATGTACCTAAGTACCGGGTTATAAAATATTCATCTATTAACAAATCGTTGAATATGAAAGCATTTTCTTAACCTAAAGAAGAGGTCGAATTGAATATAATGCAGCTAATTATGCCTATATTCCTGTTATTAACCCTCATAAAATAGAAGTGAAGCCCTTATCGTTACGGTCGTACCATATGACAAGTAGTACAGGTACACTACATTAGGTACCTCCTATACCTTAGGTACCTACATACAGGTAAGTTTGACCACCCCGCAGACGCACCAGGTATGTACAGAAGGAATATTAGCGGGATGCTTCAAGCTGTCCCAGTATTACATATCTCAATTTTATTCCAAGGTTTACTTTTAAGCTCATCCAGTATAGTTACCAATCTAAAAAGTCATATAAGTCCACCTGAACAAGCATGGTGTTGCTACGTTGGCAAGTCGTGGACTCTTAGTTTTATATTCTTCTATCCTTGATAGTTGCAATAACGTATAACTATCCCAAGACAAAGGGTACGTGAAAGGTATAATACACTTCACTAGGAGCAACTCATCCCATTTTCACAACGTTGTAGAACCTAGGATTGGCCACTTAAACATCCTTTCATTATATTGCTAGTACAACTGCCCAACGGCAAACTAGACAGTTATATATATACATAGCAATTCCGAGATGCATCCATCAACCCTATTGCAATGTTCAACCTTAAGCCAACTAGATATCTCACTCAAGGAGGCCCTAAACTTCAAATTCCCCGTAACTCGTCGCGAAATCCCTATGCTAGAGTAGCTTACAATGCAAGCCATGTTCCACCAAACATCAAGAAGATCGCAATTCCCACGATAGGCATGGCAACATTGGCGGGATCAATACCAGGCGCTTCGAGGATCGGTAGGCCGAGTACGGTACCTGCGCTAAGGTTTGCAGCAGCCCCGGCGAGAGCAGCCTGAGACAAATTTCCACATCGTTGGTTCAATTGGACATCCATCATCATCGCCGGGAGTTTCGGGGACTCTACATCCAAAATAGCCCTGGCCGGAAACGTTCCAAGAGGAGAAGAACGCAGGAAAGCCGCGCGATACGTCGCGTTCAATGCGACGGTAGAAAGGTTGGCTACTAGCGCATAGTTCTGGCAGATAGGCGAATTCACATCGTTCGCGCTGGGACTTTGTCGAGGTAGCAGATCGCGTGTGGCATCAACCTCAGCAACTGCAATGTTGCAGATGGAAAGGAGGAAGACGAGGAGTTGGAACGGTGTGCGGAACATGATGCCGGCGCGTGTTTCGTAATTTAGGGAATTAGTACGGGGGGAATCGAAGAATTAGAACTCGTTGGATATTGTGGCCTGCCACAAAGTACAGTTGATATAATTACAAGGGGATTGATGATGAAGCAAACCGTAAACGAAGAATAGCGAATAATGAAGAGATCAACTCGTGAAGAAGAAAAAGAAGACAGAAAGGGTAAGAGGGTATTATTTGAAAAATATAGATTTTGGACTAATATCGTTCGACGGGGAGAGGGGGTGCCGGACCAGGGGTGATCAGACGTCTCAGATCCCGTAGCCGCGATAGCGACATATTACAGGCGAATCAGATCCAGAATAAACAAGCCACAATGGCTGATGTAATAGATATAACTAAGCCACTCATAACAAGGACTTATATCTAGACAGTGCTTCGGATAAGCCTTGTGTAGTAAGCCTCACGACTTGTCGTAAAACCAATAATAGAATTAGTATCAGCACAAGGCTTGAACCATTCAAAAACGACGATAATATTGCTCACAACGTTGACAAAGGCTAGCCCAGGGCTGAAATATGTCTTCTATAACTACCAGGTATCCCGTTATACTTTTCTCTTCATTCACATCACAAGTCAATTCCTATCATTCGACTTTATACATACAGTTGACTTGATTGATGGCATGGATCACTACCTAGAACCGAATCCCACTCCGGACAGCGAACTTCACCAACTGTTAAACCCCCTCTTCTGTTCTTAATGTTAGGGTTGGGATGATATTGAACTCCATAAGTTAGGATCTTGCATTCAAACCCGGATGTCTGTTGAAGAGCTTTCACGGAATTCCCAGTGCTTGATCTGTCAGGCCGCCTTAGCAGTGTTTAACATTCGCCGGCACACCCTCAACACCTTACAGTCCTGGCCGGATTCTCGCATCCTTATCGAAGTTCTAGGCCCACTATACCTAGACACTGGGTATTCTAATCAGCGCGAGCTTGATTTATCTAATCCGAATAGCATTCCTATCCGATTGTTTCTTAGGCTTACTGTTAGAGTCTCAAAAGATGACTCCGAAGTTACAAGGAGTAATCGTCCAACAAACTTTCTTCACAGCAACCCCATAATTTTGCTTGTACTATTCTCTTAACAATACTTCAACCTTATGTAAAATTGAGGAATGGGCCGTGCCCTTGTTTAATGTATCGGTTATTAGGAACTGGATTCGAGGGTGCGATGCCATTCATGGCAACAAGTGTACCCAACCTCCTCATCAAACCCGTAAGCTCTTCCGAGGTATAGTTATTGAAACTTAGAAAGTAAACTAACAGCGAGTTAATAGAGCTTCCTCCGGGCTTTCGTGTGATTAATGTCGTAAACATGAACATCGCCGAACCAGTTGGGCCGACACGTTATGTTGCTTTAAGCTATATGTGGGGTTCCGCGGCTGGCAGTCAGAACGATTTTCAACTTGAAAAGAAGAATGTTAGATACCTTGAGGCTCCAGGAAGTCTTATTAATGCTAGCATTCCCAAGGTCGTCACTGATGCTATATCGCTGTGTAAAGACCTCGGTGAAATTTACCTCTGGATTGACAGACTCTGCATCGTCCAGGATGATCAGGAACTAAAGCCAGCGCAGATAGTGGCCATGGATAAGATATACCGCTCTGCTACTTTTACACTTGCGGCGGCCCTTAGCAATCCCAGCGGAGACGGACTTCCTGGTCATCAGGAGAAGCCGCGTGATCTTTATTCATCTATCTGGATCCCGCCTTATGATGCTAACGTAGAAACACGAGGAATAAAACCAAATGGCATTAGAAGTCTGGTAGACTCTTCACTCTGGAATAGAAGGGGTTGGACATTTCAGGAGAGGCTACTTTCTCAACGGTGCCTCTTCATCACCGAACACCAAACCATGTTCAAATGTTCGCAAGCAGAAGCAAGTGAAGAGCTCACGTGGAGCCCTCAAATTCCTGGAAAGCCCAGGCCGTCAGCAGTTTTGGGTGATAGTCTAGTAAGCAGTAATACTGAAGATGGGAATGATTTAAACAAAGACAAGGTTTATCAAATCCCAGGCTACTTTGAGCTACAGTCCTACGGCACAGAGACTGAGTAGATAGTTAAAGACACCGCATCTCTAACAGAATACTGCGGATGGGTCCAAAACTATACATCCCGCCAACTTTCTTATGGCACCGACATTCTCCACGCTTTTACAGGCGTAGCTAAATACCTCTCTAGGCTACTAGCTTGCCCAATGCTATTCGGCCTACCGGAGAAATACCTACCACAGTGTCTCCTATGGAGTTGCCCGGGGGAACCAAGCAGGAGGGGTGAAATGCCAGAAATACCCAGTTGGAGCTGGGCAGTGGCGTTGAGCGCTGTTGGCTATGATTGGATATGCGCCAACCACCGGTTAGACCAGGACGTCCTTAAGATCGCAAGCTTAGTGTTCTTCTACTACCAAGACCCTGCTTGCGGTCTTCGGAAACTCAATGTCCAAGAACGGTGGATCCAACACGAAGTAACAATCAAAGAAGTAGCAAGCCAGGCCGATTCGCCACTATGTTCCCCGGTTCTTTGGTCTTCAATACGACAGTAGCATCCCTAGGCATAGACTTCTGCTCCAAAAATAATATTGAGAACTACCACAATACACAGAAAGCGGCAATTCGTAATGGGGGCACAATTGTTGGGTATCTAAACATGATGAGTTTCGAGTGGATCAATACACCACGGACGACGCCGGGCAATAGAAAGCTTTTCGACTTTATCGTTATATCCGGCGCTCTGAAACCTTTATGGACCCGGAAATGGCAGCTGCGTGTGATGCTTGTTGAGCGACTGGCATGAAAACCATTTGTTGCCCGTCGCGTTGATGTTGGAACCATCTCTTTGTGCGAATGGAAACAGTGCAGGCCCCGATGGGAGACTGTCGTACTATGTTGATTCTTCAAGTGTCGGTCAGATATTAAGTGGTAATATTTATTCAAAGCTGTCTTATATCTAATAGTTGTTGATAGTTACAAAGAGTGGGACAAAACTAGCAAAGTTGATTGTTACTAACTGATTAATCACACCAGCGCAAAGTGATACTTATAACAACAGTACACGATATATGGTACAGTTCAATGCATCGGTAACTACGAATTCTAACATTAATAAGTCGATGTTACCATATATACACCTCACAGCACATATCCTAGCATCGAATGGCACCGGCGGCGGCGGGATGCTACACTGACAGCTGGGCGCACTTTGGACGTCCCGGTCCGTGTCACTAAAACCCGTTTAAGATAATTAAACAAGTATACGGGTTAATATTGGCATCTCTCATAGGCTACCTAGCTAACAAGAATTCGACTTGGCTTGCCAACTCCAACAAACCATCGTACCCTATGATAGCTATGGTCTCCATCTTGATACTAATTAAGAGCGTATAACAGTAATAAGAAACCTTTCACTGAGACTACTTCAGAATCTAAAACGTTAGCCCCTTTGAAGAAGCATGGGAGTTGAAGAATAATATAATAATATTCGAAAAAGCTACATGCCACAAGCACGATGCTCTACCATAAACTCTACCTGAATGTCATTATCACACTGGGCGTGTATGGCTGCTACCTACCTCGGTAGGTACGTCAACATCAGACGAGGACTCTATACCCACGTCATGGTGCATTCATTTGATGAGTCGGTCTGCAAAGGAATCACAAAAAGTGACGAAGGTGCTGTGTATTGGCTGGGGAAATGATTATCTATACACCCCGCATAAGCGGGACACTGTATTTCGGATATTTACTACTACTATATCCATCCATCAACCGAGGACTAGATCATCTATGCTTATGATGCCCATAACTCCATCGACGTAACCGAGGTTTTAGTCGCCTTCTAGGTGTTGCACCCCGAAATTGAAAACTATGGTTGATTGTTGGAGACAATGCCAATCACTTGCTCAGGTGGACTGAATTGTAGCACATGACATTTAAACGCAAGTCCGTGTTGGTAGAAGCGGTGATGCTACAAGGTATACTATGACTATTATTATAAATAACGATATATCACCACTTCAGGTACTTATCTCCTAAAGTGCGAACTTAGCCACCAACACGGAATACAATCCTTCTAAATCTCATTGGCCAAATGGTTTCCACCATTCCTAAGAGAGTATATACTCAGTCTTTTTAGAAAGTCGATTCGTTGATGTAAGTGGAGTAAGTATCTTTATTTGGCTCGCACTTTAGGAGATAAGAACTTCTCATGTGTCACACGGCAGCTTAACCCACCTAAATTGGAACATACCCCATGCATCCGAATCTCCGGACTGAGCCGCGGCGGGGTATTATTGCGGGTGACCTGCATACATGTGGAGAACCAACCCCGGTTCGGCCCCATTTCCCCACGGCCGTAGACGCCGTGTCAGTCTGGAGAGAAAATTGATGGCGCAGTCTTGGCATTTTGATTTTATTAACCTTCTTAAATAATTAACGATTATATTAGCAAAAACAACCGAAAGCTGTTTACAATATGTATCATTTCACTTGTAAAAAGCCAATTTTATATTTTTATCTACTTCAACTATTTTTTCCGATTTTTAAAAGTGACTATTTTAAATATAATATGTGATGTTATTTTCGAAGGAAATTGCCAAGACTGCGCCATAACTACAAGAGAGGGGCTGCGTGTTCGTATGGTATTTCTGTTTCTGTGGCAACCTACCTAGTAGGTATGTGGGTGTCGGATAGATTCATGCATGTTTGTTGGGGTTCGGAAGGAAAAAGGCAGCTAACACGTCAATAGGTACGACCGGTAGGTTTTGGGAATTTCATACAGTGCTTGAAAGGTTGACGGTGTAAGGATGATAGGAAGTAGGAAATGTACACAGTTAGATTATAACCTATGACCTATAACTAATAGACTAGCATACAATCATCGCATCCCTATCGAGGTACCCGCCAGTACATGCATATCAAGTAGAGAAATGGAGACCACTCCTAAAATTGCCCCAACGAGCGTGCACGTAGTCCCGCGGCGGGCGCGTCCTAGGCCGCCAAACTCCTGTCTTTCCGTACACAGGAAGTCTCTCTGCCGCAAGAGTGGCATAGGTTGAGTTAAGTCGAAAGATTCGTTCAGTCTCCGTAGTAGCATCCTTTGCTGACAGCTGAGGAACTGCAGTCTTCAGTCCTTTGCGGTTCATGTATTTTAATAGCCGGGCCGCAAGGAAAGCTGTTATATCAGCTCCTATAGTCCAGGCATTGTTAGCATATCCAAACACGAATATCATGTTTGGAACACCCTCGATCATCGCGCCATTCCAGATATACTTCTTACCCCACGACAGGGTCTTCCCGTCGACGCGTATGTCAATACCTCCACCCAGCTTCATATTCAGACCAGTAGCAGTCACAACGGCATCTAGATCAGTGGTGTCTATCTTGCCAGTCTCATGATCCTGGGTCTGCACTCCAGTTTCTGTGAAATTCGTAATATTTCCGGTAATCAACTTCACGTTAGGACGATGGAGGGCTTCGTAGAAAATACCGTCGGGGTCCGTACACATCCGTTGCTCCCATGGATTATATCGGGGTTTGAAATGGGGATCCTGCTCGAGCCACTTTGGCAGCCTCTTTACGGTATCCTTACGGAGACGCTCTTTTGCAGAATCGGGGAAATTCCCGCAGTATGCAACATAGATGTGTTGGTGTATCGTGTAATACAGACGCTGACAAGCCGAAGCCAGAGGGGGCGGCAAATGCTTGTGCGTCCATGACTTGTTTTCCATCGCAATGATATAGGTTGGACTCCGTTGGATCAGCGTTAATTCACTGGTTTTCTCTGCGAGTAATGGCAGTAGGCTGACAGCAGTGGCCCCGCTGCCAACTACCGCCAGTCTCTTGTTCTCATAGTCGTAGTCCTTTGGCCAGAACTGCGGATGTATTACCTTTCCTGTAGAGCTGTTAGGATCGCCGTTTCGCTAGAAATTACCCTGACTCACCTTTGAAGTTTCCGAGACCTGGTATCTCAGCCTGCAGCGGGGCTTCGTAGTCATAGTATCCAGTCCCCAGAATCATCCAGCGCGCAGTGTAGAACTTTTGCTTTCCCTCATGGTCAACCGTGAGAGTCCATTGTTGTTGTGATGAAGACCACTCCGCAGCTGATACTCTATGACGCATCTGAATGCGCTCTGCTATCCGAGACTTTGACGCAGCGTCTTTAATGTAATCTAGAATTAGAGAACCATCTGCGATGGGCTCCGGATGCGGGTATAGGTGCCATGGAAACGCCAATGTATTCATAATAGCATCTGAACGCACTCCTGGGTATGTGAACTGAGACCAGGTGCCACCAATCTCACTGCGACCTTCAAGAATGGTGAAGCGAGTATTGGGAAGCTGACTCTGTAACCGATAAGCGCAGCTAATTCCTGATATACCAGCACCCACGATGATTACATCAAGCGCTTCAGGCTTGCTTGTCGTCTGTGATGAAACCATTTCTCTTCAAGTAGCTGATGTCTCTTCCATGCACCTAAATACGGTAAATTTCAGTTGAGGAGTTTATATACGAAGAATGTGTGTGAATATGGCTGATAATGGCGAAGAAGCTACATGGGATTATAACCTTCTTTAATAGTCCCGATAGGATATTGGAGACCGGCCAGATGACCGGTGTGTGTAGTCCAGTAATGGATACGAGTGGTCGATGAAGACGTCACTTAACAGTTACCCCAGTTGCATGTGTATACAGGGGGGTGTGGCAATGCTTTGTGCTACAGTGTAATCATTTCTCTCGCATATTATGTCCTCAAGTGCGAGAAGGCTACACAACTAATCTACTATGGGGACATACCCAATCAGAATTCATTATGGGAGTCAGTGTCTTTTTTAGACCGATTAATTTACTTAGATTTTAGGTGTAGCCTTCTCGCACTTGAGGACATAGCTCTGTTCAAAACGAAGCTTTTGCTGTTGATCCACCAGTATCGCTTACACGGAAGGTATTCCAAGTATGCTAGGATCGCAATCCCCGCGTGGAATACCTATTGGGGAAATAACTCCCAGTACATCCCTTAAGGCTCCCTAGTTATTTATTGTATGGTGGAGAAAGGCGTTTACCAGGTGGGTATATCAAAGTGAATCTACATAGTAGAACCCTGGTACAGTGTTTGTAATTCTCTCCACCGGTATTGATATATCATATTAGTTATTTCCGCAACCTGAAAGAGCCGAGGTGAGCACTCCATAAGAGGGGCACAACTCAACTTATGGCAAAATGTGGACATTTACTGTTGCCAGTGTGGGAGTTGCACTGTATAGACTTGTAGCACAACCCGACTTTGTAATTTTCTTTCAACTTCAAATATCTCATCTAAGAATATATGTGCCTTTTAACTATTTAACTTAAACCTCAGATGAAACTTAGCCTGTTGCAGTAAATGGGCCAAGACACAATTATAGAAGGTACAAGCTCTATGCTCGCCGTAGACTGGTTGTGTATACGAGCCCGGCTAATCTTGGCATGTTATCAGCAACCAACTAATTGGATGTATCCAACGACAAGTTAAATGGCTATGGAGTTGAGAATACGTACATTTTCTTGAACCCCTAAGTATAGTTGTTCGAGGCAACAATTCTATTTCCACCCACATTCCCGAAATACAACTGTGAGCAGATAATTTAGGTAAACGACCCTAAGCTCCTCGATATATAATACCCTTCGCCTATACTATGCAGCGAGTCTAATTAATTACAGACGTATGGTTACCCTCACGAAATATTTAGAAGGTCTTTAACGAACATAGCATAGCACTGGTAAGAGGATCTAGTTATACGGTGGTGGATGGACTCTCTGAAATACTCATCTAGTTTATAGACCTAAAATTTCCGCTTGGTTCTTATTCTCGTTACTTTCCTCCTCACTAAGCAGAATTCACCTATCTATCCAATCAACTAAACTGCAGGTATTACGTTCTCCGACCAGGTCACATCTTGCTTCACGACAATCCCTTGGAGAGGATGTTCTAAAGAATCAGGAGGAAGAGAGAACCGTTTGCCCTGGCCACTGATGCTAACCTGGCAACTACCGCGGTAAGGGTTAAACGTAATATCTTCCTCGTTGTTAAGTTTTTCTGAAAATCCTTCGACCCCACTACCAAATGGGGTCCTGTTCGATAATTTCCCAATTGTAACGATGCCATCCACAGGAATCGATCTTTGGGGGTATTAGGATGGCCGTAACGTAGCTTACGGTAAATTGGTATTAGTGTTGGCAGACATGCACCGACGATGGCCGCATAGACTTCCACAGCCGAAGCAAGGCCAGGCGCGACGAATTGCTCTATCTTGATTAGAATATTTCCTTTAAATTCATTCATGTGCCAATGTATCATACTAGTAAAGTTGTATGTACCCTCCCTATGCATCCTTGCAGTAGAGAGGGTGCGAGTCATGCTTGCTGCAAAGGCTCTAAAAGGGGTTAACCAGACGCTTCTAAAACTAGAGGATATGAGAAGAAGAACAACATTAGACTTACGTGCCGCCAAGTAGAAAGATAGCACATACGCTGATTTTTCTTGACCTCGACATCTGTAGTTTTAATACTTCCTGAACCGGCATGACTATAGTACAGAGGTCAATGACGCAGTTCGCTATCGAGTTGCCCAGCAAGAAGAGTATTATATTTATGCATCTTGTTTCTGGAAGCAGTTGGAGGTCTTGGTACCAGAACGCTTTGAGAGGCCGACATTGTATCACATGAACTACCTGTACGGCAATAGTCCAAGAAATACTCGCAACGACAAGTACTGCGGACGTTAGGCGTATTGTTCGGGTGGGGAAAACTCGTAGGTAGAAAGCAAGGACGCTTAATTTCACCAAAGTGCAGCTGAATCCATAAGTGACTTCAGCCATGAAAAGAAACTGCTTATTGCGCGGTTAGCCGGCTCGATTAAGCATTATCTATAGCGTACCTTGAAGAGAATTACAACGGCGTTTGGATCCCGAGCAACGATTCTAATGTCCCGTCCCAATCCCCCTTGTATTACAGCTATCGTACCAAATACCATAAAGATATGGTGGACAAGGAGGCAGGATAGGATCAAGTAGTCGTCAAGTCCCAGGGGAGAGGACGTCAATCTTTTTGCCCAAAACCGTAATGCGACTACGATAGTCGTGACGAGCGCAAGTACGTAACAACCGATTAGAATACCAGGGCCAGAATCCGAATAGTCCAGTGGTGGTTGAGTTTGACCCTGTGTTGACGACATATTGGCTTTCTTGTTTTAAAGAGAGCGTCTAGTTGCATTTAAGTTGGGGCTTCAAGAGTCAAGGCAGTAGGGAGGCATGTGAAGTTATTTCCCACAGTGAGTGCCTAAGTCGAGAATTTAGGACAGACTAAGGAGGAGGCCGTTGGTCTTATATGTTAAGTTGTAATTCATAATATACCTTATTTAACCCCATAGTTGAGTATCTTAAGTACCATAGCGGAGGAGGGGGGTTTGGGAAAATGATTCCATAAATATAAAACTATTCCATATAATAGTAACAACGGAATCAGCTTAGTGCATTCTAACATCGTGGAATGGTTTCGTAAAATAAAACGATTTTAATATTCACGTAACTTTCACGTGATTTTCACGTAAAAAGTGGGGCAAAGGTAAAAAAAGTCGAAAATTTAAAAAAATTGGTTTTTAAACCTATAGTTTTTACGTTTTTGTTTTTATAATTATAAACTTTATAATTAATAAAATTTAAAATTTAAACGTTTAAATTAATAAAACGAAGTGGTTAATTTTATTAAATTATTTTAAAATGGAATTTTATTTAATTTTAATTTTTATAACTTTTATTTCGGAAAAAGTAAAAAAGTAAAATTTTAACTTAAAAAAAAAAAAAATTTTATAAAATTTTCGAATTATAAAAATTTTTTTTTTTTAAATTAAAAGTTAAACAACCGTTTTTAAAATAAAAACAATTGTATAAAATGGAATGGTTTTACGGTTATAAAACGGTTTTTATAAAATAAAATTTTAAAAACGGGTTTAAAACTTATTATTTTTAAATTTTAATTAATTAAAACTTTTAAAATTTAAAAACGTTACGTTATATAAAACCATTTTAGTTTTAAAATCATTTTTTTAAACCTTTTTTTTCCGTTATAATACGTAATTAAATATTTAATTTAAACTTATTTAATCGAAATTTTAATATTTTATTATAAAAACTTTACCGATATTACATTATTACCGTGAAATAAAAAGCGTTAAATATATGGTAAATAAACAATAATATTCACGTTTTTATATATTAAAACCAATTATTTTTTACTATTTTATTTTGGTTTAAATCCTCCGGGTTTTTAACATAACATCCGTATTTATTAAACCGTAAAATAATATGTTATGTCGTTTTACTCGTAACCATTTATTATATTTATTATATAAAGTAAATTACATTTAACATAAAGTTTATTGTTAATTATTAACCATTATAACCTTTTTAAATTTAACATTAAAAACTTTTAAAAGTTTTGTAAAAATGTGTTTTTATACGGTTTTAAATATTAATAACGTTTTAAATAAAAATTAAAAAACGTTATTTTTATAACATAAATTTTATTCCGTTTAAAATTTCCGTAAAAAACTTAACTTTAAATTTAATAATATTTTATTTTTAATGTTATTTTAAATTAAATGATTTTTTAAATTAAAAAAAATAAACATTTAAAAAATATATAAATTAAACAAGTTTTTAAAAAATATTTATCGTATTTTATATAAGGTTTTTTTATTTTTAATAACTTAAAAATTAAACATAAATGGTTTTTAAAACGTTATATTAAAATATATTATTATATTATTATTATAAATAACACCGTTTAATTATAATACGTTAAAAAAACTTAATTAAAACTTAAACATTTTTTTTTTTTTTTTTTTAATTATAAAACATATTAATGTTTATTTAACGTTTTATTTAAACTTTATATTATATTATTAAATAACCGTTTATAATTATAACGCCGATTTTTATTAACGTAAATATAATTATTATAAAATTTTAATACAATTATTTTTAATGGTTAAAAATAAAAAAAACGAGGTATAAAACCTTTAATTATATTAAAACGGTATTATATTATAAATTTATAATATTAAATTACTTGGGTTTTAATATAATAACTTAATTTTTATTAAAAAAATATAAACTTTTATATATTTTTATATTAAATTACTTTTTTAATTATAACGAAATACCGTGAATTTTTTTTCGCGTAAAACAAAAAAAAAAAAAATTTTATTAAAAAATTTAATAAAAAATAAAAGTTAAAAGTTATATTGTAAAAAAACTAAATTTTACAATTAATAAAAATTAAATGCAAATGTTTTATTATGTAAAAATAATTTTTTAATATATAATTATTAAAACTATTTATATTTAAACATACGTACGTGTACGCGTTATTTTTATAAAATTAATTTTTTTAACTTTTAAATGTATTTTTTTAAAATATAAAATTATTTATGTATTTGTATTTAATTTTATTAACGTTAAGTTTTTTCGGTTTTAAAAAATTAACGCGTTATTAACGTATTATATCGCATAACATTAAAAAAATAAAATTTTATTTTATGATTTAAAATAAGTTATATTTTAAAATTACCAGGATTATGGTTTATATATGCGTACTTTTACATATATATATATATATGTATTATTATTTAACGCGTATATATACAAAAATCCATTTATATTATTTAAAGTGTAAGTAAAGTGCATATGTAAAAGCGGGGACTTATTTCATTTATTTATATTTTAACTTTTTAAAAATTTTAATAAGTTTAAACCGTAATAAAGTTTTAAAAACCTTTTTAAAAAAAAAGTAAACGAAGTAAAAAAAAAAACTTTATATGTAAATATTATTATTATTAAATATTAAATATATAAACATTTTGTCCAAGTATAAAAGATTATTTTACCAAAGGAATTTTTTAATAAAACCATTATTATTAATTTTTTTTTTAAAAAAATTAAACTTTTTAAATATTTTTAATTATATGATTTTATTGGTTAATTATATACCGCTTGCGTTTAATTATAAAAACATTAATTAATTGGAAAATATTTTCCAGGTTTTTAATTTTTTTTTATAAAAAGATTATGCTTTTTATCCATGTATTTATTTTAAGATTTTAATGGATGTTTATATCCGTTTAATATTTTATAATAACATTTAAAATAATATTAAAATTAACCGTTTTTTATAAAAGGTTAAACATGGTTTTAAAGATAAAAAATAAGTCATTTAAGTTTTTTTTTTTTTTTTTATTATATCAGTTTTTTCATTTTTAATTTATATATTTTACCAACTATACTTGTACCAATGTATTAAAATAATCTTTTCCGAAATAAATTTTTTTTAAATCTTTTAAAGTTACGTAATATATATTTTTCCCGGATAATAAACTTATTATTTTAACCATTTTTCCAATAAATATTCCTTTTTTTATTTATAAAAAGTATGTTAAAAACTATGGGATTTATTTAAAATAATTAAATAATTTACAATAAAGTTTAAAATTAAATCTTAATTTATTTAATTTTAACGATAAATTAATGTCAAAAAAAATTACCTTTTAAAAGTTATATTTTTACATATAAATAAGTTTTAATATTAAACTTATTTTTTTAACATAAATTTGTTTAATTTTATTTTTTAATTTAATATAAACTATAGTAAAAATATTATTAATATAATATTTATAAAATATAAAATTTAAATTATTAATAAGGTATTATTTATATTTAATTATATAAAAATTAATAATATTTGGAAAATATATTACTTTTATTATAAAACTTTTAATTTATTTAAAACATTTTTGTTATTTATATTAATTAATATATTAAAATGTTAAAAATTTATTAATAATATAATAAAATTTTTTGGTAAAAAGTATTTTACTAATAATATTTTTTTTAAAAAAGTAATTATATACCATTTTTTTATAAAATTTTAAAAAAGATTTTAATAAAATATTTATATAATAAAACATTACGTTAATTATTAATATAAATACTTTTTTTATTAAGTTTAATTAAATAAATAATAACGTATAATAAATTTATTTTAAAAAAACGAAAATTTACGAAAAGTTTTATATTATAAATTTTAATAATTTAAATAATATTTTTCCGGTAAATATATATATTATTAAATAATATAATATAATTAATTTAAATATATATAATTTTTTATAGATTTTTAATATTTTTATAAATATAAGTAAATTTTTTATATATAATTTAAATAATTGCAAAAATTACTTTTTTTATTTAAATAATTTATTTTTATTTTATAAATTACATTTAAATATATTAAGTATAATTTAATTAAATTTATTTTTACAAATAAAAAAAATGTTATTTTATATGTAAAAATTATATTTAAAAGCGTTTTTAAAAGTAAATTTATTATACGTTTTTTTAAATTTTTTAAAATATTTTTTATATTTTATATAATATTAATTTAATAATAATATTATTATTTTAAGGTTTTTATTAAATATAATTATTATTAATTTATTAATAATAAAATAACTTTATAATTTTTTTACCGTGAATTTTTCTTTGCGCGAAGTAAAAAGAAAAATGAATTATTAAAAAATTTAGTAAAAAATGAAGGTTAAAAGTTATATTATAAAAAAATCAAATTTTGTAATTAATAAAAATTAAATGTAAATGTTTTATTGTGTAAAAATAATTTTTTAATATGTAATTATTAAAGTTATTTATATTTAAACATGCGTACGTATATGCGTTATTTTTATAAAGTTAATTTTTTTAATTTTTAAATATATTTTTTTAAAATATAAGGTTATATATATATTTATATTTGATTTTATTAACGTTAAATTTTTTTGGTTTTAAAAAAGTTAATGCGTTATTAATATATTATATTACGTAATATTAAAAAAATAAAATTTTGGTTTATAATTTAAAATAGGTTATATTTTAAAGTTATCAGGGTTATGGTTTATATATATGTGTTTTTATATATATATGTGTATATATATTGTTATTTGGTATATATATATACGGAGATTTATTTATATTATTTAAAGTATAAATGGAGTGTATATATAAAAGCGGGAGTTTATTTTACTTATTTATATTTTGGTTTTTTAAAAATTTTAATAGGTTTAAGTTATAATAAAATTTTAAGGGTTTTTTCGGAAAAAAAGCAAATAAAGTAAAAAAGAAAACT